TTGATTAAACCAAACTCCCAAAAAATTTTGTTCGTGGACTTGTTCTTCATCTTTAAAATGTATAACTAAGTTGGTACTGTCGCGTTTGTTTTTACGTGAAAATAGTACATACTTAGCTTTTCTTTTGTATTTAATTTTAGCTTGTTAGCTCGAAGCCATGTAGCTAGGTCGGCAAGATAGCTATTTGTCATGAGTTCTAACTGGGCTTTGGATGAGCCTGCGAAGAATACACTGGTGTCATCCGCATACGTAATAAGCTCATGAGATCCCGGGATTGCTGTGATATCGTTTATATGGAGAAGAAACAGAGGGGGACCTAGGATCGAACCTTGTGGAACTCCGCATTTTATTTCGTATGTACTTGAGACCATAGAGTTATTATAATGTACGCTAGAGGTTCAACTGGCGCTAGTGTGCTGCTGCAAATTGAAGCAGACAGCAACCAGTCCGAAATTGACTTCCGGTAATGCATTTCTATGGAAAAAAGCGAGTGCATTTTCTCTCTGCGCTTGATTATGAGAGCAAATATCACGAACAATTCGTACGTACTGGGCACATTCGAACATTTCTCAGTTACGCAGACGAAATAATTGGTCAGTTACCGTGTTTTTATTTGAAATGTGTGGCATGAAAAACGGTGCTTAAACCGCTTCGTACGTGTATTTATGTGCACTGTCAAACACTGTTAGCGCGAACACGGCGTCGGCGCTTTCAGCATGGGGGTTATACGTGCCAAACGAACGAAGGACAAGTGGAAAACCAAAAGAGACAGCAAGAACTACGCAGTACCACTGGATAAGTACGTCCTGTGAATGCAGACGATCAAAATAAATTGAAAGCCACGTAATATAGTCAGATCTGCAATAAATGAGTACTGCTTTATTCTTTCTGCTCACGAATATGTGCAAAGATGCATGTTCTGGGTTCAAATCATCAACCGCACGCTCTAAATATTTGCAAATAAGGAAACGTCGGAAAACAGGTGCCCGATAAAAACTGCCCGGCATAGGAGATAATAAAAAGGCATACCTTTCGCAGTCCACGTACTTTATTTCTTACATTCGAATGTTGTTTAACCGTCGTAAAGATGCACGACGGAGTCACTTTCATAGGGTGACCGGACGGGCATATTAGCATTATATAAGCGCCATCGCATTGCTAGCGAACCTTGAACACACTCTACATTCGTTTCGATCGTTAGTTTGCTTAGAAGCGTCGCTTGTTTTTACATACCTGCCATGAAACATAGGTTTGGGCCTGAAATATAGCGAAGCTTAACATCGTTCAGTGGTAAAGAAAAATGCTGTAATTAAAGCAATTACACTTTTACAATATTAATAAATGTACATACTATCCGGTACAATCGAAATAATAAAAGTTATTCATGTTGTTTTCCAGCGAAGAGACAAAATGCACGCCCGTTTTCCCATAGGAATGCACAGGAGCACCGCAAAAGTAGACTGGTTGCTGTCTGCTTCAATTTGCCTCCCGGAAGTCGCATAGACACTAGCGCCAGTTGAACCTCTAGCGTACATTATAATAACTCTATGCTTGAGACAATGTCATTCATTTTAACAAACTGAAATCGATTTTGAAGATATTTTTTTATGAGAGCCAAAGCTATTCCACGTATTCCATATATATGTAGTTTTCTAAACAGTATGGGTTTGTATAGTGTCAAATGCTTTACTTAGGTCTAAAGAAATTCCTAATTTATATAGTTTAATCTCAATATTGTATATTATTTTGTCTTTTGCCTCCACGAGTGCTTGCTCCGTGGATTTACCTTTCTGAAATTCATAATGTGATTAGTTAACCACACGATACTTGGATATAAATTGGTCTATTCTGCTTTGTATAACGCCCTCAAATAATCTAGAGAATATAGACAAGACTGAAATAGGTCTAAAATTTTGTAAGTATCCTCCGTCCCCTTTGCAGACAGGTGTAACTTTGGCAATTTTAAGTTCCTCAGGAAATATACCCGTTTCCAACGTGCAGTTTATGAAGTGTGATAGGACGTTGCTGATATATTGGGAAACGTATATAATAGGAATTGGTTTAAGGTCACCGATGCGAGCAGCTACATTATTTTTTTTTTTTTTTTGTTATTAGTAGTTCTATTTCCTGTGGGGTGACTGGTGTAACATTATCGAGTTTGTTAAAGGGCAACTCCGCTCAATTCCGAAGATTTCGGGATAATGATTGATTTCGAATTAAAAAGCCATAGTAAAACGCACTACGTCGTTTGCTTCGCGAAAAATGGGATATATATTTTTAAATCTGATTTTAAACACGAGCGGAAGTCGAAACCGAAACTTCGGCTCCGCCCGGCAACATTGGCCTCGGGTCGCCAAGTACATGGCCATCACGTGGTACGAGATGTCACGTGATCCTCGGCCCAACGACGGGCGGGATTGGGGCGGGCGTGTGGCTGGCGCGAGTGTCGTCTGCACTCTTCGCCACGTTTTGGTGTCTACGGCATTCGACGACGTCTGCACTACTGCGGCATAAATGTGCGCGCACGTGGTGTCCGTAGTGTGGACGAAACTCCGAGAGACAATAATCACAACCGGTGAGACGACGACGGCGGTTGTGACGCGGAAGACGGCGGTAACGGCGGGACCACGGCGGGCGGCCGGACGGCTCCCAAGAAACGTGCTGCGCAGGCGCGTTACGCCAATCACGTGTACACTGCTGAGCGCCGAGAGGCAACGTTGCTGACGTCATGCGCTACGCTCGCCCGGAGAAGTGAAAACAAGCAAAAGGGGGCCATGTGGATGGCGTTTAGCTCAATGTTGGCTCCGCCCATGCCATAGCCTTGACTGCGCTGTTGGTTGCGCCTGAATTCGCCCCCTCCAGGGGCCCTAATCTGGACACTCGGCGAAAAAGAAGGCGAGAAATCCAGCGGCTCTGATTGGCAGGCGCCAAGGTCAAGTGCGGAGTTGGCCAATCACGGCAGCCAGATTTCTCGCCGACTTTTTCGCCAAGTGCCCAGATCAGGGCCCCAGGTCAGCCGATTTCGGCAACTTGGCGAGTTGCAAAGTTTGCCGGACCGTTTAAAGGAGCTGTGCAACGATTCTAACGTTGAAAGAATTGGCATTTTCTGCTTCTGATATTGTTCACTGTGTCACAAATGGCAGAAAACACAGCTCCTTTCATCGAAATGTTGCGATTCCGCCGCGTAATAGCCAGGCAAAACTTAGAATATTTCACGACCTGCAGCCACAAGCGGTGGCCATGAGAAACAAGCGGCGTGACGTCACTTGGGTATTTGTAAAAAAGATAGCAAGTTGTGCGAATACCTGCTCGATAAAAGGTAACTTTTCTATAAATCTTGTCGTTCCAACCTAACTGTAAATAAAAAATGAAAAAAATATAAGGTTTTTTTTTTTTTTTTTTCAGAAAATTGACTTTAAATTTGCAAGTTTTTCTAATGATACACTTGCAAGTTTGAATCGATTTTCTAAAAAAAAAAGCCACCTTTTATTTATTGTTCCGCAAACGATTCCTGGCTACACCGCTGTCCGCACAACACGCGTTCCGATCTTTGTCGGTAGCGTGGCCGAGCGGTCTAAGGCGCTGGTTTAAGGCACCAGTCTCCTCGGAGGCGTGGGTTCGAATCCCACCGCTGCCACGATTTTTTGCACCCGTTGCGACGCTACTCCAAACCACGACCAACTCTTCAAAACAATAGAAAAAAACAAACAAAACAATCAAACGAACCGTTACGGTTGTTGTAAACTTACGAAACCGGTTTATTCCCGCCCATGCATGAACCGGTCGTTCTTTACATTATAAATATTTGCAACAAACAAACAACAAGTTTTGTCTGACCGGCGGTCTCGCCACTTTATTACACACATATATAAAAAGATGATCAAACATGAACAGTGTCTCGCTTTCTTTATACACAGTAGTAGATATATTATATATTAAAACGTGTAATAATGTTTTTCCCCATAATAGTCTAATGCCGATCTGTGCTGTATATTTCGTATATTTACGATTGAAAAAACAAAACAAACAAACAAAAAAAAACAAAAAAACATCAGAATATTGTATTTTGTGAGCAAACAGTTGATTCGGATGCAGGGGGCATCCGAATCAACTGTTTGCATTATTTAACGGACAGTGTGGAAGTCATTGGCATCTGCTTATGATGGGGTCATTTGCAAATTTTTGTTGCGTTCAGCGATCAACGAGTATGTAAAGTCACTCGAGGTAACGAAGCTCAATTACGTAATGCTAGCTATTTGGCATAGACAAGATTGTGGACAACCCAGTAGGTTAGCAACAATCACAATGGAAGGAAAAGGGCGATGGTCAAAGCACCGATACCCAGCAGTTTACAGCATGTATTTTCCTTTATTTGGTTGCCTGAGCCTTCAAGTTAGAAGATCGCCAGAGAAAAAAAAAAAAAAAAAACTGAAACGTAGAAAGTGAATCGTAACGCTTTTTTTGTTGTAATTTACCACGTGTTCAAAACAAGAAAAAACTGTCGGACATGAATGTAATGACAATGACGGGGAAGATTTTTATCCCCTCCCCTGTATTGTTTACTAGATTCCTTCCCCTTCCCCCCTATTCTATCCAACTTGACTGCCAGGATCTGCCAAATTTAAATAGAGGGACACAGAACACGTATGTGTCAAATAACGTTTTGTCCCCTTTTTTCTTGTCCTACGTCCTACGTCTCGGGTTTTACAATGTTGAACGTTTCCATCTGCGTTAAAAAGAAAAAAAAAATCTCGCCTTTTTTAAAATATGTTTTTTTTTTGGCTTCTTTTATATTTGTAAAATGCACAGCGACTGGTAAGCAAAGGCGAAATCGAAACCGAAAATGTTGACAGATTTGGAAACGAGAGTAAAAGAGAAATCATGCGTGGCGCCCTCTGTTGCTTTTGAACCCTTCCGCCAGTTGTTGCATCGTTTGATTTCACCTGATGCCGAGTTCGAACGTTGGGCGGCAAGGCTGCGACCAGGCATCCAAGGCACGGGGACGGATTTTGCGCGTTTTTTAACGTTGTTTCGAACTGTCCGTCTGATGCCCCAGCATGAAGGACCAAACAACAAGCACGGCGTACGTATTTTATTGTTTTTTTCCTGTCAAATCTCGTGAGCCGTAGTCGGCACAGCCTGTTACTATGCGTTAATAGCCCGCATTGAACGGGTGTGGCACGTGGAAAACGCTTATCGTATATAGACAGTGACAATGACTAAATGTTTTGTTAACGTTGGGTTTATAACATTATAGCGTGCCTAGTTTGTTACGCTTGTAAGCACGAAGCGAGTGCAACGTCCGGTTTCAGCGTTGGCAGTGATTTAGTAATAGGGCGCAGTTCGAGTTCGTCTTTACTTTTAAATACTGTATTCTGAGGTAATTATTAGTTGCAATATTTACCTTAGAGGATGCCACAACCCTTATTTGTGTTCTTTGTCCAACTACAGAGGCGGACTCGGTTGCAGAGTAGCTTACCTTTCAGGATTAACTTTTCATGTTTACATCGGTGCCTTCATTCGAAAATATGTATATTTAATCAGTTATACAATATCAAGTGCCTGAATATGTTTAAGCACTATACTTCAGTGCTATGTAAGTTCAGATTAGCAATAAACACAAAGGAGGAGAGAAAAAATAAATCCGGTCAGATCGGATTTGTCAGTTGTGCAGTCACACTGGCGCCATCTAGAATGGGACGAGCGAAATGGAAAGCCACTTGTTTTCTTCAAATTTCTCTTTTCGAAAAACAAAATTTAGAAAGGAAGGGGACATTACATTATACAAAAACTTCAAAAACATGTCTTTTTAGTTTTGCAGTTGTTCGAAGATGATTTTTCACCAGTTCGCCTGTTGAGTATAGTACTACTTGTTTCTGTATGCTTCTTCAAGATGTTGCTACTTCTGCTTCGATTGGGGATGGGCTAGATTTGGCCTCTTTGTCATTCTTTTGGCGTGCACTTTTTTTTTTTTTTTTTTTTTTTGTCGATTGATTACATTTAACACGTTCGAGTTCTTGAATGTCTTTGATATTAGATTGTAGTCCTGTAGAATCATTGCTCTAATCTACAGCCCGCCTTTGTTCTGACATGCAATCTGGAAAATTTGTGAACTGTGAACAAGCAGGGCCGTGGTCAACATCCACCAGCCTGCCTTGTCAATAGCACTTCCGAACGCTGGTCTATGGAAATCGTCCAACGCTTTTGCACATACATGCTGTGTAGTAGTCCTGTTCACAGTTCAGTCAGTTCAGTACCGACAACAATCAGTGCCTGTCGCTGCAACAATCAACAAATAGAATCTGGGTAAAAAAAAAAAAAAAAAAAAAAATGGAAAAAGTTTTTAAGTGACGCGGCACACACCAAATTAATTCTAACAGTTATTAATTTTTGACGTAAACCAAACGTGACATGACGTCACGGACGTCAAAATAATTCTCTTTGGCCTCGTGTCGATAGTCGAAAATAGCGTCCCGTGTCACACACACAAGTTGCACTCGTGTGTGTGACTATGGTGCCGGGAACGCGTCTCCGACTGGTGTCTTTCCCGCATCCAAAAAGAGTTGTCCCTCGATTTCCGCCTTATGACGTCATAGACATGTCATGTCGCCGGTCGCGATCCTGGCGGTGCCCCAGCAGCGGTGGTGGGTGTAGCCGTGTAGCAGACGCCTGTTCTGCTTCAGGTAGCTTCCCTCGCCCTCAAGTAAAGCAAAACCGGCTTGTGTTGGGCAGCTAACGGGACTGAGGGTTTCTAAAAGTGACTCACATGATCGGCCCGAAAGCCAGAAGAACACTCGAACATGCCCTGCAATGATAATTTCGGTTTCGGGCAGCACTTCAAACGCTGAACACAATATATATATATATATATATATATATATATATATATATATATATATATAAAAAGTCGGATTTTTTTTCCTTTTAAATTGTGAGTATTTGCACCAGTTTTCGCTTTCTTTTCTTTTTTTGTAACAAGTTATCGCTTTCTGACCTTGTTCGTCAGTGTCGCCGGATGGCTTTTGTGTGGCGGTCACGCGAAGCGGCGCGAACGTTTTTTTTTTTTTTGTTTGCTTGTTTCTTCAAAGTCCGTTTGTGCGCAACGTTAGTGTACCCTCGGCACGAACTGTGTCGTTGTCCAATTGCCTCTTTTTTCTTTCTTCTTCTTCTTTTTAAGTTGTCTTTGCGACTTTTACATTGTTTAGGCCGTGAACATCTACTGCTTTCCGTGACCGGAAGACTGCCTTTTCTTTTCAGTCGAAGGCCAGAAGCCTGTCGACACGCTAAAACAAATAATAATAATAAAACAACAACAACAACAACAACATTGCTCGCATTTCTAGAGGTACGACTCACACGACAGTGTGTTGTATCTTTACTAAAGACATCACAAGCAAACCGAAGGCCACTGGCGACATTTCTGCGAACAAATCCCGAATGAAAACTCTTTACTCCCTACCAATGGTTTAAAAAAACAAGACAAGGACTAAAAAAATAAAAAGAAAAAAAAAAAGACGCAACGGCCTGCTATTTGGTCAGGCTAAGGTGCCCGAGGTCAGGCGGGCGTCGAAACAGGAACGAAAGCGAAACGTCACCAAATAACGCATTGTTTTCACAAACTAAACTAAACTAAAAAAAAAAAAAAAAAAATAAAGGCAGCGGGACGTGAACAGTGGGGGTCAGTTGTTACCGTGCAGCATTTGAAGAGCTGTTTACGTTGGTTGGTACCCTGCTAGGGAGGGTATTATTATTATTAGTATTAACATATGGGTATGTTACCAATTTTTACAGGATCATTACGGATGCATCTCTTGGGGTAGCAACTTCGACTCCCATTTCTGAACGCCACAGGTCTGTGTCATGCGGTGGAGCTGGCACCTCAGTTTCAAAGCTGGTAAGTTTTTACTCATCTTCTCGCAATTAGCGTAAAAAAATGAAGCAAACAAATCAAAGACGAAGTTTTATTTCTCGTCCCGATGATAGTTTCATTTTGGAGGGGTAATAAAAATTCAAGATAGAAACGCTACCCTGCCTTATTTGCCTTAGGTTGTGGAACTTATGCCCAGGTGAGAAACTCGGCTTACTGGGAATCAACTGGTCCCAACTAGAATTCAGTGGGAACCAATCGGGAAAATTCGTCTGCTTCTGCAGACGAACCATTGGTTTCACCCGCTAGGAGACCTTATTTCCCTTTCGAACTTTGACCCAGTAGGGTTAGTTCCGCCGTTTCGCTTTGTTCTCTTTCCACGGAGCCTCGGCTCGCGGGCACTTCCTCACGCAGATTTAAGGTTCTCATCCGTGACGAGGGTTGCGATCATATTCTGTTTCTTGCTTTTGTTCGGACCGCGTAAGTTCCACATCCGTTACGGCGAGATGATCTTCATAGTGGCGATGGCGAACGATCGGACCACGACGCAATTTCTCTCTTTTCAAAGCATCCTTTGATGTGTTTGAGGAAAGCGTCCGTGGCTTTGCACTTCGCTTCGTTTGTAGCCGCTGGTGACCCGCTCCGCTTTGCTGCTTTCGTTGTGCCCGTTTGTTCCGTAATCCGGAGAAGACCCCTTTTCCGGGCTTTCGTTTTCTTTGATCCGTCATCGAGGAGGAAGGTTGGTGCTCGCAGAAGACCGGCCCTTGATGTGATGTGTGCCGACGTTAGAAAGCTGTCTTCTGGGAGCTAATATTAACCAGACAGAAATAAAAATGTAGTACAACTGCCGGCGAGACTGCGATGGCTTCGTGGAAGTAGGTGAAAACATAACCTGCGCCGCGTTTGATTTGATAGCAGACGATTTTTCGTTTCTCTCGCAGCAGACAATTTCTTTTCTATCTTATAGGAAGCAACAAATGACGCCAGACTTTGACGAGTTTGAAACAACTTTTGAGTCCGAAAGTGGTCCCCAAATTCAAGTGCCTGAGTGATAAACAAAAAAGAACAACAAATACGGAAAAAACAAAACAATGACGCAGCTATTTTAACTCTAACATCGCGATCCTTGTTTGTTCCTCATTAGCTAAATAGTAAACAGTGCTTGTTTATTTCAACCGCTTAGTTTGCGCCCTTGGAACTTCGCCAATTAAATTTTCTCCGGCCAACTTTTACCTTTTTTCGATTACCGCGGACCGAAATCGAAACAAGTCAGACTTGGTCACACACTCGTCTTTCTTCCGTTTCAGTCTGCCTTCCACCTTTTCTTGTTGTAATTTCCAATTGCTCGTCGCTTCCGGACCGATCCGCATCGGGTTTTTGCCGGTTTTCCATCTGCGTTTTTTTCTCCTGGCGGGCGCTTCGGGCAACTCGGAGCAGCGGAGCAGACGATGGTTAGCGCGTCAGCATATCGATCGTTTCAGTTCTCGTGCTTCCTGGTCTTATAAACTGCACGCCAGCAGACGTCCTATCCTTTGTTTTTGTTTTTTTGACGCCTTTCCCAACTCATCGGTGGCTCGTCCGCGCCTACCTGCACGTCTGATTGAGGCAAAATTTCTCCGGCGTTTGGTTGTAACCGTTTGAGTTTCTGTTTGTCGTCTGCTACCACCCGTCAAGCTTCACTTCGTGGGTAAGTCGGCGGCATCCGCTCTGCGAATTGCCGAACCTTTCTGAAGTTCTAACGAATAGTAGGTGCCTCAATTGAAGCTCCCATTTCAGCTTTAGGAGCTGGGCTTCGCGTAACTTAGCGAGACTTTCGTTTTCTACTTCGTAACGAAATCTGACACCGTTTGCGGGCTTGCGTGATCGTTGTATCAGTTTCATTTTCTCAATGGGGTGCATGCATTTGTCGCTACTCGCTCATTCATTATGCTAGTGGGCGACTCTGCTCTCGAATTTTGTTTGACACGTTTTATCGCTCTGAAGTTTTATGGCTGTGCTATTCTTTTTTATTGTATTATTTTTGAATGCGTTTTGTTGGATGACCTTCGCTCTACATTAGAGTGTTGGAAATAGCCTTTGTGGATCGTTTCAACGCACTCGAGCATCGCGATGTCAGGTTTAGACTAGGTCTCTAGACGGTAAATGTTGTGTTGACAGCAAGAGCGGTTAAATAAATTGTGTCCCCCCCCCCCCCTCCCTTTTTTTTTCTTTATTTTTGTTACTAGTTTACTGACCACGCCCACCATTTATTTACTTGTCAGTTCATGAGGCTGTCCTCAAACTACTTATGTATTTTTTAAATATTTTTCATCTAAAAGAGAAATGTTTAATATATTTTGCTATGCATTCGTCAAGCTTGCTAGTCATTTTATGAATTTATTACTCTGTTATTATGAGCTTACTAAATAAAAAGAAAAAGGAAGAAAACAAGACAATAGGAAAAGTAATTTCAAAGCAATCCCCTCTTAATTTTTTGCAGTGTTTGACCGACTATGCTGTAGCTCTATTTTGTTATGAAGCACCTTGTGTTTATTGATTTCAGATTTTTCTAAAGATTATAAAAAAATGTTTTTAAGTATTTTTTTTTTTTAAGGTGAGACTAATTAAGGTTTCAACTTGCCTCACTTTGAGTTAGGACTATAAATATCCACGAGCGCTTAAAAAATTGGCCCGCACAAAATTTATTTTATAATGGCAAACTGAATAGGCATTGATTTATTGGTGTCTTTTTTGTATCTTTTGCTTTTACTTAGCATTTTCATAACTGAAAGCAGCCTACTTAAATACATAGATCTAAAAAACGCCTAGTGCCTTATTGTTTTTCTGTTTTTTTCCTCACAAAAAAAAAAGTTTGTTTATAGAAAAATTTGGGATTGCCTTAATTTTTTCTATGATACCCTTATTTTTTAAGGATATGGTTTATTTCTTAATAAATATACAAATATAAAGCTCCTGGCCCCCTTAACTGTATAATGCGTGTATGTGGGACTGGGGTGCACATTCTCAGGTTTCAGATACACTAGGGTGTGTCTTTCAGACGTGACAGTTTTCCCCTCAAACATCCAACCACATATATGATATTTAATTACTACACAGCAAAACATTCTCAAAATATTTAGGTGACCTAGTAGTAATATATAGCACCCCAAGAATGAAAGCAACTTTCAGCAATAGTTTCAACAGAGTTAAGTTGTATTGAGTGTACTCCGCCTTCTTCCTTCAAAGCTGTCAGGCCTTGCTATTGCAAAATGCCAGCTCATCCCTTTCTTTAAAGCTATCTCTTGACACACCCTGTATGTCTAAATAACACTGTTGTCATAAAACTGTCTCCGTAAGTACAAAAAAAACCTAGACAGTGTCCAAAAGTATATTGCTGTATCTGGGTGGGGCAACTTGAGCAAAGGGAGGCATTAGTGGCAGCTGACATTTCGCTAAGTGGACCACCATCTTGCACAAGCAGTCACTGTTTTACTAAGGTTCTTTGCAGTATGATGAAATGAGGGAGTGACGAGTTAGAAGTATGAGGTTGCGACAGCCCATTAAGTGATGATGTCACATCTGCATTCCTTGTCTCCATCGGGTCTCTTTAATATTCTAGGTTCACATGATTTGATGGTAGTCTGATATAACTTACTGTAATCTAACTCCTGCCATTTTTGTTTTCTTGTGATCAAACCTAGGCACACCCTTATATATTAAAATTTATCTTTCTTGTATTCTCCGGTGGCATGAAAACATTCTCAGTGCTTCATGAATGTCACTGCATTAATTATTTATATGACGGCAGTAATTCATGTTTATAAAATGTGGAACAGGCATCAGTTCTTGTTTACCGTGTTAGTTCTTTGTGATTGAAGCACCGAGTCGACTCACACTGCCCTTTACATTTTAACTACTGTTTTCTGCCGGAAGCAGACACTCTCATGTCTGGGACACAATGACTGCAAATGAGAGAACTCCCTTTTTGTAACAAACAAAGGCAAGATTATTTCTTGGCAGCAGTGACTACACTTCAGAAAAGAAGATACAGTGTAGCGTGGCCATAGCACCCCAGAAGTTAGAAAAGCAGGAATGTGGAAAATCATTGCAACCGCTAACCACGCGTTACGCGAGATGCTTCGCGAGAAAGTTGCGGCAACATCACAATGGGAAGCGAAGGATCACCTCGTTTCCTAGTGTCAGTTTCTTCATGGCCCCCTATCAAACTGTCTGTCATATCAAACTGGCCTTTGTCCTTATTCAGCCATAGACTTGTAAAAAGAAAGTTGAAGTTCAATCCGTGATGTGATCTACTAATAAGATGTTGTGAAGTCCCCCCTTTTGATTATGCTGTAATTCCTCTCGCACCAAGCCATTTTAATTAAAGAGTCTGTCCATGTTTGCATTTTTGTGTGTGAATTATGTGCTGTTTACCGTTTTGAGGCAAAGACATGTTCTCCCGATTTTATTTTTTGTGTTTTACGGACTCGAACCATTACTATAGTCACGCAGTTAACCTAGTTTACTTACGATTTGACTGAAGCCAAAACTTTTGACTTTTTTTTTAGACTTCAGTAAAGCAGTTGATATGGTACCTCATAAGTTATTGGAAGAAGAGTTATTGCATTTTAGTATGAACTGTCAAGTTATCTCCTGGATTTCCGAATATTTACACAAAAGATGCTAGTACGTTGTAATAAATGGGAGAGAATAAAAAAATAAAAAATAAAAAATTGTACAAGTGACATTGGGAGTCCGACGGGGGTCAGTTCTAGGACCTTTATTATTTTTAATACTTTAAACGGCTTATTTTTCGCGGGATCAATGTTTTGCAATTTAGGTCAAAGCTAAAATTTTGGAATAATTTGCGGGTTCTAATCTTCGCGACGCGGTAGGAGCTCCATCTAGATTCCAGTGCATTTATATTTTACCGGAATTATTCGCGGGACCTATTTTTCGCGAATTGTAGGCGATTCGTGAAATTTGCAAAAATTAGGTCCTTGTGAAAAATAAATCGTTTACAGTATATGTAAACAATGAGTCGGTTATTTCATGCATGAGAATGTTTGCAGATGATTGCATATTATGGTAGAGAAGTAACATCTGGTAGTGACAACACCATTCAAAGGGGCCTAGATAAAATACATATAGGGTGCAGGAAATGACAAAGGAAATGGAATCTAGATAAAACCGTGTGCATGTATTTTTCTAGAAAACTATCAACCACCGGTTCTTTTTATGAAATCAACAACATGAATTTAAGATAGATCAGTTTCCAAATATAAGTATTAGGTGTTTACCTCGCATCTTTGTTATGTTGGCATCGGCATATAGATTATACCGTAGCAAAATCTTAAAATCTTTGGGTTTCTTACGTCGAAACACTCATGACTTTCCACAGGTTACGCGGGAAGTATTGTGTAAAACAAACATGATACCTACATTAGAATATGCCTCTACCGTATGGGTATAAATAAAAATTAATTAGAAAAAGTTCAAAATATAGCAACTAGGTATGTTTTAGAATAATGAGTAAAAAGTAGAGAGTTTAGTGCAACGCGCTCCAGAAAAATGTTGAAATGGAGTACACTGAATTGCCGCAGAGCTTGGCTTCATTTGCAGTTTGTCCGCAGTGTATTTCACTCCTGGACTGGCATCCCACGTGAAACCTACCTGTTTTCCCCATATAACCTATCCGCACGTGTGTGTGGATCATATTCATAAAGTGCACGAATATAGGTGTAAGACTGCAGTTTTTAAGAGGTCATTTTTTTCCGAGAACAGTTTGCCAGTAGAACAGATTGCCTTCTGCTGTTGTCTTAATCTTGTCAAATGATGCCTTTTATGCACTGCTTTGGATTCGGTAGCTTCATTTGACTGATAGTATACAATTGTGTCAGAAATAAATCCCAAGCAGAAGTCTTACTAACACAGTAGATTATAATTAAAATGAGGTATAGGAGCTGCAGACCTTATTGTACTCCAAGGGACAGGGTTTCATATGTATCATTTGATTTTTTTAAAAATATGTCATGATTGTGAGAAATGCTTTGAATGTCACGAAATGTGTTAAAATGCTTTAATGTTACAAAATATTAAAAAAAAAATGCTTTGAAAGCTGCAAAATGAAAAAAAAAAAAAAAGCTTTTATTGTCGCGAATTGTGATGCATTTTGTCCTATCTACTTGGTGCTTCGTGCACAGCTTATTGGAGATGATTACCTGTTCAATTATCTTTCGTTTGCGTGCACATATCCGTCCCCCCCTCCTTCTTGCTGTAATGCTGAAAGGCTGTGCGGGTATCAGATAAATAAAAAGTCGTGCGCTGTACCTGTAGCTTCGTGCGACCTCGAATATTTGGCGAATACAATTTTGACGGAGAAAGAGGTGACTAGAAAGTTATAAAATTGTGCAGCTGGCTTTAGGCCTTGCAAAATAAGTGAAAACTGTGCAGAAGTATGTTTTTGCCCCCAAAACAATGAAGGACACTCCAGTAGTTCTGTTGCGTGTTTGTTTAAACACCGGGAAGCAAGTCAGCTGCAGTGGCTATCTGGTGTCTCGCTGTAGGTGAGAAATTCAGCTGAGAAATTAGCAAGTGTAACGCAGCTGCTAGCCGAACGTGCTTCACGCGATAGGGATGCACGACATGCCGGTACAATGCCGAAGCAACATTTGTAGTTGGGTGTGTCGGCATAGAGTACATGGTACGTGCTACAATGCTTGCGCAAATCGAAACGAGCAGGCGTGACTAGAGCCACCAAATGAGCTACGCTTACAATATCGGCACTCCGTGCCCCGATCTGCTAGTGAATGCCGCCATCTTGGTGTTTAGTGCAGAGCAGACGCAACTGTCGATCGTCATAATTCAAAAGTGTGACTTCATCGGCTTTAGATACTGCCACACGCGTCTGCAAGCGCGCGCCCGTGGCCGACTAGTTATTGCCCTTGGCTCCTACGCAGAGGGCTTGAGGTTCGATGCCTGGGAGCGGACGCTTCTTTTTGTTATGTGTCTAAATGTCGCGTTCTGGTGTATTCGAGAACATTGTTGCTTATTCTAGGTCCAAATGTTCTATGTGTCGAACCTTCTACGCCGATTATTCCAGAAGACCACGCGTGTACATAAGGGCCGGCTTTGCGTGGCGAGCCAAAGTAAGTTTTTGCCCCAGCGCTTGATCCTGCTGCATCGACGACATCGATGCCTGCGACGCTAACCTTTTCCTATTTTGTTTTGGGCACAAGTTTGCCCCATTAAACGTTTAGTTTCTTCGGTTATACGTTGCCTCATCATTTGTCATTCGTGACAATACGGGGTTGGAAAGCTCGGGTGATATTGTTTTTCTCTGTCGCAAGCTGTTTTAACATTTCTGGAGGACGGAAAAACATTTCCTGCGATATCAAACATTTCTTGCGATTTCAGATAAAGCTTCAGACAACTGGCAACTGTGATCTTAAGCAAAAAGGAGGCCGAAGCATTGTTACTCTGAAGCGTAGCTTATTTTGTGCCTCATGGTTGAGCCCAGTATCCCTGGGTTTGGCAGCATGAGCTTCAGCTCCACTTGCTCAGAGCCGTGATGTGCCGAGACACCACATGTCCCCTTAACGAGACGCACGTACGCGACCCCCGCAGACGTGGACGCAGTCGCAGAGTGCGGGAACCCCGCGATGGAAGTCCCGTAGCCGCGCCTACCCGGCCAGCCCCCTTGACCTGGTGGTCCGGCTGTGCCGCTCGGAGGGCCGGCCCACGGCGCCGGGCCGCCGGCCGGATGGGGCCATGGCGGAGCAGCGCAAGTGCACGTTGAGCAAGCTGCGGGGGGACGCCCTGTGCGCCTTCAGCTACGGGGGCCCCCCGTGCTCCGGCCAGGGGCCCGAGCTGCAGCCAGGACACGGCGGCAGCACCAACCTGCTCAGCGGCAGCTGGGTCTTCTACAGCGCGGGGGGCGCCTCCTGCCCGCCGGCCGCCCTGCTCAGCCCCGGGAAAGCCGTGCTCACCGTGGATGCTTCGTCTACCCAGGTGAGGCGTTCGCCTTAGAGCTAGGGGCAAGGAAAGCTGCGGGCTTGCAGGACCTCGTCAGCTTACCCTGCTTTTTGCACGTGAGCACGTGCGGAGAATGTGATCACGTGGTGCACGACTGACGGTTGACTAGTTTAACGAGCTCTTAGCTTCCACTGCCCCTTAAGAATTAGAGGTGAATGGAGCTTATGGAATGTTCAAAGCCCCCATTGCTCTGTTCTCTTTCTTCGTGAAACATTGCACGACGACGACGGAAACTCGGCGATTGGTACGTGCCATTTCGACGCCGAGCATCTCTCGACTCATTGATTAAACATGAGTCCCAACCGAACATTGATGCGGCACGCCTATTCAATGCGCTTGGTTTTAATGTGAAGTTAGAAAGTTAGAAGTGCATAGCCGTTGCTACTTCAGATTGCGTTGGGGGGGAGGGGAGAGGGCGTCTTTTCGGGTGCCATTTATAACTTGTCTTATACCTTGCTGCGGAGCAGATGTTTCCTGCCTTGTAGTATCAAGAGCTACCTTTGTCCAGCATTGCTCGTGACATAACAAAAGCCGCCTCGGTGGCTCCGAGGCGAGAGCGCCGGCCTACGGATCCCCAGGTGGCGGGTTCGAATCCCGACCGAGGTGCCCGCAATATGACGGAGGCTTATTGCGGAAAAGGCGCCGTGGTAACCAAGCTTTCGGTTACACAAAATCAATCCTCAGTCCTCCGCTGGGGCGTGCCAGATGCCCGTCGTAGGTTTGGCACATAAAACCTCCAAATTTGACTTTTTCGTGACATAACAGAAGCCACCAGAGTAAATCGGGCGCGCCCTAGTAAGGTCTTGCTCTTGCGGGAATTACTGGGATTATATATCCAGTGGACAAGAATTAAGCTTCTAAACGTTGAGGTCAAGGATTCACATGTTTGGATCCCTCCGAAAGAGCCAAATAAGATTTATTTTCATGAAGAAGATTGAAGAGGCACGCATTTTTACCCAAGTTGCTCAGCAACAGGCATCGTGACATGGAGGGGAAAGCTTGAGAGGGGAACCTTTTTTTGGGACTGAGTATTTTGCACACTGTTCTTGAAAACTATGATGAGCGTAAAGTAAGGGGTTCTGCCTACCTTTTGATGTGGCTTTGTACACAATGAACTCCAGGCATAATGAAAAAAGGCTACCAGTTTAAACTGTGTTCTGGCATTCCATTTCAATGTATACATAGTGAAACACTGCGTTTATCGACATTTTTCACTTGAGAAATTGCCTTCAAGATTGAACCTTCTCCAATCCTTAGTACTTCACCGATGCTTTAGCTGGTTTTGTTGCGTCATTCCGGAGACCAATGAACAATCTGTTCCCGACCCCAGATCCTGACGGCCAACAAGGCAGCCTGTGCCCTGCTGGGGGTGATGGGCACCCAGGTGGGCAGTAAGCGACTTTGCGACTTCCTGGTCATGAAGAAGGGGCAGTACGCCCTGGCGGATGCCGACGTCGACAAGGCCGGAGAGGTGGTGGTCATCGCTGGGAAAGTGGTCAGTGCTTCTTTGTCGCTCCCTTCGTTGGAACGTGCTCATAACTCGACGCAGCCTCTTCCTGTGCCTCTTGTACCGGTTGTCGGGCCCTAACTGCAGTCGCGTCCTTATTTACCTGCCACACGGTACATTGTAATGTCAGTTCCGTCGACTGACATTATCTGATCGACTGATTCGCCGATCACCTAATGTCGTTCAATGAAACTGCGATTGAATTTTACCGCGTAGTGGGGATGTTAACGCTATAGTCACTTGTAGGATTATGACGGATTATCCTCCCTCTAGAACGCTTTGGTGTTTCGAGGGTGTCGATTATACACGCACAGCCAAAGCATCACCAAAGGCAACAAGTGAATACTGCCATTCTCCTTCTGTTAAGGACTACATATAGTTTCGTGCAACTGAAGCATCAGTCTATTAGTCTGGAGGAGGGCTCGATATTCCCGCATGCGTAGCCGAGCTGGCACCCCGTTTGGCTCCGCACGGAGTTGCAGAATTGGATTTCCGGCACCGTACAGAATTCACTCGATCGGCCGGACGTTCCAGATGGACCTGATCGACAGTGATGGTGAGGTGGTGCCGGTATCCGTCTGGGTTCGTAAGCTCGACTCGGACTCTGAGCCCCGCTGCCTGGTGGTCATGGAACCCGTTCAGAGGACCACAGCTACGGTCACCTTTGATGCCGCCAGGGTGAGTGGTGCCGATTCCAGTTTTCGGCTGTGGTGCCTGGAGCGCATCTCGAACCGGTGTTGTGTGTAATTTTATAAATTTCGCGGCTCAAAGTTTGGTGTCGGGCGTCTATGGCAAAACCGAAACTATCTACTAGGGAGATGGCAACACTGATTATAAGTCGTATGGCCGCGAAGCGATGTCGCCATGGTGCTGCGGTACGCGGTACAATATGTGCAGAATCAACCGCAGCTCTTCTGTGACGTGACGTCACGGGAGTGCAGTGCCAGTGTTCCTCGACTAAAAGCTAACCCGCCTGCTGCCCACTGAAGAGCAGCTGGTCGCATCTTTAAAATCGGTTTTAGTGGAGTACGCGGCTTCACTTTGACGTAAAATATTTCGGATGTGATCATATTTCGTTCCAGTAAAGCGACACCAGTCGTTTATTTTGGTTTCGTTTTCGACCGGAGTGTAACAATTTAATGAGGTACGTCACAGAAAGACTTCTCGAAGAGCTGAAACTATGCCACGGAGGTTGTCTAAACAACTTATTGTGAGCACCGGCTCATGGGGTCCAGACGAGCAGCAAATGAACCGTGCCATCTCCTGTGTACACAACCCAGGGCCAGATCCTGACTGCGGACAAGAGCCTAGCCGTCCTGTGTGGTTATTCTGAAGGTTCAGACCTGGAGGGTACTCCCATCACGGACATCATCCCGTCCCTGGTGCTGCCCCCTGCCGAAGACGGTGTGCTCAAGGTTAGCCCCCTCCCCCCATAGATAGCCTCTTTGTCGTCGAGGCTTGGCTCAAACCGTAACCAGTGATATGTAAAAAAGAAAAGAAGCCCTGCTCTAGGGTTTGCAGAATCGGGGATGCCGCTGCACTATGATGTAAAAGGGCCAGATCTCGTTGCATGCTCTTTTTGTTGAGACAACCTTTGTAATGAGGAAATAAAACGGGAAACTTGCTGCTACAAAGAACCAAAATAACTATGCATACCATAATATACCGAGCAAGTGCGAAAGTCTGGAGATAATCTAGGCCCAAGAGCAAAAATACAGAAAGAGCACACGATCGGGTGGGCCCTTGGTCCAACTACTGAAATCAAAACGGCGGCCATCTCGCGCGCTCGGCAAATGGCCATCGTTTGCCGAGCCAGTATGAGCGCACCGACGCGAGAAAACAAAACTTCCACGGGGAAAAGTGCATAAACTGGTCATGGAGTCAAATTATCTTGGTGTAAAACAGCAAAGCCAAAGCAAAGGTACCAAACCCGTCAAATGACTCTTCCGAGCCTAAACGGAAGAGTAGATCGATGTGCTCGTCGGTTAGGGCAGCATGATCATGGGGCACCGATGGGGACCCAACGCCTGCCAGATGTTTGTGGAGCCCCCTGCCCTCAGTGCCGTCGAGTGCGGTGCCGACGCCGCAGCCTTTGAAGGATTGGCGAATCACTTCCTCGGTTACTGTGGCCCACGCATTCAACATGAAATCGAGAACGTCCTGCCGCGAAGGCTTCTGGAGGTTTCCTCTTGCAGTTTTTTTCGTCGCGTCACGTAAAGGTTTTCTTGCTGTTGTTTCAGCGAATGTTTGAATTATTTGAATGAGGATTGGCTGGCTGAAGGACGGCGGCGCAGCCTGCATGGACGTACAGAATATATGTCCAGCGCCCTAGCAGCGTCCATTACATCTTTCGTTTTGTGTACTGGCGCCTGATCGATCACAAGTAACTACTGAAAGTCATCACAATTACTTTCCTAAACTATCCTCATTAATCCATTTCTTTATAGATGCGAGACACACATTGCTGCAAAAAAAGAAACGATTATTGGATTGTTTTTGCATATGGTTGCAGTCATTCTAAGACTTCGGCCGAGGGGAGGGGAGGGAGGGGGGGGGGGGGGGGCAGTTGCTGCGATTCGGGTGCATGCTTGGTATATTACGGTAGTCTTTTGAAGTCCACACTTTTTTCGTCGAAATATGAGCATACCGTAAAATACCGGGCAAGTGGCCCACTCAAAATTTAAAGGTAATCTCGAAAAAATGGAGGATGGGTGCTTGTCCGGTCATGAATTTTACACATCAATGTACTGTGCATATTTTCTAAGATCTTACAAATTTGGGAGTGGGCGCTTAGTGTGGAATGGGCGGATGCGCGGTATTCTACGGTAGATTTGGAATGCACCCCCGCGAAGGTTTTCAATCTTATTATGTCTTCCGACGAGACAGACTCGTTGCTTTGTTTCAGCAACTAGGTGCCATGCTTCCATACTGACCGTTCTAGCTCCGAAGATCATGACGCATTACTGAAGTGAGGATCCACGCGATTCGACGAGCCTTTCCCCGAGCAAATCGGATCAACGACCGTATCCTGTGGCGGCGATTGATGCAGACGGTGCGCAAGCAGCAGGCCACGGGGCGCACGCGGGACGGCGGCAGTTTCCCGCTGAGCATCCTGCTGGAGCCGCTCTCCGACGGCGTGGAGGGGCGGGGGCCGCCCTCCCCTTCCCCGATGGCCTACCGAGGCGTTGTCTGGGTGTTTGCCAACATCAGCGGCATGATCACGGTGCTGCCAGACGGATGCATCCACTCCTGCAACACAAACTTCTCTCTCATGCTCTTCGGATACAGCCAGTCCCAGCTTCAGGGGAAGGTGGGTAACCCGTCATGATCGGCCGATGAGAGACGCTTGGCCGTAATTTTGCTGGTGTCGTGCCGGCGTGGCACCACAGTACCCCGACGTATTGCCGGCACACCACTAGAAAACTTCCTTGTATATGGTAGGCTCTCTTCAATATAGAAATGTATGCATCCTGATAAATGTTTTTATGGCTGCGGCCAGTCCCAGCTTCAGGCAGACGTGAATGGCTCGTCGTGGTCGGCCAACGAGAAAGCTTAACCACAGTTTTGCTCATATTGTGCCGGCGCAATGCCGTTGAACCCCGATGTATTGCAAGTGTTGCACTAAACTTCAATATTAGAACATTTTATAATGAAATTTATGCACCCCGAAAATGTTTGTATGACTGCAGTCAATCCCAGCTCCAGGGAAAGTCGGTTAATCCGTCGCGAGAGGCCGTTGAGAAAGCTCGTCTGCTGTTTTGCCAGCAAAACTATACCGGCGCAGCGCTGGCGCAGTGCCAATGAATCCCCGTGTATTGCCAGCATACTGCTATAGTCACTGACGGAATGGTAATGGCGTGGAGGAGTTTGTTGTCCCGCCTCTAGCACGAACTTCCTTCATTTCTTTGTACTTTGGCATCTTGTGAGCCAAAGCGAAGCTCCTGCTCGAGACGTACCAGTTCATGCCAAAGGACAGTTTGGTTTCGACAGAGTCAGTTCTGTGCTAGCCGGCCACTCGTAGTTCCGTCTTGGGCATTCCATGATTTCGTGGTGTTATGGTTAAAAGGATACTGGCACGGATAATTGCAGCTGTAGTGATAACAGCCTTCCCCGACATTTCGCGTTGCAGCACATTACGGTGGTGATTCCGTCATTCTACGACGACTTTGAGTACCTGGACACGGATTCGGTACCACTGCCTCCATTAGACGACGACGAGGAAGACTCGAGGGCCTGCGCTTTTCTGGACGATCGTCCAGAGTCTGAGTGCTCTGAACTACCCAGGTAGGTGCTTTGCAGCTGGACGCCATATCTTCAGTAGAACCTTTGCCTAGGAAAGACTGCTCTAGTAAACATGCGGATGTAATGGAGCAAAGTTGAAGCGAGCCTTTTGTAGTACTTGTACGTAGCAAACTCGAAATATGTTGGTTGTGCCACTGTTACGTAGACAAGGGATATAGGATAGGACAGCACCGAGAAAAATGTTTTTCTCCTCTTATTTGTCGATCTTTTATGCAGTGTTGGGTAAAGTACAGTGTAGGCCGCATATAATGTATGTCAATGGGAGTTGCGAAAAATCACGCACATCAAAACATAAATTTTTCTGGTCAAATTACATGCCATGAGACAACTTACTTTTGTAAAAAAAATTTCTTTCATGTTAGTTTCAAAATAGAGCTCAGTCTGAGAAAAGCTCTTATTTCACTAGACTAGTAGACTTCTCTCTCGAGCACGTGGTGCATTTTGAAAGAAACTAGCGATTTTTGCCTGGCGCTGCCTTTCAACGGCATGGTGGACGACCTGGTCTTTGATAACGCTAAGGCATTTGAACACCTCATCACTGAAGGAGTTCTGCTCACAGTGAACGTTCAGTTTCTACAAGAATTCCAGTGCGTCTTTGCTTGAAACTTCCAACGTGCTCTCTTCGTCGTCGTTCGACTCATCTTTGGGTGGACACGCCCCAGAACCTCGCACCGCTGCAACAATAGCTTCATCGGTGGTTGCTTCCCCACGGATAACAGAGTCCTTGTCATCTTCATCTACATAGTTTTGAAACTTGTAATTTGCAGGAACAAAGTGGTCTTCCACAACGTTGGACCACATGTCTTCCACACTGTTCGTCTTGTGAATTGCATCACTGCGCCGACCTGCGTCCTCCGAATCCCCGGCATTGCGCACAAACCCTGTGTTGCAAAAATGCTTCTGGATGGTTGTGGCTTTTACTTGTCACCACGACGCGGTGATTATGTCAATGGCTTCCCTCAGGTCCACCTTGATGGGCTCCTCTCGTTGCAATTTCAAGACGACTCTTTCGCATATCCGCTTCTTGTAGAGCGCGTTGACTGTAGCAATGACGCCCTGATCGAGAGGATGGCTTTTAGCAGTGGTGTTTGCCAGCAGGAACTTCAGACTGCCTGCGCTTAATTGCGGCCGCACATTGTGAGCGCTGCATCTGTCCGGGATAAGAACGGCGTGCTGTTTTTCTGCGACCATGGCCTTATAGCCGCCATGGTCTTATAGCCGCCATTCTTCACTCGGAAAAATGACCAGACGACGTCTTGAAAGTCTATAGCGTGTTTTCACATGGCGATACACCATTTCTTTTGTTAGAGGTTGTTGAACTCTTTACTCAACCTCAGAAGTTGTGTACAGTATTGGGGAAGCCAGGGCCGTGATTGCGTGGTCCTTGAAAGATCTAACAAAACCGAGACCAGATTAAGGGAATGTACTTTGAAGTCTCGAGTTGTAGTACGTTTCTCAGAAAGTACGAAGAAAACTACTTTATGTGAAGTACAAGTATGTACTCGCAGTAAAGTACAAGCTTTCTAAACATACTTGAAATAGTATTTAAGTACAATGCATACCTGTCAAGTCCCCCGTATTACCCGGGAGACTCCCAAATTCTGACCACCTCATGCAGTTGTACGATTGACAGAAAAGTCTCCCGGAAAATGCAAAGTGACCCCCCCTCCCTCCCCGCACTTAAACAAGGATTTTTTGCAGTCGCAACAGACGGCAGCAATGATAGCGATGCCCAGCTGTGTCTCGCTAGCATGAGTAGTGCAGTACAAATGAAGTATTTACGTAAATTCATTGTCAATACTCCTTTTTATAAAACTGCTACCCCCCCCCCCCCCCCCTCGCCCTCTCCCTTTGGGAATATCCCAGATCTCTTTTCTCCAAACTTGGTAGTTATGACAAAGTACTTAAGGTGCTTCCCAACACTGCTTTTATGCCGTTTGTTTGTTAATAACAACAAGGCGACTAACCCATATGTCAACACTACTCACAATCAACAGCAAGACTCGCAAAGGTCAGCACTTTGAGAGCAAGCCACCTCCCAAACGCAGGCCGCTTAACCCGCTGGGAAAGTCGTTTTCGGCGCGGTGTTCCACGGGAAGAGGTGGCGGGCACGCGTCCATGCTGGAGGATGCGGTGACGTCGGGCCTTCAGGACCTGAGCCTGACGGGGTCGGTGACTTCGGTGAGGCAACGCAGCAGTACGGCCCCCTTCCAGCGATCCACGTCGGCAGCGGAGCCCCTGGCTCCGCTGGTGGGCCCTTCCGGGGAGGGCGGGGAAACTTCGGGGGCAGCGGGGACGAGTGGGGACATCAACGGCAACGTGGGGCTCAAGGTGGGTCACGACAGTCCGTCATTCGTTTGCGGTGAAGGGATATGCCAGGCATGAACTGCAGTTTGTTTTGTCACGCATTTCGGAGTGAGGGTTATAACGGGAACGGGGATGGGGGAAAGGAAAGGCAGTTTAGAGTGGGCACACTTTTTGAACATAGCTTACATTTTGTACACAGTATTCGCTTGATGGCACGCAGGTAAGCAAAACTTGGAACACGCTGGTCTTTGGGGCTCAATCTTTGATTTTCTAGACCAGGGGTCTTCAAACTTTATGGCTGAGGGACCGAATTAGGTGTGTCTCGCAGCCTCGAAGGCCAGAAAATAAACAAGTAAATATAAATGCGAAAAGAAAACTAAGTAAATAGACAAAAAAATTTTAATGCAAAAGTTTGAACTAGAGAAAAAAAATAATCTCTTAGATTTTCTATTACTCTAGAACCTAGGGTGTAATAATAGAAAGCCTACATGAAAATATTATGACTTGCGAGTAATACAGTTGAATATATAGTATAATCGAATATTTAGCTAGTTATATCGCATAATGATTGCAGCAAAAAAATGACCGCATCTCCACGTGGTGAATGATGTTGATTGATGATGGGATGGCAATCAATGTGAGCACGGGCGCCGGACGGACAAGGCTAAACCCTAAGGAGCTTTGCCCTTAAAAAACCTCACCAGGCATAAATCGAGGTACATGGGGGGGGGGATTGGTGGCCGAGTGGTCTAGCGCACACCAGCTCGGAGCACGTGGAGCGGAAGCTCGCGCTGCAGAACCCAGGGATCCTGGGTTCGAGCCCCACCCCTGCCCGTTTCGATCTGGATGAGCATCGTACCGGCGTGCGGTCGTGTATCACTACTGCGTGGTGCACGTTAAAGACCCCAGGCTAGCGGCTGTACCGCACTGGCTAAATTTCTCATCTACAGCTGGGAGACTCGTCGCCCCTGTGAGGCGGACCAAGTTCTAGGCTGTATAAACGCACACACAACCCAATTTTTTTTCGAGGTACATGGGAACGTTCGCATATTTGCAAATGGCAGAAGACTAATGAATATGGCAGTAATGGTTACAGAAAACAATTTAAACTTAATTACGCAGACATACAATGGGGCACCATGGTCGGGCCAGAAAGGAAGTCTCCTCCTCTCCAGCGTTCGCTCTGCTAAAGTGGAAAGAGGTGGGAGGGACTTCCACTTCACTCTTAACCTGTTGCCGACCATGGGAATGGAGATGCCGGCGATGACAAGTGTGCAATAGAGGCGATTCAACAGGGGTTTCCGAACCCCGCGGGCCGGGGTTTAGAGACCCCCGTTCCAGACACACGTCGACCTCTGCGACTGGGTCGTTTGCGTGCAGGTTTCGACGAGTGCCGACCAGCTGGACTCGTGTCCCTTGAGGGGCGGGGGCGACCTCTATTCGGGAGACTCGTCCACGCTGAAGACGGAGACCCAGCACCGTGGGGCGCACCACGCGTCCCGAGAGGACTCCTCGTGCACCTCTTCCGCTCGCCTCCTGCGCGGGCTCGTCGAAGAGGAGGAGGACGAAGACGACCTCGTGCTCCCCTTGGGTCAGTCGTGGCTCTCGGGATGAGCTATCTACGGTCACCGATGGAAGCGAGAACGGCGTACCGACAGCAATGCTTTGGCTGGGCGCCCATGTTCGAGACGCGAAAGCGTTGTCAAATGTATGAAGCTAGCGCCTCCTTCCTGCCGTTCTCGGCTCATCAGTGACTACAGTTTTAGGATTGGTCTTTATTTTATTTATTCTTTTGTTTAACACCTTATTATCTATCTGTAATGGCCGATTTCATCTGCGGTTGAAAGGTGAAGTTGCCAGTGGCTCATTACCAGGGTTATCGCATCTCGCAATGTAGCCTTTTACGTCGCGTGGTGTGGAGATACTTCCCCTTCACGCAAACTGTCGCGGCAAAAGCGGCGGCGACACGACGTGTCGCGTGCTGCCCCGCGGTGATGTCGCACGGAGAAACATGGTAGGCGTCACGTGCTTCGACGGCACAAATGTTGTCGCGTGTGGCGTCTCCGAAAGAAAGCACTGCCCAAGCTGGCGTTCCGAAGGGAGTGCGACAAAAGTTTGTGTCTTGCGATTGCACGCCCCAGCTTTGGCCGTGCCATCTTTCGTGTCCGTTTCCTTCGAAGCATGTGCTTGTTCTCTTTCCCCGCGCCTCCCGCACACCCTGCCAGTGACGAAGCTGTAGCGATGGATTTCCTGCATTGCGTACGGAAGCTTGGACGCCGGTGCCGTGTCGGTATTCAGTCGAGACTCCTGCTCGGTCAGAGACGGCACATGTTCCGACCTAATGCAGATGCTGCACTTGCGCGACACTTTCGTTACTGGTAGCTGGTAGAAGCCAACCAAATAATGCATTTTGTGTTGGACATATGCGGTTACTTGGTCCGTTAGGGCTGAACTTTATGGAGCAAATATGTGGGGAACAACCGACGAACTTTGCTCGGCAGCACGTTCACCCTGCATGCGGTTGCGTGCAATGCAACGGCCACTGCTCCAAAGCCGCACATAAAGAAAACACCGTTGGACAATGTAGTCGCTTTTATTTTTGCTGCACGGAGTTCGGCCCCGACTCCACGGTGACTCGAGATGCGCTTCGTCCCCGCAGGCGAGGTGCGCCTCTCGACGTCAGACAGCTTCCACTCCACGTCGACGATGACGTCGAGCACTGTGCACAGCTCGGAGGAGAACACGCAGGAGGACGGGGCGCCGCGCCGCAACTCCTGGCGCCCCAACAACGCCTCCCCGTCGTCCAGGGCGGGCGAGGACGCGGCGTCGGGGGAGCGGGCCCTCCGTGCCGAGCTCAAGACCTTCAGGAGCTCAGAGTCACTGCTAAGCATCGCTGAGGGGTCCTATACGGGTCAAGGTCGTCATCGAGACGGCTCCCACATTGGTACGCCTCTCAGATTGTGGGGTGTTGTTTGCCGCAGCCGTTTTTATTTACGTAATGACACTTTTGTACGTGACTATCTTCGAGGTGCATCTGACGACGCTTGTTCTATTACCACCGTAGTGTCGTGGCGAGCGATCTGGCGGCAGCTATTAACGCGGAATATGTTATGTGGCTGGCACCTTACCATGTCCGGTTAGGCGCCGGCAAGGAAAGTTAACGGGTCGACTGCCGGTTAAATGCCCACACGCCGCTCGTCTCCTCGCCGAGAGGACACCGGCGCTGGTCGAACCTCTTCCTCAAGTGCCTGCGTGTCACTCCCGGTGGGAGTAAAACGTTACGTGTTAGGACATATGGCGGCGCTCTGCTTTGTGAAACGAGCAAGAAACACAGTTGCGTTTCTTGGCTTTAATAAGAAATATATGCGAATCTGTTGCAAATAATTAATGGGGTAGTCTCCTGACACCATATTAAATGGCCTAGCAAAAAAAGAAAAAAAATTTTTGGGAGTGTCGGTGCCTTTTTAAGAGTTCAGGGGAACTTGGGGAAGCCCTCCCACCTCTTCTGACTTCAGCAGAGCTAACCGTAGAGAGGAGGTGACCTCCTCTCCAGCTTTCGCTCTGCTAAAGTGGGGAAAGGTGGGAGCAGCTTCCCTGTCACCGACTGTAAGTTGACAACAACAGCCTCGCTCTGTGCAATCTAACATCTTAAAAGACCCCACATAGTGTGTACATGTGCACCCACCCTCCATGTGTCTTAGGTTCCGGAATTCTATTTTACAGCAAAGCTGTTTATGGCTAGGGTTTTGTGGATTTTTCATGTGCGTCAACAAAAACTCGTGGCGCACTCTGTGAAGAAAGGTAAAAAACACAGGCGAGCTGGTGAATGATATCTTAAGACACTTTGTTGCACTGTCCGTTTTTTTATTTTTCCTAGGTCTCAGGGTTACTATGGATAGCGCACCCTTTTTGTCATTGTTCCAAGCGCTTGCGTGCCTAGTTTTCGTCTCTCTTGGGATGGCGGTCCCGTCATGCGCTTGCGCGAGAGTCCTCGCAAATCAAACTCTAAAACAAGACCAACGGTGATCAAGATCTCAGCCTCAAGGCCCCTACGCAGAGTTGCGTTTGAGAGCGTTGGACTGCACTGCGTCGAAAAATGAAAGCGAGTCACTGGAACTGTGCGTAGGGGCCTTCAAGCTCGCACTGCTCACACCAGACGCATTCTCTGCCCCGCGATGACTAACGTCACGGGGCGAAGAACACATCACAAAGACGCAGGTACCGTGCTTCTAAATTGGTCAACTTTAATGGAGCATACGCTAAATTCAACAAAAACCTTCTGGCCAGGTTGTAGGGTGTGTGATTAGCAGCGGTTCGACGACGACTTGACCAACATCGGCAGTGTGCAGGATTCTGCAAAGTGGACTCGTGCGCTGCAAGTGTTGTCGGTGACCACTTGCGCTTGATCGATATGACCATCGATCAAGACAATTAATGTGTTTGTACCTTTGTTCAAAATTCTAGGCAATGTTTTTGTCGTGTGCTAAACAGCTTTGCTGGTCATCCACCTTAACAGAGTGGAATGGCTCATGATTTTTATTGGGAAGGTGGTTCCAGACATGGCACATGCCAGGCCTGAAAGATAAGTTGAATCTTGCTGCTATGAAACCCAAAGTGCCAACTTGGTAATCAATACTACATATAAAGTATGTTATCAGCCCTTCACCGATCATTACACTCGTTACAATAGAACATGAAGGGTATGCAGTCGAGCCTGGTTATATCACACCTGGGTATTTTGAATTAATGTTTATATCAAACAGTCAAAACATCCCCTTGAAAATCACGTGTAATAGTGTATGAGTGTTTATTTTCTGTATCAAACTCTCGGTGGGGACACTCGCTATAGCGAACTAAAACGTTGGCCAGTCGCTTCTCCCGGTGTTTGTGATCGTCAACTAAGCTATACTGTATTTAGCGGCTCTTAGAGGCTCTATTTGGTATGGTCCCGTTTGTCGTGGCCTTCGGTATTAGCAGAGACGCACGGAAATTTCAACTGGAGCTTAAGTTAACATATTTTTGTATATCAAATTATCGATATATCAAACTATCTTACGTTCTCCTTTCATTTCGATATATCCGGGTTCGACTGTAGTATGCATAAATCCTACCATATGTGCAACTCACACTTTCTGGTTTGACACAGTCACCTTCCACATTTCAGTAGGGTAACCTAGATTTTAATTAAATTCACATTTCGAATTTCTTACAAGATTTCACGAGCGAGGATCACACAGGGCACGCGTCTCCTGCATCGGCACATTTCTTGCTACTTGTAGGATAAACACAAACAAATTGAGGTGCTTCAAGGTAACCTTCTAAGCCCTCTACTGCTCCTCTCTTCATGCACGTGCGTTCCCCAGCGATAGTGTACCAGATCCGGAGGGTGGAGCTGGAGGAAGGATCCTCCATCTACTGTCTCTGGGTTTCGCGTGACCTGGAGGTGGACGGTTATGTGCCCCAGTACCCGACGCCGTCCTGCCCACTCAGGTCCCTCACTCTCGGATCGTCCTGCTCGGACGGTGAATCGTCGCACAACAACGTTGATCCGGTGAGTTGGCACCGCTCTTGCTCGGTGCAGGCTCGTCCCTTTGTTCGACACAGTTTCAACAATTTCATTGTTAGTCCGGGGGAGCCACGACAAAAAGTGACCCTGCAATTATTTACGGGTTGCTTCCAAATTTGTGCAGAAACTAACAACTTGGTAAAGTAACATGCAAGTAAAAAAAAAAAAAAGAAAAAAAGTTATCTTGAAGTTTGCAGTCTAAGGAGTCGCAGGCGGGGTTCTGTTTTCGGGGTTTGTTTTTGTTAGAGTTCGCGGGCGTTTTTTGGGGGTGGTTTATTTTTTTACAACAGATTCGGCATTTCTTTTTGTCTATTTTATGGTGTTAGACAAGACTGGCGTTTGTCTGAGGCTTGCGTCGAAGTAAACAGGACGAGGGCGTATGATTTCTCGGTCGTCAGCGATCAGGCGTGCGACCCTAATAGTACTCAAAGAGAATCTCGGCAATATTAAAAAGAAACGAGATGGGCATTGTCCCTAAAGAAAGGAGAGACCTCGTAGACACCTTGAAGCAGGCTGCGTTTTGAGTTAACGCAAAGGAAAACTGTAGATAAAATCTTCTTCCCACAAAGCTCCATTTTTTTTTAAATTTGAGGAAAGATTCATTTTTGGGTTTTTTCGTTTTTCTTGATTTCGATAAAACCGGATCGGGGGTTACTCTTCAGGGTTTATCCAAATATACCAAAAACCTGCAACGCTATTTATAATGTGTCCAGTGTTCCTTGTCACCACGCCACATCCCTGTGTAACGGCGGGCTTGCTACTTGTAAAAAATAAAAAGTGAAATGGCGTAGGGGAGAGGGGGAGGTATGGAACAAATTTCATATCATTATTTTTTGTACAAATTTCATATCATTATTTTTTGTACAAAAGGGAAGGGGGGGGGGGGGGTGCTGCTGCCAGAGGTAACATCCCCTACAGGACTGGGATGCCTGGTGCCCAGGGCCACTGCTACGCCACTGCTAATAAACAGTGTAGGCCGACAAGTCGACATCAAACATGAAGGACGATAGCAGTTGTTTTGTTCCTCCAACTGTGTGCAAGTCTGGCAACTTTGACACAATGTTGGTCTTCGGTACAGTGCTTATATCTACCTGAAGCGGAAAGTGGAACTTCCCGCTGTCGTCTTTCCGTCACAAGAAGTCGTCGGTACTTTCAACTCTACTGGCGAGAAACATAACCAATCTTTTGGTGCGAAACCTCACAAGGACAAAGTCATCTTGGTCAAGTTTTGACCTCATCAGTCAGCCAATCAATTTCCAAGAGCTCGTGATCGACAGCAAACGACACATCACTCTCAGTTTCATCAAGCTGAATGGCAGTTGTACAATCGTCATCACTTGAGGAGCTGGACACTTCTCAAATCATCCCTTTTTGCCTACGATGCTCCTTGGCAGTTCCTTCTGCCCTGGACAGTTGTCGCATTTCTCGAAGCTTCTTTCTTTTAATCCTTTCAGTGGTTTCTTGTTCAATAGCAAGTGTTTTGGGGTTATTGGTCAGCATCGTGGTCCACCCTTTTTTCCTCTCTCTTTGCCCTGTTTTGCGTGGTGGGAAGAATTGGGGTTGTGAGCTTAGTTGCTGTGCATGTTGCTTCTGCACATGTCGGCTTCACCCAAATTAGTGCTACTTTCAGTTGTGTTGAGGAAAGTCGGCACATGAAACCTCTGCGAGAGAATCATGTGAACCGCTTGCGTTACTCATGACAATAGCTTTTTGTGGAACTGCCAGTTCACTGGAGGGTGCCTCGGGTCGGGTACACCCAAAAATTTTCATTTGTTTACTCTGCATATGTTTTTTTTTATATAAATTATTTTTATGTTTGTTAATGCTAAAGAGAAGGTAAAGGCTTGAGCACTTCAAACACATTTTTCTCTGTTCCACTTTTTGGCAGAAACTTGACCTTAGGAAAACTATTGTTCGGCCACAGGACGAAAGGAAAGGCTCGTTCATTGTTTTTCCTAACTGGAATTTAATGGACGACGCAACTGTGGCATTGTCTATTTTAGTTTGTTGTTGTCTTTAAAAAGATGTTAACACTACCTCGACGACATAAAAGGCAAGAAGTTAGATTTTTCAGCGCGACGTTAGCATCAAATAAATTACTTTTTGGAAATTTTGTTTGCACAGTTGCTCTCTGATCACTCTGCTGCGTATCTAGTGAAGAAAAATGTGGGGTATTCCATTAGTTTCCTAATGATAGTTTTCCCAAACAATGTCAGTGTGTTCCAGATGAAATTGACTTTCTTTCACAATGCGATATACTGTATTTGTGAAAACCTTGTTCAGGCCACAGGTGTGGCCTGAACAGGAGGACAATTTGATTTTTGTGTCTTCCCCGCTCGCTTTGAAGGAGGACCCCGATCACAATGCCGCGCCCAACGAGTCTGCAGAGAGCACGGAGTCCGAGTACACCGGGGGCATCTATTCGGACCACTACACCACCCTGCAACAGATCGGCAAGGGTGCCTACGGCTGCGTCAAGATGGCGTACCGCAAGACAGACCGCCTTCTGGTGAGGAGCACCAGCCCTGCAGCGGCCATTGTTGCCAACCCGATACCTACCGACGTTGCGGCCTGTTCATAACGAAACGACGTCCTCAGCCCTGTTTTGGCAGCCCAACTCTTGGAGATCCAGTTGTAACAAACTGCTAGATTAAGAAACATGAAAGAACAAGGAAAATTCCAGTATGGTTTTAATCTGCCATATACAGTAGGCTCGCGAAAATTCAAACTCTGATATTTCATACTTCTGGTTAATTCAAACAAATTCCAAAATTTTGGTTGTTCCACCATATTTCTAATGTATTCATAAACCCCTTAATTCAAACCGGGTTTTCGTGTAATTCAAGCTTTTTGTTCTCGCGGCCCCGTTGGGTGGGCTTCTTTCCGAGCACTGGTGCGCTGCAGAGAGGCAACACCCGCGTACAATTAAAACTTCCGATAATTCAAACAAAATTTGTGGCTCCCTGGGGTTTGAATTAACGAGAGACTACTGTACTCAAAGATGAGAAACATTGCGGCAGAAGGTTCATGTGGTAACGGACAAGGTACAAGCCGAGGTGCATTTACCCCTCGCAGGTGATCACCAAGTTCATCCGCAAGAGCAAGGTGTACGAAGAGAGCTGGGTGACGGACAGTCTGATTGGCCGGGTGGTGCCCTTGGAAGTGAGCCTGCTCACCACCCTGCACCACCCCAACATTGTAAGGGTGCTGGACGTCTTCGAGAACGCCGGACACTTCCAGATGGTCATGGAGAAGCACGGCGCCGGCATGGACCTCTTTGAGTTCATCGACAGGTCCCCCTGCCTCGACGAGCCCTTGGCCTCCTATGTCTTCCGCCAGGCCAGTCCTTTCGGTTTTTTACGCAGAATGTGTGCGGAAAAAGCGTGACGCCCCACTAAATTTAGTAGACTGTGCTCACACATTGTCGTCGGCGTGACACCGTTACATTACGTGACGTAATATCATCTGGCTCCATGGTGTCAGTCGTGTAACCTTGTGATGTTGCACACACGCAAACGGCACGTGAACAGCTCGTTTGCAACACGTGTTGTGTCTTGCAAGCTTGATTAAATGCTTCAACACACATGCTTAAATTTTTTCAAGGTCAAGTTGTTATTTGTGTCCTGCCTTTTTACTTGTATGACCGGTTCTGCCCATGTGGCGACAGAGCGCGGCCTGTATTTAAAGATATGGTGTTCTGAAAAGCGTTTTGAGGCAAAGTTACTTCGCTCATTCGTGTCCTTCCTTGGCCTTCCCACTTCCACCTGTGCCATAAAATTTTTTTTTTACATTTTTATTTTATTTGAGTAAAATACTTTCTTTTTAGTTTATTTTACTTGTACCGATATAATTTTTATAGCTTCTAGTTCGAATCGAATAGGGCTGTTCGGCAACTTTGAACATGCTTAAAGTATTTCGAGGTCTACAAACATCGCGCTGACCGCACGTTTCTCGAGCAGGTGGTCAGCGCCCTGTCGTACCTGCACGGCCTGCGGGTTCTCCACCGGGACGTGAAGGACGAGAACATCATCCTGGACGAGTGCTTCCACGTCAAGCTCATCGACTTCGGCTCGGCTGCCTTCATGGGCCCCGACCGGTACTTCACCACCTTCTGCGGCACCGTCGAATACTGCAGCCCGGAGGTGAGCCAGAGGTGACGATGATCCTCCTGGAAAAGCTTTACTCAATCTTGAAGCGCTCGTCTCCAGGCCGGCTTGCACATTTGAGTTTGACCGTGCGTCGCGATCTCTCGTAACTTCTTGACGCAACATGCTGGTGCCACCGGTCGGGTAGACTGGGAACTCTCAACCTGGCGTACCTGTGCCGATCTCTTGAAATGATATTACCCTCCGCGCGTTTTTCATGACGCGACAATTATTTCCCAATGCTGCCAGACCCTTTTTGTTTGAGAAAGCATCTCTTGAAAAAAAATGTAGGAGTATGTAACTTGAGGCACTGACAGGTCAAAATTATATATTTTTTAATTTTCCGAAACGATTGAAAGCAGTCCCTCAAAATTCGAAGCTTGGGAACTTGGTATTTGTGAAGTAAAAAAACAATTTCCAAAAGCCGAATTTGAAGTTCCCGCGCGATCCGCGCCAGTGCAGTGATGTCCAAGATTGAGTCGTTCTGCAACTCGAGTTTTCTTGTCTCCGAACCGTCCGGACTCGAAGTGTCATGCATGCCCGCTCCCGCGATCAGCTGCTCTGCTCAAAAGTGAGTGCACCTCTGGGAATTTTTTTTTTTGTATTGTGGTATTTTTTTTTTTATTTATGACTACAACTTGCATGGTTCTAGACAGCAACGAAAATACGACCTTTGGGGTCGTGTATTTTGTTGTCAGAGTGAAGTCGTGCTGTTCTATATCATTAAAGAAGGACGGGCATTTCAATGTCCTCGATTACAGATCTGAAAAAAGGTCAGCATATGAGAAGCGTTCTGCGACAGGGCAGGGACATACGAAGAGATATTGCTTGCTCTCGTTTTATTGAAAACTGCCAGTACGTCGGTGTTTTAAATCTTATATCAGGGTGGGTCCAAGTAGTCATATTTGCAAGTAAAAGCTAAAGATGGTAAAGTGGTGAGCTTACAAAAAGCAGAAAGCACAAGGCTCTAGAAAATCACCAGGGTGCCGCTGGGAAGATCGGCTGCTTTGCAAAACACCACTGCTGCTGCTTTTTTCTTTTTCCAAGAAATAGCAGTGTTGCTTTCTCCCCCTCGGTGGCCCTTTATTTTTCGGGGGTGGGTTATTTGGCCCTTAAACTCGAATAATTTTGAGACTGGTGGTCTAAAGTGATTGTAATTGTGCCGTGCGTATGTTTGGGCAGCCTGAAGTTAGTCAGCCACACCAGGCGTCTGAAGTTTTCACCATAAAAGTGCAGCCAGCGCAGTACAGTCTTTAATGAGCGTCGGGCAGTAGCGATGCATGACCGCACAATGCTTGTCCAGATCGAAACTGGCGGCGGCAAGCGTCTAGCCCAGGATTCTTGGGTCCCTCTGCGCGAGCTTTTGGTCCACATGCTCCGAGTTGCAGGGCGTTAGCAAACTTGGCCACTGATTTTCCTTGGACAGTGTGTGAAATGGATGTTGTGCCTGCCTCCCCCCCCCAGGTTCTGCAGGGCAACCCCTATGCTGGGCCCGAGCTGGAGATGTGGGCCTTGGGGGTGACGCTGTACACCCTCATCTTTGGGGAGAACCCCTTCCTGGACGTCGAGGAGACCATCTCGGCCTGTCTCAGGCCCCCATATGAGACCTCTGAAGGTTTGCGCTTGCCTCCGCATCGTTTCGACGGCGTTGTCTTACAAGCAGAGAAAAAAGCCGCAATTTTTAGGGAGCCTCAATGAGGTAGACCTTTTGTAGGCGCTTTGTTTCAAAGCGCTTATTGGAAAGAAATGAAGGTTTTTTTCTATTTTTATATAAGTGTTTTGGCAATTTGGGTTTTCCAGGTCATATTTAGAAATATAGAAGTATAATTAAAAATGAAGAGCATTGACCGGTCTTGAATACATATACTTCCAAGCAATATAGAATTGGAGCATGGTGCGAGAGCTTCACAGATTTTCAAAATTTTTTGTAAATCCAGCCATTGCCTACATGGCCTTTGAAGCATCTCCATCTCCATCCTAGACCTTCTCGTCTTTGGACATACAGTGCAACCCACTTATAACAATAATGAGAAAACCTGCAATTTCAATCGTTATAACCGATTATCGTTGTATCTGGACTAGGAACTGATCATTCCCAGTCTAGAAACTGATTGTTATAAGCGGTACATTGTTATATGTGGTATCGTTATAAGTGGGGCGTATGGTATACCTCTCAACATCACAGCTTACATACATTTGCAACGCACAGCAATATCACTTCAGCTTAACAGAAACAAAGTATCTGCTGTTTCTGCCAAAACTAAATTTTTAGAGTACCAGTTTGTCACACTTTTTTTTTTTTCTTTTTTGTATTGATTCAAATGGAAGAAAAGGGCAAAGGATAATTGACAATGAACGTAAAGGCGACATGGGGGGGCTCGCTCCATAGGTCACTACAGTTCACAGAAGCACACAGAATCTAGGTTAATTTCTGAGGCCCGGGGCCAGCGCACACGTTCCTACAAACTCTTCATCGTTCCCCAAACAACATTTTTGGAGCAGAGCAATTTGGGGAATGATGTTCCCAAATTCGGGAACAAATTGGGTTTAACCCGATTTTCAAGAAACTCGTTCGGGATGCAAATGCTGTCGGGATATGTCAGGCTTTACCCGAAGAGACCCCAGTAAAAAGGTACCCAAGCTGCTTGCGCGGTAATCAGGGCCTAAGCCACAACGAACGCCACCTTTGCGCAGAGCTGTGGGGTCTGGTCTCGTGGCTGCTGCACCGTGACCCCCAGAAGCGTTGCACCCTGCCGGAAGCGGAGCGCCACCCGTGGACCACGCAGCCCGTGTGCCCGGAAAGCTACCGCTTCGAAGACGTGGTTCATGCCAGTGAGTGGAGGTGTTTGTTTGCTCGTTTCCGCGTTGTCAGCGGCTGCAAAGTGCCTCAGACGGCAATCGAAATAAGTACTTTTTCTCCAGCGGCTGGCTGGACAGCTGTTGATCGATCCAGTTTACTACTTTTAAAAAGTGAAAGACAGGACAGACAGACGGCTAAACTGCCCCTTATATTAATGCAAAAAATTCAGTTTTAATAATGCATCTTTATTTGTGAGTCTAGTTTGTCTAGACAGGACTTCGAGCACTAAGATTATCAGTAATGGAAATAAGTAACTACAGTTACATTTCCTCATCTTGTGATCAAATTGAAAAACAATGCCATTATAAAGGACAAAAAAAAAAAGGCCTTCAGCATTTAGACACGGGATTGCATATAGGCACGCATACAAGATTTTGAGTTCACATCGTGATAGAGGGTTGATTGCAGAATACCATACGTGGGCTTAGTTGTGGGATGCAGGATTGAATACGAGGCGAGACAAAGCTAAACACTTTTGTGACACTCCCACAGCCCCGGAGGAGATCTGTCCATCCAAGTACTTCCAGCAAGACGGCTCTATCTACTTCAGCTGCAGCCTGTATGACATTGGCAAGGGGGCGGCGGCCGCTCGTACCCCGAGCTGCGGCAGCTCGGCCAGCCGTTCGAGCCACACGAGGGTCCAGTCGCACGGTCTCGCTACGGCCAACCCTGACGAAGCGGCCGACCCTGACGGAGCGGCCGCGGCTGGCACGTCCGGTCCGATCTACGAGTCGACCGACATCTTAGAAGGCCTGGAAAGCTGTTCCTAGAAAAGACGGGTCTCGGCCTGCGTCTCCATTAACCCGTCCCTCTTTTAAAATTTATTTCGGTTTAAAATTTTAGGTGAAGAATCCGACGTCGTTTTTACACTTTACAAGCCCCTCATATTTACTTTCTTTTAAATTTGCGAATCTTCCAACGGCAGTGCGTCGCGACTTGCTTCGTCTTGTTTTGGTCTAAATTTTTGGACCGGAACCTACCGTCATTTTTGCACTTCTCGAACCGCTCGTAGTCACTGTTCGGATTCGCAGGATCCTCGACACCGGCGCGTCGGGACTCGCTCAGAATCTTTAGCACTGTGGCGGAGTTTTACGGTGCATTTGTTATTCCGCGGCAAAGTGAGCTCTTTTGCCGAGTGTTATATAACGGATCGCGTTGCGTCTTAGAACTTGAAAAGGGAACAGAACACATAAACATTATATTATATATATATTTTTTACTGTGGCGTCACGCTTAGTTTTTTAGAGTTTTGAAAATGTCCGAATGGTTTTGATGGGAATGACGCAATATTCTCGACCCGCAAGACTTGTACATATGACGCAACCATGTTTCTTTTTTCTTTCTTGGCCGACATTCCAAAGCTATGAAAACGGCGAGACCTGCAACAAAGGTTTTGGGAGCACTCTGTTGATTGAAGCCTGTGTTGCTGGTCTCCCTTTTTCTCCATTTTTTTTACTCTCCCGGCGAAAAACAGTTGTCGGAACATTTAGCTTAACCATGTCCTAAGCCACATCACCTGTTCTTTTTCTGGCTTATTCTTGCAGCCAAAGTTTCATGCCTCCCAAATCGCCGAAGAACTCTTAGTGTGAATATTTGAACGAAAAAAAGCCCAACGTGGCTTTGAACAGGTTTTGAGCAGAGAACTGTACATACATGTATTTATTGACAAATAAATGTTTACTAGAAGAACACGCTCCACGCTTTCAGGATACCACTCTGTTCCAAAATGCGACGTCTGGGTCCGGTTGAATGAATGCGACTTCTTCTAACCATGTGCTTGGAGCGCTCCAACAGCTTGCACTGCAGGAGTAGATGACGATCGTGCCAAACTCCAATGGGCACCCTGGAATGGAAAGGGATGTTATTGTGTTGGAAAGAGACTCAATTGTGGGCATTTCAAAGATGCCCAGCGCCGTGTCCCTTTGGTGTGTGGTGTGAAAACTGCCGGCTTTTGCCCCCAAACCAGAGACTACAAAGGAACCTGGCATTGCAATCTTTTTGTCTAGATGGCAGCTCGATTCTGCACACAAACCTTTGAAATGGGCTCCTTCCATCTCCAGGGTCGGGATAAGTGCCGGCATGACCTGAAGCTCGAAGCAACGGCGCGCTCCACAGTTTGCACATGTTGGGACGACCCAGGATGCCGGTGGCTGACTGATGAACAGCGGCTTTCCATCCCAACAGAACCTTGGTGAAAACAAATTGGCCCCCGTTACATCCACGGGAAAATGAAGTGACCCGCAAGTTATGCCAGTATAGTCTGTTGCAGTTTAAGAATGGCTGGACAAGCCCCTCACGTAAAACTCTGCTTGCCGCGATTGGTCGTTTCCTCTTCTACAGCGTTTGTTTGGCTAAACTAGAAAGAGTGGAGAGCTTTTTGGGAGGAGTTTGTCCTGCTATCTTTAACCTGCAACAAAGTATAGTAGATCTTGCACTTACCTGATCAGTTGTTCGGGACAACGCTGCAATCTCTTGTGAAACTTGTAAAATGTCTGGTCGCCGTGACTGATGCTTGCTTTTTCGTAAGTTTCTTGGGCGTAGCTTGAGCTTCCTTGACCCTTACTGCACAGATAATGGACAAAAAGTTGCAGTCACTGCAGAAGTTAAATGCAGCAATGTTATGAAAGCAATGCTCGGATGCTTACAACTTTCTCCATACTAAGCGCCCATTCCCAAATTTTTAAGACTCGAGAAAACGTGCATGGTAAACTTGCATATAAAATTGGTGACCGGACAAGTGCCCATCCCCCATTTTTTAGCGATTGTCTACAACTTTCGGGTGGGCGCTTGCCCGCTATTTTACGATAGATCTGTAAATACATTTAACTAACACTTAACAAAAAAAAAGTATGAGTGGCTGCTTAAGGGAGTTGCTGAAATTGACAAATTGGTAAAATACATTGGCATTTCTTTGCGAAACTATTCCTCAACAATTCACGTGGATACGGTCTCAATCACCTAATTTGTTTTGATGCACTGCCGTCCTCCAGCTCATAGTTCTGCAACAGTTTCTCGATGTGGCTGTCGGCTGCAAGGTTTTTCTCGGCATCTCGATCCTCCTCAATGACGCCAACGTAGTAACTCCTAAAACTGCTGCCTGCCGACAAGCTTTCCAAAGCGGCACGCTGCTCTTGCTCGACACACTTCAACTCGCAAGCGCGCTTGACAGCATCAACCCCCTCAATCGTCTCAAGCTGAACTTCAGCAAAATCCATGTCGTCGTCACGAAGGTTGTCGTCGGCCGCAGATACGACGAGACCTTGTAGAGATTTTGTTAGGTCATTGCCTTCTTCGGCTTGGGGATCCGCACTTGTGGAGCCCGGACCCGAACCCCAGTCGTCCTGGGAATCGAGCCAATCAGAAGACACCGCTTGCTTCACCTGCGCAAGGTTTGTGACTTCGGATCCATCGCAGGTCTCTTGGCTTCTGATCACCTTGTAGCTGCAATGAAGCGAGGAGAGTAGAAATACAGGGTGTCTGCCACAAATCCTAGAGGTGTAAAGCGAGTCGGGAAAATTGGCGGATAGAAAGTTAAAACTTTCACAAAATCTGCATTCAGGTAGTGGTGAAATTTCAAAACATAGCCCCCTTTCTGTGAACGAAGACACCAACAAACTTTCTCGCTTCGCCCTTCAGGAGATGGCGCCCAAACAACGGAGTTGTCAATAGCCATTGACAACTACATTGTCCGTAAACACGTCACCCCCTAACAAATTTGTTCCTTTTCTTTTTTTTCTTACATGAAGGGAGCTACGTTTTAAAATTTTACCAGGTAAAGTCCAATACCTCAATGCACACTCGATGAAATTTTGAGCTTTCTGTGTGCAAGCGCCTGTTTTTCCGGCTCCTTTTAGTGAAGATAAAGTAAGTAGGCAGGCGAGCTGGTTGATGTTACACATTTTTGAAAACCGGAGACGACGGACGAAGAAGGGTTTGAAGTGCTTTGATCGACGATTAGCGCGAGCCACTTCGGCAGACGCGAACGCAAACGTAAACTTTCTCGTAGGAGGTTGGAAGAACTTGCCTTTCCTGCTTGTTCCAGCAATTTGGGCTAATACAGCAGAAGACGTAAAGTGTCCGATGGTACCATTCTGTCCTGTCCAACGGACTGTATACTTGAACTAGGAGTAGGCGCTGTTTTCCGCACAGACAACACTTGAGATCGGGCGCCGACTTGAGAGCGGTACTCGTCCAGTCCTATTAATTAGAAAAATAATTCTCGAACAAGAGGTTAGGGCGCAAACGAGCCGGAGGTGGTTAAACATTTGACTAAAAACCCTGAGACTGGGACGAAAAGGGACAGGCAAACACAGTCTCAAGTGTTTGTCCGTCCCTTCTCACGATTGAAGGCTTGAACAACAAGTGTACGATAAATGGAGGCTCACCGGTGTGCCCCCAACCTTGTTGACTTTCCACGATGTCGGATTGCCATTTACGTACTCGTCTTTGATGCCGAGATAGAAAACTAGCGAATGATCGGACACAGCCATGAGGAAAAACACGTGGATAACCGAAAAATGTAAACAAAATGTTGAATGGATCGTCTCGGCTACTCTCTTTTTGATTGTGGTCTATCTTCGTTTTTACTCTAGTTCACGCACCAAAGTAAAGTTGACATATATTTGTAAATGAAAAAGCTTGTATATTCTTTTATACAGAAAATATAATATTTTATGGCTCATGTTTTTTTTTACCTGCTCTTATTTTTAAAGTTTCTGAAATTTAGCTAATCTTGGCCACTTTTGCTCTACCTGCAAGGTCTACCAAACTACCAAACAACCCTGACGCCGCTCAATTTCAAATATTTTTGTTTAGGTTCAGGCGGCGCAATTGTCCGTTTGCTAATGCACTAATTACTGTCCTCCTTATAACGGTACGCTTAATGTTTACTCTTCCAACTTCTGGGACGACCGCGCCTGAATAGACATAAACACTGACATCTTTGAGATGGCTGACTGTGACGAAGTGAAAGCCATCCTGAGCTCCATCCTTGTGAGCGAAAAAAACGGCTTGACGCTGCAAGCCTTGGAGGGTATGTAGAGAATCGAGTGTTCGAACCGTTAATGTTAACTTTTATTGTTATAATTATCAGTTTCAGTTGTCACTAAATACAAGTTATGATGTAGATAGGGACTGTCCTGTACCAGCCAAAGCGTGAACAACGTGGTGGCAATTCTGTTCGCCATGTTCACTGCGTGTATCTTTCAGCGGAATACCGGTCTATGAATGGTGCTGGGATTCCATTCAAAAGCCTCGGACATGCTACGCTACAAGCCTACTTCGAGAGCATACCGGATGCGGTCACTTTGCGGCGGTACGTATTATAGCGCCAGCTAGCGCGTGCCGTATAACTCAAATTTAAAAAAGCAAAAAAAAGAAAAAAAAAGAAAATACAAATTAAGAGTTTTGAAACTTGGTTTTGCATTTTATGGTGTCTTCCTTTGATTAGGCTTATGGATAGTTCTCTAGACAAATCTCTTCTGTTTACTTCAGTGATAATTAAAGGGGCGGTGCAACGATTTTATGATTAAAACAATTTGCATCTCGTCATTTTTATGTTGTTCATCGTATCCCAGAGGATAGAGAAAACACTTCCTTTATTAAAAATGTCGCGATTCCGCTGCATAATCGCAAAGCAAAAGCCGAGCTTTTTCCCCCACCTGCAGCCCCAAGTGTCAGCCGAAGGAACTACGGCGGAAAGATTACGTGACCTCGCTCGGCTCTAAGCTGCAGCATAGCTCCCGCTAATGTACGCAGAGAGAGGGAGGGGGAGCGTCCTCCGAGATAGCACACGGGAAGCTACACGGCACTCCGAATGACATCACTGGGAGTGCGACCAGGTGTGACCCTGAAGACTGGGAGTGAGTTGAGGGGTGCCCGAAATGCCAATCTTTATCTTTTTTTTACGCAACAACTAGGACACGCAGACGAAATCGGTTTTCTGTTCTTTACTTCAGAAGTGTCAGGGGGCAACTTCCAGAAATCTTTGACCGAAGTCCGAAAATTGTTGCACCGCCCCTTTAAACTAGCTACATCTGTGTCAAGGAAGTTCAGTTCCAGAATCAGTGGGTTTTTAATTCACAGATAACATCCTCCCTGAAGTAGTATCATAGTTTTTTTTTAGAGCGGCATCAGAAATCAATTAACGAAGTATCGGTAGCATTCTGCCTAGCCGTAGAGTTCTGAACATAAAGAATGGAACAGTTTTATCATGATTTCCAACAAACAGGAGCTTGTAGCTTCGAGAAGTGCTTTTACATACGCATAGTTATGCCAAGACGTCAACTGCCTTGCTTTTGCTACTGCTGAAGGAATGTATGTACACAGAGATCAGTCTGCTTCTATGTTGCTGGGACAGTGTTTTAAACGTTGATATGAAAAAGAAAATTCTCAGTCTTTTCACTGTGGAGAAGGAAGACCAGCGAAGCTGTACTATGATGGGAATGAAGTAATGGCCGGCCACAAGTCGGCAAGCCAGAGTGGAAAGGTTGCCGCCATCTGTGAGCGACGGTGGCAACCAGACAACCGGCAGGCCGGTTTTCTGGTTGCCACCGTCGCTATTAGATGGCGGTAGCCGTCCAGAGTTTTGTGTTGAGATTTTTTTGCCCACGGACACGATACTGGGGAAACTAGCCCTTAACAGCTCCGCTGTGAAAGAGTGTAGACACTTTGTTTTTCTAAATATTTCAACCACCTCCTATTCCAAAAAAAGCAAAAAAAATATTTCAAAGACGGTGAAACATGGTCCAAACCGACACACATTCAGGATTCGTGTGCCGGAACCCGTAAAAAATATATGTCCCGGTGCATGAAATACGGAGAGGGTTGCACGTTTTGGTTTGGGACGGCTTCACGGAAAACATGGCCATATTCCGAATATGGACGAAGCAGGCAAAGGACACGTAGCACGGCGGATGCACTTCGCAGCCACAGGTGTAATGCGGCTGCTACAAGTGCCTCCGCTGTCGAGAAAATAGTGTGTCATCTGCTCCACGACGTGGCGGCGTCGGCAACGTCGATCGGTTTCAGGTGCGAAGCTCGGTGCCAATTGAGCAGAACGACATCGTCACGAGGTGGCTAAAGTACCTTCACTATTTGGCATGAAACTGAGAGGGGAGACGAAAAAGTTCCTTCTTCCTGTCGTCGCAACTTAAAGGGTGATGGCAGAGCACGATTCTAACTTTTTCCCACGAAGCGACAATGGTAGGACGTGGCAATCACATTGCTTACCTGATTTACCACGCGACTGATCGCAAATTACCATGCTTCGCATGAACACCATATATTACGGACGAGTAAGTACTAATTTGAAGGCGACGTTTCAGAAGGCATCCTTCATTTAATAATGCCAGCAGAGGAGTAGACTGAGTCTGGAGAGGCGGCACGGTTGTGGCGTCACTCAAGCATGTGGTGAGCACAGCATGTTCACGGCGCCCCGCTGAAACCATCACGAGGGAAGCACGCACCACCAGTCTCAATGGGCACTTTGTATGCACGCTCGGCTTGACCAAGCGCATAAAAGTTGTGCAGTTGTTGGTGGAGAAGGCGAATTCTCACGTCATCACACAAAACTACCGCGCACAAAAGCGGATACCGACGTAAATACCCAGAGAAACCACCGTGAGAAGCTTGCACCACCATGTGTTTGTGATGCAATTTGACGAACAGAAAAGTGGCGCCGACAAACCTGGTATGGACGTGCCCCTCGTATTCACGCTCATCTTGACCGAGCGTGGGTATGTTGAACTGACGTCGGTGGAACTCTCACTTCATCACACCGAAACCACTGCGCACAAAAGCGAATACTGATGCGACCCGGCGCAGAAAAATCGCTGCAAGAAGCCGAGAGTGCTGCACTTGGCTGACCTTGTACGCCTGCGCTCGGTGGCACTGGCTGGCGTGAACGGTATTTGCTGGTTCTTTCGTCGAGCATGCAAAGAGCACATGCTCAGAGGCGAGAAGGAAGCGCGCTCCGTGACGGGCCGCTTCCTCAGTATGAACGTCTACGTCACAATACGGGACACGTAAAAGGTGAGATATTTGAGGGCGATCGGTGGCCCAGTGGGCTAGCGCACACCAGCTCGGAGCACATGGAGCGAAAGCTCGCGCTGCAGAACCCAGGGATCCTGGGTTCAATCCCCACCCCTGCCCGTTTCAATCTGGATGAGCATTGTACCGGCGTGGGTTCGTGTATCATTAACGCGTAATGCACGTTGAAGACCCGAGGCTAGTGGTTGTACTGCACTGGCTAAATTTCTCATCTGCAGCTTTCGGCTAGGAGACAAGTCACCCATTGTGGCAGACTGAGTTCTAGGCTGTATAAATATACAAACACCCCACTTTATTTTTAGATGTTTGAACTCTAAATACTGGTGCCCTAACCCGTAAAAACGGAGCGGTGACGTCAGAAACGGAAGTGGGCTTCCTTACGGGTTTCTAGGCTGTATAAATATACAAACACCCCACTTTATTTTTAGATGTTTGAACTTCAAATACCGGTGCCGGAACCCATAAAAACGGAGCGGTGACGTCAGAACCGGAAGTGGGCTTCCTTACGGGTTCCGGCATTCGAATCTGGTATATGTGTCGGTTTGGAGTGCGCTTTACACAACTTGATGCAAACAAACAGCTTCAGCTGGTGTGACATTTCAATGATTTTGCGTCGTGATTCACTGGAGATTCTGGCTATGATGCGTCGCACAATGTCTCACATAGACCACAACCGATGACGCACAGAACAACTAATGCCAAACATTCTCGTGGACGTGCTGCACAAATTGCTTGGTCGCAGCAGCGTGTCCATTCTTCGCTCGGTAATGTTCTCTTCTATGTGCCGCTTCAGGTTCATGCACAGCATGATTTTGATGTCGAATGCATCCCATCCTAACACCTAGGGTGAGACCGCCGCCGCATAAACATCAACAATGTTCTCTCTCGCGGGCGCATTAACACCATCGGGCAGCCCCTGCCTGCTCCGCCTATGTTTGGCCGCTCCGTTCTTACGCGCAAGGGTTTAGAGTGCTGGGGGAACAGGCGACCAAAGGTGAGAAAGAGCAGGTGGCGAGAGTGCAATCACATGCCCCCCGTTGCAACCGCAATTGGCTGAACGTGCTGCGCCTCCACCGGGACTATTATCAACGAAAGGACGAGGGTGTCACTGCTGTACTTGCACTCCTCTGGTGTCGAAGCCACCTATGATAACTTGCCAAGTACAAACCCAGTGCATGTGACGCTGTAAAATCTTCCGTGTGCACGTCGCTTGAGGACGTAATCTGTTTATCACATGAGCGGTTTCAGCACAGCAAAGTCCTCTCCCACATGGCACACCTTGACTGCAGTTCAAAAGCTTGGCCGGCAGTCTCAGGCAGGTCGCGCTTTTGTACACCGTTTCACCTTTTGATCGACCATGAGGGATGCTACGAGCTATTGGAGGCAGTCCAGTGCCGCATGACCTCGGAGTGGGGGCGCAGTGAAGCAGGGAAACATTGTCACGTGCTAATTCAAAGAGCCGGATCGACTGGGATGACTTGTAGCATCAGCTGCAGTTGGTCGTAAGCTGAAACGGAATGTAGCTGGTTGCGGACATGCAGCGAAAAAGATAAACCAACTTTTTACTTCTACCGTGCTCTCGGAAAGGTGTCGCTTCACACCGAATCAACCGTCTCCATTGTTAACGACGGTTCTTGACTTTCTCCCGTCTGCAGAGGCCCCGCCGGAGAGTGGATGGCGCAAGTCGTGTGCACCACAGAGACTGCGCACGTCCGCAGGATGGTGGCCGAGCAGAAGTCCGGGAAGCCCGGTCCTTACCGGCCGCCCAAAAACTGGAACCAGAAGCCGCGCCGCCAGGTGACGCAGCCTTATCGTCCCCTCGCCAACCGTTCTGTAAGGGTGAGTTGGGGTCCCACGCCGCTTGTTTGCTTGGCCGCAAACACTGGAGTGGCGAGAAGCTCGGTGGTGGGAGACGATGGGTACATTGGGTGAATGCCTCGCCCCGTTAGCCCCGTAGTTGCCTCAAGGGATGAATGTGCTAGACCCTCTCAATGCGGAGCGCAAGATCGTCTGCTTCTTGCGCAAAGATTGCGGTGACGTCAGAATGCCGAGCTCCGATTGGCTAGCTTGGAAGGATCGTGGGTAGACCTCAAGTTAGCTAGCATTGAGGTCCACCCCGTATCCTTCCAGTCAGAGCCAATCAGAACTTGGCGTTCTGACGTCACCGCAACGCCTGCGTAAGAAGCAGACGATCTTGCGCTTTGCATAGGGCAGTTTCACGCGACATCCTTCCGGTTCAAAATCTTGCTGGACACCATGTTGATAAACTTTTGCCTTACACTTTTCTGTGTATGGAGGCGGTGTTTTCCAGATCGGTCGAATTTTTTTGCATTGTGGTCGACTGCACCAGTCAGAGCAGTTGGAAACTTAAAATAGCATTGACTGGTACTTGGTTTTTATGCATGCCGGTCATATCTGGACTTAAAACGAGCTGGTGATAGAGAAGTCGACGAGTCGGCAGCCAAAGTGGCCCTAATACGGAGTGCAAGTTTTTCTGCTTTTGCAGGGGTTGAGTGACGTCAGAAAGCCGAACTCTGATGTCACTACAACCCCTGAAAGAAAAGCAGACAAACTTGCGCTCCCCATAGACCATTTCACTGAATGTTCTCAGTGGGCGGCATTATGTTATGTCCCGGCATCTCAACGAATTTGTCGGAAATAAGGGGGAGAGGGCATGCGGCCGATCTCGATCGCAGACAACAAATTGGCCGGTCTCAACTTTTGGGTAGTACCTGTGAGCTGCACTTTGGCTGTGCCAAACAACTAACACTCGCTCGCTGCTGCCGCTATGAGGGGGTTCGCATTTCTGGGACATTTCTGGGTACTCCAGGATCAATCTTTAGTGCTCTGTTAGTTTATTTCAGTAAATGATCAGCTAGCATGTCTTCCTTTAGTTACTTCTATAGCAATAATTTTCACATGCAGTACTACCCTCATCAGCTGACTCTATTGCATCAGCGAAAAATAGAACCCTGATTGAACAGTTCGAAAAAGCCTTACTTGGCTTTTGTAAAACGCCACGCAAACATAAAATCTGTTTTACTTCTGGGTTAGAAAACCCAAAGAAGTTTTCTTTACATGGTTCCCAGCCATATGTGATGGAACTTTGTTAACGAGGGAATTGCTGTCATGTTAAAATTAGCTGCTTTACTTTTATTTTTGATGGATAACAATTAACTACCAACTTCTGCACAAACCATGCTGCCGGTACTCCAGGGTTGTTGGTATTCAGGAATAGCAGGCAATGAATTCTCTGCGGATTTGTTGTTTTTTAAACAAACAAACACGTTGATTCATACTTGGTGAGCACGCTTGCTTTCCTTTTTTTTTATTCTAGACTTCTTGCACATAGTTGCTCAAGTTGAAAAGAACCAGCTGAACATACAAATATAGGAACACTCATACAAATGAGGAGGATAGAAAATTGTGCAAACAACCGCTAGACTACCAATTGTTTTAATGGAACTTCTTCAACCAGTATGTATGAATGTTCCTACATTTGTATGTTCAGCTGGTTCTTCCCAGTGTACAACCAACTAGCTCAGCTTATCCCCGTCGTATAATTGCTAAAGGCCTAAATCAGTACCAACTATTTTGCAGAAAGCTACAGCAACCACGTTCACTTTTCGCTGGAGACGACATACTGACCACACTATTTACAGGGTTGTGTTCACTTTTTCGTTTTCATTTGCGTGGCAGGTGACAGCAGGAATGTGCAAATTTAGTCTCTTTATTAAGTATATGACATTGTACGATACTTTTCATATCTGAAACCGTTGTACGATAACTTGCATATATAAACCCACATATTTGCGGCAGATATTGCCGAAATGATGCGATCCTTGACTGTGTGTGCACGCCAGCCGGATGTTGGGTACTACCCGGTCTACGGAGCAGACGACGCGCCGGGGCGAGAGAAGAGAGCACATTTCCCTTTCCACTCTTCCTTGGGGTATGCGGAGCGCAAGTTTGTCTGCTTCGTTTGCAGGGGTTGTGGTGACGTGAGTATGCCAAGCTCTGATTGTCTCTCTTTGAAGGATAGTGGGTAGACCTCAAAGCAAGCTGCCTTGAGGTCTACCCACTATCCTTCAATCAGAGCATGTCGAAGCTCAGTGTTCTGACGTCACGACAACCCCTGCAAAAAAAGCAGACAAACTTGCGCTCCGCATAGTCCATAGACGCCGTTGGGTTCCCAGTGGGTTGCATGAAGTTTGTTGGTGCAAATGAGCACCAAAAAATCCTCCAGGCAGAAAAAAAGTGTGAAATATTGTTTCTCAGACCACCTGCTCGACTTGCCAGTCATACAATGTGCGACGTCACCTCGCTGAAGAGCGCGGGAAAATTTGGAACATTTGTTTTTGGCATAACCTTCGTTTGCCGTTTTTTTCTATATCCATTTTGAATTGAAAGACAACGAATAGCATTCTAGGAAGAGTAAAAGCCTGGGTGTTTTCCGAAAACATGTTTTTAGTTTGGATATCTTAAAAAGCAGATGGAGCTTTTCTTTAATTATGTCAAAAATTACCCAAGACTGTGGTTAAAGAAGCCACGGTCTTAAGTAATTTTCAACATGATCACTGTCCACCAGCTTGCCTGCAAGCTCGCTATATTATTTCCCCTTTAATATTTGGTCGCTTTAATTTCCAGAACCCCCAGCGGCCCAATGCCACGTCGAACTTTGTCGTCGACGAGCAGCGCCAGCCGTCAAGACCTTGGAACAATGGCCCCGGCGGCGCACCGTTCCGTCCCAAAATGTGGAGCAACGTCAACCGGTTCGCGCCAGCTCCGCACAACCCTCAACCCATTCATGATGAACTGGGACCTCGGTGTAGCGCTCAGTACAATGGCGTACGTGAGCACGACATAGACTGGAACGTTCACAAACATAGCATGAACTGGAACGTTCAGAAACGGAGCACGAATTGGAACGTTCGCAAACAGAGCACGAACTGGAACGTTCGGAAGATGCCCAGTAACAGACCAGCTGTTCAGCGAGTTTGGCAACGGAACGTGCCGATCAACCGCAAGGGGGATCGAGGTAAGTGTGGTTGCGCATTTTACGAAAAATCTGGGGTTTTATGGAAAAGATAGTCCAATTGTTCGCTCGGGGCTATTTTCGTGGCTTCGCGCGACATTGTGATTAATGTGAAAATACTCGCGACTACTAACGCTTTCAATCTTTGCATAAAAGTGAGAGACTGCGTCGTGCATGTCTTAGGCTCCCAAATGACTCTTCACGGCTCCCCCGAAAGGTCTCGAATAGCATTTAAAACTTTAAAGGCTGGTTCACACACTTGCGTTTGGGTGTGAGCGACTGTGTCATGATGGCTCGTGACCGCTTTTGATAGGAGAATATACTGGTGCCTTGGCATCGTCTGTTATCACTTCCAATCTGCACATAACTCTATACTTAGTTTAACCGTAACGAGCTGACAGGAACAAACGGACAGCGTCGAAAGCGCACCATCATGGTGTTCGTCGTGTTTCTGTGCATGTTCTATCATTGCCAAACCAATTATGAACAGAAAAGACAGAGTGAATTCCGCTTTTGACGCTGCTCGATTGGTCCCATTCGTGGCCATGGCTGCGTCTGGACTTAAAGTTGCACTAAAGACGGTAGGGGCCTATCATGTGCAAAACAGTTGCATTTGCATTGGCTCCCAAGTGGCTCCGCATCTATGCGATATCTCGTGTGGAAAAGTCATCTAGGAAGCCATAAAAAATGCATGCATGGGGGTACCTTTTAGGTATGCTGACAATTTTCTTATCTTGTGCATCACAGAACTCAATGACCAAGCCGATGGTTGCCTTGAAACCACCTTGACACAATTCCAAAGAAGCTGTATGGGCCTCACCTTCACCCATGAGACTCCAATGGATAAATCAATTCGGTTTCTTGGTTTGGCGTTGGAATTCCAAAGTCTGTTGGCAACACCAAGCACGATCGGGGAAAGGCTTTCTTCTCAGTGAATTCGAACATTAAAAAAAAGAGTGGCCATTGCAGCCCTCTCCGCAAGCCTAAAGAGACCTGCCCACATCAAGTCGAACCACACTTTGATACTCAAATTTCCCAACTTCAGAATGCCGGTTACTCAAAACCCTTACTGGCCTGCATTTGTTAAAAAAATATGTCGCACTGTCAAGAGGAACAATGTCCACAGTGAAGAAACAGCAAGAAAATTCAAGAAGCTCTTTGCAGCGGTCCTGTATATTCATAACGTCACCCACAAATTGAAATACTGGGTGTCACTTTACAGGGTTTTTTTTTTACCGCAAAAATAAACTAGGCATCGCCGAACGCTTATTCTCCGCCCAAAGGTAGTGCTAGAGGTCACAACCAGATGCCAAAAATTCAGCCCGATCCGATACCTTATCCAAAACATAGTAAGTGATTTTCTGAAAATGTCAATGGGAAGTTGGACCCCATTTTTGCCCGTTTTCGGTTTCTGGTGCCATAGAGCCCCATGTATTCGAAAACTCCTTCAGCCGCCATTTTCCCATGGAAATTTTCAGAAAATCACTTATAACTTTTGAATAAGGCATCGGATCGGGCTGAAACTTTGGCATCTGGTTGTGACCTCTAGCGCTACCTTTAGGCGGAATATGAGCGTTCAGCAATGCCTAGTTTATTTTTGCGGTAAAGAAGACCGTGTAAATTTTTTTTTGTGACACCCTGTAGATAGCGAACCGGCAGAGCATTCAAGTTGTGTGCTCACCACCCAGTAAGGCCTGTTCGTTATGCCCCAAGATCAATCGGGCACAAACTGGCAAGAAAGATTAGTGTGACACCAGGCACAGAACAAACTATGCTCCGTGCCAAAGGGGAGTCATTTACAACATACCGTTGACATGTGGGCGCTGCTGTCTTGAACGGGCTGGGCGCCGCATAAACGACCGTGCATGTGAACATGAAGCCAACCTGAAAAACCTCGCAGGACCAGGACACCTCACTGCCCATTGTCGAGCTTGCAAATGCAAAGCAAAGCTTGAGCAAGCATGCATCATGGGGAACCGTAAAAACTAGCTTGCAAGGGAGATGTTGGAAGCCTTGGCTATAGAAAAAGAAGAAAACTGTGTGAGCTTAGCCTCAATAACCCTGCAACCTCAAGAAATGCTCTTTCTGCAGGGTGCCGTTCCCGTTGAATGGAAATTGCAGGAAGGGGGCAACACGATTCAGGATAAAGGAAAGAAAAAAGCAGAGGCAAAGGATCAATACTTCACAATAGACCCATTTCGGAAGTCACGTGCTCATTGTTAATGGGTTTGAAGCACTGCCTCCTTGCCTATAGCCAAAGACAGGTCAAGAACGAAGTGGAAGCTCCTCCCACCCCTTTCCACTTCAGCGGAGTGAATGGTGGAGGAGGTCGCCTCCTCTCCAGCGTTCGCTCTACTAAAGTGGAAAGAAGTGGCAGGAGCTTCCACTTCGTTCTTGACGTGTCACCGACTATAGGTTGCAAGCTGCGCCACCAGAGGACTCTTTGGTGAGCAGCTAATGGCAGCCTGATATGTGCCTAGTTTCTCGCGCTTCTCGCTGGGGGACATGCCAATTTTTAAAGTTGTCTTGCAGGTGTGCCATATCACGTAGAGCTTGGCACTTGTGCTATGCATGTTTCTCAAACACGGCTTCGTCATTGACCGTAGTTTCGTGCCTTGACGGCGGCTAGAACAGTTTTACGAACGCGTCGAAGCAGAGAGATCTTCGTCGCGGCATTCGAGTCGACGTCTGTCGTGGTCAGAGCAAATGCGCCGAACGAAAACTGCTCGCGCCCTGCTCATGGCAACAAAAATTTTTCCTTTCTTCGTTTCTTTTTTTTTTTTTTTCCGCCGTCTGGCCAGCAGGGACGCTGTCGGAATAGTAGGCTGGTCAGGCGCGCGCCAATAAAACTTTATCTGGTTGATTGCGTCGCAGCGTTCACATTGCCGCGTGGTCTCACGTTAGAAGTGTCTTGCACCGTGGTTAGGTTTGAACTGCCTCTATTGAATTAAGGCCTCCTTTCTTCTCTCTGGGCACCGGTTTCCAGACGGCGGTGCGTCAACAGTCGCAAGCTGGGTCATGTTCCTGGTGAGCGCGGACGTCCACCCGGGCCTCGTGCGGAGGTATGCCGCGCTCCTCAGCAAGCAGGGGCTGACCCCGGACAACGCCTGGGTCATGTCGATCGAAGACCTCTTCAGGGTCGGTGTGCGCAATTCTCACGACATCCGGCTCATTCAGCGCCACGCCCACAAGGTGGGGGCGGCCATGGGGATGGTTGACGACGTGAGTTTTGCATTTCATTCCCTGATTGTTTTTGTGCCGGCTTCTACACCCGCCGTGTAGACTGCAAGTGTTGATGCAGAGAACAAGTTCGTCTGCTTCTTGCACTGGGGTTGCGATGATCATGGAACACCGAGCTCTTAAGGCCTGTTCACACACTTGCGACCTTTTAGAACCAAGTGTCTTGGAACCTCTTAATATCTCTTGCGACAAGAGAACACACTGGCGCCATCTATAGGGTAGCAGTGTAAACTTGCCGATCCGGCATATTTTCTATTTCTCTTGCGCATTATCTTTTCTTTCTTGGCTCAAAAACCTTTTGTCAATGTTATAAGCGAGCCTTTCTCATAGGTAATGCGCCCATTTAACCTCAGAAATCCCACAAAACCTTCGTCCTTGTGAAATGCAGTTCCAGGGTCACCGCATAGATGGCGCCAACGTTTCAGTGTGTTCTCTCGTCCTAAGAAATTTTAAGAGGTTTCAGCAGGTCTTGCCTCTCTTGGTCGTACTCGGTTGCAAGCGTGTGAACGAGCCTTTATTGGCTGATTGGAAAAAAAATAGTGGGTAGACCTTGAGGCATCTAGCATTGAAGTCTACCCACTATCCTTCCAATCAGCCAATCGGAGCTTGGTGTCGGTCTTATGTCAATGCTACTCCTGCGCAAGAAGCAAACAACTTGCTCTCCGCATAGACTCTTTTCAGAATTCAGTACCACCGGGTGGCTCAGAAAAGCGGTTTCACTTTCAACAAACTAATGGTGGTCCCAAAATTGTATTTCGTCGGGCGCTGTCACTTTCACATGTCGACGGCAGATGAGAATCGGTTCTTCGAAGGTCCTCATAGTAGACCGACGTCACCGGCCACTTCGGCTATGCCCCCGCAGCTGCAATGCAGTCGGGAAGTTTTAGTCTTTTTGTCCGTGAAACAACTTCTCTGGAGCTCTGCACGTGAAGAGAACGCAGACCGTCTTGTGCACTGCCGATTGCCTCCTGTGAACTAAGGTTATGGTGGCGGTGAGATCGGTCTATTCTTTCTTAATTTGTATCAGTTTTGATGGTGTGAACACAATAAATGACCAGTACAAAGCGGCGACCCATAAGTGCCTTCATTAAATTTCTGCCATCAAAAGGCTTTAGAGCCAAACCAATGACAAGAGACTGATTGGACTACACTCTGAAATAAACTTTTAAGTGGGTATCGTATCTAATTTGTGCATTGTGTTGTATTGACATCTCGAACATACAGATCTCTTATATTCTCTTCTTGGTAGCGTCTTCAACTTCTTCCTCCATCAGCCTCAAGCAACCTTACTAGATCGAAATCTGTTGATAAACTTCCTAGAATGCCTAGCGCCCTTTCGAGGTGCGTCCGCTTTGGCGTTTGCTGCTCCATCAGCCCGCCCTATGGACAGAAGCGGCTGAACCAGTGGAACGTTGGATGAACATTGCGTGCAGTGGAAAGTGATTAAATTGTGGGTTTTATGGTAAACATAATTTTTACACAAAAGAATCCTTTCGTGTAAAATTTAGCGTCATTCCCCACCACCTGTGGAGGGAGGCATTGCCGCTGGTGGCGCTAGAACGCTACCTGCCCCTACATGCTCGCGTGCAAACAACAGAGAACCGTTTTTGAATGATGCTCTTTTGTGGAACTTGTCAACTGATGTATCTAAAAACATTGGCCTCAAGGAGGTGGCCATTAGTCTGGCGCAGATACCCAACGTTACTAGAACAACTTGGTTTGGAAACTGCCATAGGAGCCTGCTTTAAAAAAGCGGCTCCAATCCATACTCGAGAACCGAACTTGACACGATCACAATGCCGCCATTTCTCCTGCAGCGGCCACTCTGGCAATTGTACAACTGCGCATATTGGTTCAGTCATGTTGCGTAGGGGCCAGTGGCGCCATTTCGCACTGCCATCTTGCAGTAGCTATATGAAGCTATTTTCATGTTTTGACTCGCTGCTAAAGGGCGGCACTGTAATTGTATCCAGTTTGGTCTCAGTGGACGCGAGCGGTTTGGGTTTTAAGGGTGAGCTTTCCAAATGAGTGCTTTAGTAACGTTGCAGATGCCATACACTGAGATGATGATAGTGATCAAAGTTGCCAGTCCAAAATTCGAGAAGGGCCTGTTTAGGGGACAAATGTATTGGAAATTTATGAAAAACGGCACTCAAAGGGACAGGAAAAAAAAAAAAAAAAAAGAAAAAAACCCCCACGAGTTTGGTTAATTAATTGAGCTTTGTTTTTACGATGTTCGACGGACTTCAACTAGCCCAATTTACCACCCTGCTGCAAATGTTTTAGACTTCTCGTGGAATATCTTGTCCTAAATCCAAAAATCTACGGTAAAAATTTGGCGTGATACTGAGTTTCCGAGAAAGCTGAGAATGTTTTTCTTTTAGTGAAAAAACTTGGAATTCTTTTGTTTAGACAGAATGCGCATAAAAGTAAAATTTTATTAAAAACTGAAGTTCGCTTGAAAAAGTGCAATGCAAATGTGTGATATGCTAAATATACGGAAAAGCTGAGTTGTCAAGTTTTGCTGAATTTAGCGGAGTGTAGTGCAACTCCCAAGCTCGGAAAAGCTCATAAATGAACACAGAGCTCAGCTCACGATTCATACTGCACATTCTGGTTCTCCAACTTTATCTGCTGGTCTACCATAAAAAACCCAAGAAAGCGTCCACTCAACCTTTTGGGAATAATCGTGCAAAACGAGGAAAAGTGCTCCTTAGGTCAACCTCATGTAGGGATACGTCCTTTCAGGCACGTAGCCAGAGAAGGGGCCTATAAGGCCCGGCCCTCTCCCCCAAAATCCTCCAGTTTGCTGGAACCTCCTCTTTCCCCTTCCCCTCACACAGCATTCTGTCATGGGCGGGCCCCCTCCGAAACAAAATCCTGGCTACGTGCCTACGTCCTTTTCATATTTTCCGAATGTTCCAAAATTGAGAAGTGGGAACTATATGTGGAATGGGCAGAGGCTTTATATTTTTTAGTAAGATGCATTTTTCTTTAATTGGTTTCCAAATGCATGCAGTCATCTGTTCAGTTTGTGTGGACACTTTCGCCACCCACACGCGAGTTGGATTACAGGTGCGTCAAGCAAGCTTGATTTGAACTAAAACCATTTGGTTAAGAGTGTGACATACATGGGCTGTTCGCTATATTCCGGGAATCGGGTATAGATAGCGTTGCAATCAAAATGAAGTTAGTTGCAACTGGTGTGTGATAGTTTATATGTGTAACCTTCTGAGGGAAGTCTGCCGCTTCATGTTTGACTGCTAGCCAGTGGGTAACACTTTTCGAGCGTGGAAGATGACTTGTGCAGTGAACTGGCCATGGGTCCCTCGTGACGGAGAACCCATTGGCAATGGCAGTGTCAAATAAGAAAAAAAAGAAGAAACGTTTGTGGGAGCATGCTTGCTACACATGCTTGCTTGTGTACTTGTGTGCCTGGCAGGGTTATAGCTGTCTTTGAGATTATATGTGATTATTAGATTTACAGAGTGCTTGCGACCGTGGCAGCTGGTTATTGAAGTGATTTTACTGTTGCAGGGCGAGGAGCCAAATGAAGACTCCTTTTCAATGGATCTCGGTAAGCCTGCTTTACTTTGTCTGTTACTCTGCTAAAGTCTGTTTTAGAATATATGTGGCTTTATTCTTACTTTGTTCAGTATTCTTGTGTGTAGGGAGTGCTTGATTTGTGTTGTTGTTTTTGTCCTTGTGATACACCTCTGGGCAGGCATGTTACTGTTGATGAGCATCAATAAATGAACATTAACATTGTTTTGATGATAATCTATGTGCCCTTACAGGACTTTGTAAATGAGTTATGTTGCAAAGACGCCATGCTGTCATGTGCTTTGTGGGGCCTAATTGATGATGAATATTTTGTAGAAATTGGATTAATATTTTGTCTCGTGTATGTTCCTATGTGTAAGGTCAGACAGTGGAGGAATATTCACAGACGTAGCAGAATCCGTCTTTATGTAGAATTTGTTTCCACTTGTTTGGTTTTCCTTGTCTTTAACATGCTCTTGTCTTCTTGTAATTTAATGGCTGGTCCCTTGATGTTCCGCTATAAGGTACTTTTTTTTTTGTTTAGAAAGTGCAGGACATGGGGCATTTGGGAGAGAATTGGAAATGGTTAACTATTTTGTTGTGTTTATTGGAAAACTGCTCTGTTATTGGTAAACTGTTCTGTTCAGAGAACAATACATACATCAAAATTTGCAAAAAAAAAAAATGACACTGCTCGATGCCACAGCTTTATGCCGAGATTCCTTTTATGATAGACTGGGTAACTTAACAAAATACAGTTCCGCCCAAGCAGACATCCTTGCGCAGAAGAGCCTAGTGTTCAAATGATCGAGGTCAATTCTCTGCCACAGCAGTCAAACTTTCCCATCTATTCACAATCTTTTTTTTTTTTTTTTCTCTCTTTAGTTTTTTGGAATTTTAGCATAGTTGGGGCACCCCATTATGGTTAGACTGGATGGGTATTTCTCGAGATGTCTGAAACTGGTTTGTTTTCTATTTGCCGGCCAATTAGATCGCTTGTTCTGTTTTTTTTTCCTCCCGTCGTAACAGCACTGCCTTGGAGCGCACAGCAGTCGTCTGCCGGCAAACGTTCTGCTTCCTCAAGAACGATCGCCGACCGATCTGGAGTTCTGCAGGTGACTGTGCGCAACGAACGTTGTGGAGAACAATGTGAGTAAAACAGTGAACCAACCTTTCTCAAGCAGCTTTTTTCCTTTTCGCTCAACCATTTCATTAATCTTTCGTTTCTTTTGTCTGATTCCACGGTGCAGCCACTGCGGATGCGTTGTCAATGTCGAGCTACGAAGTAGTTGACATGTGTTGCGAGACAACAGAGTCCGAGGTATGCTGGCACTTCCATATGAGGGGAAACTTGGGTTTTATTGAATGTGGGTTGCGTGCAAGTGTATATCGGTGCTGATTAAGTGGCACAGTCAGATGCTTTTAAGACGGAACTAGTTTTTTCAAATCATCATTTAATATACATCTATGGTGCACATAATCGAGATAGGTACTCAAGCTCAATATTGGCATTCAGCCTTATCAAATAGTTGTAGAATCTCAATTCTGTCCCTGCTATATGGGACAGCTTTCTACCGGCCAACAACTGTAATTTAGTACCATATTTCTCTAAGGACAACAGATAAGGAAACATTGCCAGAAAGTCGAGACTGAGGTGCGGCGGGCACCAGAACTGTGTACAGTTAGGAACTTTTAGAATTGCATATGCAAAGAAATACTAGCTTTGTTCGATTTGCCTGCACCAGTGCAGAAACTGTGGGGCGGTATACCCGGTTGCACCTCAATACACATACCGTAAGTACACGGCCCTACACTTTTCTGCATAGGTGCACAGGGTGCAGGTAAATCGAACGAATCTAGTATTGATTCTAAAGCTTTGCGTCCGAATGGCAAGTGCAAAACTTTCGGGCATGCCGTTCCAATACTTGCTATCCTTTGCGACATCTATTGTTGTTTGAGCCAAGCTGTACAGGGGGGACCGTTCTGGTCATTGTAGCGACCTTAAGGACACGCTCATTGTCAGCCACGATGTCCGCATTGTTTAGGATTGAATCCCTGTACTAATCCGACTTTCTGCCCACGGTACTGTACCGTCGTTTGTTACCAAGACATCCTTTATCAATGAATGCCCCTCTTGTGTCCTTTTTGAGCAGGACAGCTCGGACGACGAGAACGTACCGCCCCCCAAAGTCTTGTCCCAGGTGCGGCGGGCAAGTCGAGGTGGGTGCAGCATCGGTGTATCCTCAGATTGTGCCTGCCATGTCATCCTCCCCCCCCTGTTTCCAAGTGCTTATAGTAATCGACGGCTTAAGGAACGCGGAAAGCAACTTATTACGTTCACACATCTTGCTTCCCGATTGGTTCTTCCACGATCTTGTCGGCTGACGCCGCAACCTCATTTGCCGTACAGCAATACTATGACGCTTGAGACTCGTCGTGCCCTGCGTTTCCTAAACTGTCGGCGTTCGTGTCTGCTTCTTCGATACACTTGGACATTAGGGGTGTTGACAGGGGCAGTTTGATACTTTAGACCAGTGGTCTCAAACTTATTGAAGTGTGGGGGCTAGGTAGCCCACACTGGAGATGTTGAGGGCCAGCGTAAGACGTGGGAGTGTGGGGGGGGGGTCCAGAATATTTGAAAGAGATGAGATCTCCTGCTCTATGCTATTTGTAAGCTAACAATTTTGCCAGTGACATCTTAAAATGTTATTTGTTTATATGACTACTTTGAGCCTTGGCCTGATGTGATGGAACCGCCCCTCCACCGTTCTGGCATTTTAATAGAACATGAGAGCACGTGCACGGTTGTGCACGTGCTCTTTTGCTCCTGCTGATCGAGAGTTTGAGTGGCCGAGATGCGTCCTTCAACGAAGAGCTCGCTTGCGCTTGCAGCCTAGTAGCAGAATTGTTGTACATTTAAAGAAAGCTGGGAAGCAAAAAATAAAGCAGAACAAAGGGCAAATGAACACTGATAAGTATAAACTATGTGAATGGGTTAAATGAGCAGGGCTACTTTATGAACGAAAAGGAAATGGCGAGATAAGATCATTATGGCGCATGCCATTTCTAGCACTCGAGACTTGGGAACTGAGACTCGTAGCGGATTGCTTGCAGGCCACGTCCCAGCAAGTCGCGGGCTGCGTGTTTGAGTCCTCTGCTTTCGACCCATGTTACGGATAAATACGGGGCAGGGGATGGCCAAAAAAAGATGCTTTTCGTGTAAAGCTCGTCAAATAATGAGGTGCTAGAGAAAACCAGCCTTCTGCATTAAGTCCTTATTTCAAACTCTTTTTGTTCACGTTCCGCCCATTGAAAAGCATGCGGGAAGCGCCTCAGCACGCACCTCGTATCGCTGCACCGCAGTGTTCTTCCACAGCATAAAGGCCGTCTGCTTTCATCGCCGTCACCATGGCAATGAATGCCGAATGACCTTTTTTGGACGGCTTGTGTATCACTAGGGAGCGTGTTAACCCAGCCCCCTATTTGCATTCATGTCGCTTCGTGGCGACAGTCTGTGACTGCTCATTACAAAACTATTGAACTTTGGCTACAGATGGCATTCGGAAAATCGACGTTCGTTGCCATAGTGATGGCAATGGAAGCAGACGGCCTTCATGCTGCGGGAGAACACTGCGGTGCAGCGATACGAGGTGCACGCTGAGGCCCTTCCTGCATGTTTTTCAGTGGGAGGAATGCAAACAAAAAGAGTTTGAAAAGGGTATTTAATGTAGAAGGCTGGTTTTCTCCAGCGCCTCATAATTTGACAAGCCTTACACGAAAAGCATGTTTTTAGACTGAAGTTTGAAGATGGTTTTTTACAACAACATGGGTCTAAAGTATCACTGTGCCTTGACATGTCCACTGAGACGTTTGAAGGTCCCTTGGACGTCCCTCAATGCTGAGACGTCTTGGAATACCCTCTTTGCAACTTATAGTTGTGTTGTTTGCAGTGATGTGATTGCTGCGCCAGTTGCGCCATACTGCGCCAAGGGGCTAACCCTGCTACATCCTGCTACATTTTGACAAAATATGGGTAATCCGTGCCAAGCCTGCGCCGAAGGATTAATTTTTGTCGCCTTTCAAAACCGTTACTAAACTAAGTACCGTAATTCAGCATGCATGAGCAAGGTGGCGCAAGCGGCTGCCCGACACAAAGTACACTGCATCAGTTGTCCTTCCGGTCTTGCATGGTTTTTCCTGCCCCGTCTCTCGTTCCACGCTCTCTTCATCTCGTGGGTCTCGTCTCGCATCTCTGTAAAAAAATTTCACCGATAGATGCTGGCTTCCGCGGACGCTCCGACGCTAGCGTGTCGGTTACCAGCCATGCCGTCATGCTGTGAAACGAGACTACGTTTTTGCGGGGCGGTAGTTACTTTGAGAGCTGAAGCACTCGCTCCTGAAAGCAACGGTTGGGGAGAACGATATTTGGTCACCACCTGCCAGTCACCGTGGTCGCGCGACGTTGGGTTTTGCCGTCCCCACGTTGTTGCAGATGTGGCTCTTTCTTAACTGAAACGTAAGGACCGCTACGTGTTCATCAATATTGCTGCGCTTGTTTAAATCATACGCTAATAAAAATATCCCTCTTTACCTCAAAGACTGCTGTGTCGAAGTATTAATGACCTAAATTTTTCTCTGTAGGCTTTTTTTTTTTCTTCAAGAGGGTCTTTGGTACATGAAAAATCTGCCGCGAAAGAAAGTTGAAGAGAAGTGAGCTAAAGCAAAGAAGGCAATTTTTGCACGCTGAACCCGCACAGCGCGCTTGTTTGTCTCGAGTTCAGTCACTATACAAAGCGCTTCAAGGACTTTTTGACCCTAGCTCACAATGTCTTGCATCGATGTGCTCAGGCTCTTTTTTCTGCATGTTTAGCTTGTACCTCGCCTGCCAGCTTGGCAAGCACGTGCCGCTGGGCCGTTTTTTGTTGTATGCTGGGCAGTTACATTTTGCATTACAATTTTGGGAAACAGTTGGTGACGGAGCGGAGTGGCATGGTTTCGGTTTCGACCGAACAGCCATCCCCGCTCGCGCGACGAAGCACGTCAACTGCAAGCCTGCCGAAGTTTCCCTCATGTGCATGCGAACATGATTGCACGACAGAGGAACTAGCCGGGATGCTTGCAATTCATTGTTCTACGTTTGCTAACTTTTGGCAAAAATCTGTCATGTCTGAAACCAGTGTAATGTTGGCAAGCGGTTTTCGAAATTGCTCTGCAATGCCTACGGCACTGTACACTTGTGGGACGTCCCAATGTCTCTTTGGAGACATTGAAAGTGGAGATCTATTACTAGCGAAAGGCAAAGCGAGGCTTGCAGCAGCCTTGCAGAAAGTTTCAAAAAGCAAGAAGAAAAGCACTCGCTAGTCGTAACGCACCTTTGTCTTTCGTAGAATTTCGCATTGCACTGCAGTAGTTACGTGTTTCATCAGACTGCTTCCATTTATGATGTTATATAACTAGTTAACCTAATGCTGTGATGTTTACTACTAAGCTGGTCATTTTCAAATAAATTTTAATATGTGCAGTTTGGTTCTTTATCTATAGCGGGTACATATATATGTACCATTTAACTGAAGCATTGCAAAATGTGTCATATCATTGGCATTTCAGTTACATGTTGAATGACTTCAGGTGGTCTAACATGACCATAGTTTGTTTATTGCGGCGAGCAAAGTGCCCTTCGTCTGTCCAGCACTTAAAACGGATATTTCTATTCTTTTCTAAAACAATCTGCTCCACACGCCAATTTCGCTGTCCCGAAACACTGTTCTGGCTGCTCCAAAAGCCACTTTTTCTGCTCCAAGACACTGTTTCGGCTGCTCCGAAAGGTGCTCCAAAGCGGCTTAGGTCAATCACATCACTGTGTTTGTGTGTTTAGACAGCGAGAAGATAGTCAGTCCCTAATGGGCATCCATTGTCATCGTAAAGGTGCGTTCATGCTTACCAGTCTGTCGCGCTACGGCTTTTTTTCGCAAAAGTAACTGAATCAGGTCAGTCACTTCCGGACCGATTTTTCGAATCTGTTGCCAAGCCGATTGTCGACCAAATCAATTGGCAGCGCCTCAGAAGTAACAAGCAGTGTGCCTTGCATTTGTGTACGTTTGGCACGCCGTGCTTCTGTGGGGGATGCAACCAACATGTCCGTCCAATGCCTCCATTTGTGGTAGCGACCACGTATACAGAACCATGGAGGTCTCTGCGGCGGCTCTGATCCACGTTGTTAAAGAATACATATATCTTTAAAAAAAGAACAATGCCCCCTGTCTGAACGAGCAGCCAAAAAAGAATAACTTTGCCTCGCTGCAAATTTGTGGCTTCTGGCTCGACAAGTACGCACTGCATAGCGGAAGCTTGAGCAAGTCCACGCCGTTGTAGCTATTTCGCTTTCATTGTTTGGTTCCGAAGGACCCAGGCCATTTATCTTAAGTCTTTCTCTTCAGGCGGTCTTTCCCTTCTGGCGAAGATAACGCACATGTAACTGTGCTGCAGTGAAGCATGAACCTGAGCTGTGGCAGGAAAGACGAAATCAACGGCGGCTTCTGAAAGTTTCTGAGAAGCGATGCGCCGATCGCCAGCGGTGTGAATGTTGGTGGTCGCTTGTCGCGTGTTGCTAGTCTATCGTGCGACTGCTGCAAATCGCAAGTGCAAATGTGCCTTTAATGAGTAATTTTGCCGGTGCGGTATGACTGCTAGCCCGGGGCCTTTTAGGGGCATCGCGCTGTAGTGATGCACTACCGCACGCCAGTACGACGCTTATCCAGATTGAAAGGGGCGGAGGGGGGGGGGGGGGGGGGGGGAGAGGGAGAGGGGAGGGGGAGGTAGGGGTAGGTAGGGGTAGGGGTAGGGGTAGGGGTGATTGAACTCACAATCCTTTGTTTTTCTACAGCGCAACCCTAGTAGCACACTTAGTTCCGTAATGTCCTTAGGATGTCCTAACTTTTTTGGCATGTCTCATGAATGTCCATATTACATCTCAAGAACATTAGGACATCCTAAGGACATTCACAGTATTAAGTGTGCTACTAGAGAAGCTTTTGCTCCACGTGCTTTGAGCTGCCGTACATTAACAGACAACAGCACAGGGTTTATGTAGAATGATAGGAAACATGCAAACAGCACATTGGTCAAGGGATGCCAGCAACAAACGATGAACCAGAACTTAATTGTGGTTCTTATATCTTTTTTAAATTTTTTTTCAATATGTAAAAATTCTGTTCAGTTGCAGTATTCATGTAACATTGTGCTAACTTTGACACATGGCTCGTTTACCTGTGCAGGCTTCAAGGTGACTCCCATGAAGCGTGTCTCTGCGCTGCGCCGTCTGGACTGAGAGCCAAGCAGATCATCGTCATAATCGGCACATGTTCTAATGTACAATTCTATGTTGAGTCGTGTATATTTCTCTAACCATGTTGCCAGTTTTCCGCTTACAGAGTGTATGATCATTGTCGCATCAGGAATAAAATGTTCAACCTTGTGTGGAGCATTCGGAGGCATGAGGTTTCGAGAAGATCATTTTAGCAAATGCCGTTTAACCGACCACATTGGATTGAATCCCTTTATAGAGAAACCCAGTTTAGAGAAAATAGCTTTGAGTCTCCTTTTAGTGAATTCGGCCGCTGCAAAGTGGCGTGTATGGATGCGTCAGGTGGGTTAACATTTTTTTCATGAGCCTCTGTAGTCTACCACCGCAAAGCGTTGTAAATGCGGTGGGGCGGGTGGGTTAACATGTGCAAGGTAGGGGAGCCTTTCTTAAAATCTTTCCTTTTCGATAAACAGCGTTTTTTTAAACTGAGGCCCTGCTTTCTCTGAACCGAGCTTTGATAAGACAAGCCCATTCTCTAAAACGGGTTTTGATAAAATGGCGTTTTATGAACCGTAGTAAATCCGGGAGCATTCATTCTGTTTGGTTGAAGGCTGAGCTGCTGTTGGGAAAGGGTAAAAAGATTGAAAATTTGAAATAGAAGCAAAGGAAAACATTTTCAGCACTGTTGGAAGAAATTTTGAATACTATAAACTGCTTCCAAGAAGAAACAAAGCATGTTTTGTTTTTCACTGTATCCTAAGTAACTAAAAAGCATAATCAATATTGTTTGCCGCCAGAGCACGCACACTGTTCAAAGATAACTGAAGTTAATTCTACATTTCACATTTGTTTTCCAGAGCTTGAACCGTCAAAACCGAAAGTTCGTCGAGGACGCTTCGCCACGACTTGCAGAAGTCTTCAATTTGTATTTCTACTGGCGTGATAAAAATAAACACGTGTGCAGTGGTTTTACTTTTGTTTTATTTACCACTTGGCACCGTCTCAAGATCTGTTGTGGAGTTTTGAGGACATTGACATACCGACATACCCTTGTTCGCGTCGGCACGGACTAGAGTATTTAGTGGTCATAGCGCCATAGGATGTGCCACTCAGTGACTCTAGTGCCTCTGTAATAAGTACGACACACGCTGACCGTTACCTACGCATACCAACGCAGCATTCATCGGTTGCTCGATATTTTAATAACGTTGATTTTAATCGACAATTTTCGTGGTTTTGGTTTCGTTGCGCACTTCAATAACAACAACACTGGTTCGAGAACATTCGACGCCATCTTTGTTTTCTTTTTTTCTTTTAATTCTCTTCTGTTTCTTTTTCTGTAGGCGCATGGTTGTTTTAATCACAACGGGACAGTCGTCCTGCGTGTTGTGTTCTCGGCGATCTCCCTGAACATTTTCGGATTCATATTCTTGACACGTTTGTAACGCACGAGCCGCTGACGAACCACTAGAACCGACACGTAAGTACTACAACATGCTTCCTTGTAGCAGGTGAGCCGTGAATGCAGTCTTTCGTCCTGTCGAACGTGGGGCCTACCTGTGCTTCCCGCCCTTTTGAGCTACGGCATTTAAAAGCCTAGCCATTTAATGAGGTAAGGCCAGCGTTGATGCATGGCGCTGTAGCTACCCAAAGATAGTCACCGGTGACGTGTTAATTAAATTAGCTACCGAGTTCTATACTCTTAGGCAGCGTTGAAAACGAAACCTCTATCCATGAACGAATTCATGTCCGCGAGTTTTTAGTGCGGCTAGCGTTCAAGTTCAGCTTGGGCCGAACTTTTTGATATGAACAGACTTCTATGCTTATTTTTTATCTTGCCGAAACTGGGATTGCAATTGCCCGAACAGTGAATCGGAAACAATTAATCTGGACGTTCTGAAAGCAACCACAGCTTGTTTACTCGGAGCTTGGTTAGTGACGCACAATCAGTTTGCTTTGACTACTTGGGTATTCATCGGAGTAAGCGACTAAATTGACGTTTGATAATAGCCGCGAAGCAAGTTATCACCGGAACTAGAAACAGAAGAAAAGACTACCGGTACATCCTCTTTTGTTCCAAGACCTCGAATCTGGAAGGATCCATCGAATTTTCGCCGCGTCAAAAGTTTATCGCCAAGCCTCTCAGTGGTTTGGCCTTATGTATGTCCGTCTGAACTCTGATTTGACTTCCGGCAGGTTGCAGGATGCCTTTCAAAGCTGTCATGTTTTTCAATGACCTCGCGTTTGTTCTTCCTACCCCGTGGTGCAAATAAAAAACGTGTGTCACACTTGCGCGCGAGAAAGGTTACTTCAAGCGCGCGTGCCCACCCATTTTTGCGTCCCCTTTTGCCTTTGCTGAGTTGATTTCTTCGGAATTAAAAACAGCGCGGAAAGACGAGGACCAGACAAAGAAGTGACACGGACGTAGCGCTGAAGCAAAATCGCAATATATATTTGCGGCGTCACGAACAAAAGAGAAGAAAGAATTCAGCCCCATGTGATGCACCACCAATAAACATAAAACAATGATAAAAGTATATATATGTATACATATGTATAAAAAAATAATAAAATAAAACTGCGCCATGACACAGCCGTAAAGAGTAAGTGCTAAAAAACGAGCAAGTCAGAGAACCAGAAAATTCATCTCTTTGCCTGATAGGGCCACAGAAGGACTGCTTACACATGCTGCACCCAACCTCGCTATCTCTACAGCCTCCAGAATTTCCCGAGTAAGCTCGCCCAAGCCTCAACTTGAGTTGATTCCATTTGTTTAAGACTAAACGTGGGCACCTGAATTCTTAAGTAATGGCCCCAGCTGAAGAACACAATCCTCTGCCGTGATTTGATGTCTTAAATATACATACATATACCAGGTGAAAACATTCTCATGCAACTTTGCCACAGTTGTGCGTACACACATTGTTCCCGGGATGACCAATGGTATTGGCTTTGGATCGGCCGGTGGCTTGCGCCATTTAGCTGAGAAACATTTACACCCCACCATTTTAAATTTTGCACTAAATTCCCTCTCTCGTTAAATCGTCTACCCTGCCAATTTTTTATGTTATCATAGTCTGAATTGCCACATTGCCAGCTATACTTGGGGGAAAGTGGTGTCTGTGGGCATTTTTACTGGCTGCTGAGCTCAAGCCGACGGTTAGGTTCCTCGGTGCTTTTGCGATGTGCACTTAACACCAAGATAGCTTATAAGTGTGAGCTCCTCCTGAGCATGTGCCGTGAACAGTGCACACGGACATGGCATCCATTGGACACCTCGTATTAGCGCCGAGATCTTTCGGTAGCGCCCTTTTACGAACATGATTGTAAACCTGAGACTGGGGCATAGAAGAGAACACAACAGAAGGTAGAAAAACAGGAGGTAACGTCTCAATTTATGGTTCCTTTCCGTGATGTCACGAACATGGACGGCACCAGGCTTTTCATAGTAGGGGGGCAGTGGGGAGGCGCACGGTATTTTTGGGGAGGCATGGGCTTTCGATCCCACTAAAAGAACAAATATTCAGGAACGATGACTTGGTAGAGCAGTACTCACTCCCGGCAGTATCGACTGCAGGCACCAAGTTTGCTTGGGGAGTTTTTATTAGATATTAGCGTCGTTTACTTCATTATTTACAACCTATCTACAACTCTGGTTAATGTAGCATTTCACACGCAAAATATTCAGGCATGTTTACATTCCTCAATACTAAATAAGCACGTTCACGCTTGTCGTGACTCATCATTGGCTCTTTGGGCAGTCCCCTGCACCGCGGAAAACCGGAGCACGTCAGCGATCAAGTAGATCTAGTGACGATTCTCCCTTTGCTGAATACGCCTGGCTGAGGGACACGGCGACCGATTTATCCGCGCCACTTTTCTTCATCTGCTTGAAGGAAGCCGATGATGTTTGGGATATCTTGTGTGCCGTGCTGTTGGAGTGGCGTCGTAGTCCGCCTTCCTTTTGAAGAGCTTTCTTCCTGTTTTGGTAGCTCTCTGTCAAAATACACCACTTCCACTGTTCTGTCTGTTATTAGTGGAAAACATCTTACAGCAAAAACAAAAAGCAGAATTCGAAGACACACTGTACTCCAACCACAGAAAGCGAGCGCACCAGTTGGACTTAAAGGTCCTTGGATTATCGCCATAGTTGGTCACAGGAAGAGACCAGCACAGGCTTTACTGGCAAAAGCTGTTCGGGCTACATTCGGGTGTATTTCCGTCTTCGGTTCAGAAGGTCAGGCTTGGTGTTCGATCTGAAAGTTGACAATCGGTCAGCCGTCATCGCTATCATGCATAAAGACCCACATTGATGTTCCTCAGTGCTTGCACACGCCATTTACTCTCGATCAAGCAAACGCTTGGCAGGTCCAAAATTGGAGGCGTTTTCTGAAACGTTGTGCTTCGTTGCTGTCTGTTCGAAGAAGTCACTAATCGGATGATTGTATCCCATAGCGCACCCGAGGGAATTCTTCGAGTATTCCTCAATGTTCTCGGCACTACGTGGTTGGCCCCGCGGGAGAGCTCGGATGGCGTCAGGCACCGGTAGGGGGCTGCAGAAGGAATCTCGGGAGCAATGGTGTTTCGAAAGAAAAGCACTGTTGTGCTCGACTAGTATCAGAAAGCAGGAGAACTTTCACTAAATTTCTCTTTTCAAGTACCGCATTCTTCAGATCTACAGGGCAGGGTGAGGATTTAGGAAGAACACACAAACGAACGGACTGACTGACTTGACTCCCAGCTGGCAACATTTATTTACCCCCTTTCGCCCCATGCACAAACACTTTCAGTGCTTTCAGGTTTCCTCCAACCTCCTGGGGTAGTCTCCCGAGCACTCACCCAGACACACAGTTGCCGTCACCAAAGCTGCTGCAAGGACCCGTTGCACACAGCAGTAGAGACTTGAAATAAGCAGCTAGAATGCGGCTAGGATGACCTTGACACATCGAAGCCGCCCCCTGGGGAATCGCCAGTCGACCCGAGCGTCTCAGGACTTCGGGAGATTTCCTCGGTCAGAACATGAACAGTGCCCTTCAGTTTCTTGCCCTGGCAGGTACGATGCGACGGTGCAGTGCAGATAGGATTCCAAGTCTCTCCGAGTAATCACTTGGGTGACACTGCCTTCGGGAAGTGTTTTGCGGTTGGCGACAGAAGCCATTGAGTGGTAGGCGGTGCTCCTAAGACTCGGCAAACCATACCGATATTCATGTATCGGTCTTCACAGGGTCCGTAAGGAAAATAAAGCGGACGGCACAAAAAGTTGAAAACATCCGGGATGGATAGCATAGGCCCGGACTAGGGCTGGGATATGAAAAACTCCATTCCCACAATAAAGTTTACTCTCTCCCTTTCTCCGGGATGGGGCCTCTTTAGGCTGGCTATCCTTCAAGCCAATCCCTTTTCCATGGGACGAGGAAATTGGGAAAACGACGAGCCATGTAGAGTGCACGGGTCTGCGCGCGAAAATTAGGGGGTGGGGGGGGGGGGGGGGGGGGAATGTAAAGGTTGGCATATTTTTGGGGTGGCAGGACAAATTTTAGGGGAGGCGCCCGCCACCCCTGGCCTCCCTTTGGTGCCGTCCCTGGTCACGAACGTGATTTGCCTTGCTCTGTTGTCGTGAGTTGTGGTCTAGGCTATTTATCAATGGTTGTGAACGACAAGTTTTGTGGTTTGTGTGAAAATCTGACAGTCTGATGTTGCTATTCTTTCTGTCGAAGAAAGAGGAAATATTTACGCCAAAGACATCGTAACGAGTGTTTGGCCAGTTGTAGAATGCCGACCACGGCGACGCTTTTGGTCGCGTGCGTCCCCACTAGTTTGTGTTTGGTTCAATCTGCTGTGTGAATTTTTTGTGAGATGCTTCATTTTTTTTTCCAGCCAGGACTGTCGAACCATGGCAGAAACAAAGGAGGAAGTTGCCACTATGCTCAGCTCTGTGCTTACCAGCGAAAAGGCGGGTGTGGCCCTCCGTCGCCTAGAAAGTAAGGCTGGTTGCTGGCGTGAACCTTGGTGAATTTTCTTTTTTTTTTTTGGCCAGCCTCGCTGACTTTTAGGTTTATAACTTGAATGTGCTGCGTACGCAGTGCAATCTATTCCAACAGTATTGAAAAACTTGGAAAATCTAATTAATATAGCCAAATATCATTCTACCCGCGATGGCCATCTAAAGCTCTTAAAATGATACCGCCCTGCTGTCGGGTGCAGCAAGTTACTCAGCAGCAATCCCTGGTGTATTGCATAGTAAAATGTGAGGTTTGAACTATGTGTGTTTCTTTACTGAATAGTTTTCAGACAAATGATAAACAAATGCGAGATCCTGCATCAAAGAAGTGAAAAGTCCTTGCTTCGTGAGTGGAAGGGGAAGATAGACAATCCCTGCATACAGCACATCCAGTTACTATATGTGTATGCCAGCTCCAGCTGATAGATAATCCCTGCACACAGCACATCCAGTTACTATATGTGTATGCCAGCTCCAGCTAGTTTTTGAGAACGAAACCGATGGTAGCTAAATTGCACAAGAAGCACATTGAATAAAAACTGGAGACAGACCACCGTCTATGTTGTCGTCAACAGCGATCGTCATTGTGGCACCAAAGACTAGAAAGTGGTAGAAGAGAGGTCATACATTTGGGCAAGGCTTCCGGCTCTGAAACTTTGACGCAAATCGTTCAGTGGGGTTAATTCAACCCCCCCCAAAAATAAAGAAGAAAACTATCAAGACTCGCATTATTGTTGCTTACGATTCGCCGACATGATCTTTAAAATATGACAACTAATGCCAGTGAGGGTGATAACAGTTGTCAGTTTTCAGGGCCTCGTACAGCGAGGAGTTCGGGTGAATTCAATTCAGGTTCATTTGGTGCCTTTCGTGCTGCCGATGCAGCATGTGCAGGGCTTGTGCTCGCCCTGTACTGACTGGGCGAGCACAAGCCAAACATGTAGCTACAAACTGAGCTTGCTGCTGCAGGTTCCAGCTGTTTAGCAGAAGGTCTACTGAAAAATTAATGGTTCTCAAAAAATTATTATCTTGAAGGATATCAAGATATCAAGAAACCATGTTCAGCTGGTAGCTGAACATGGTTTCTACCATGTTCAGCTACCAGCAGCTTGTTTACGCCTTAGCCTTCAGTATCTTTTGGTGTTTAAAAAAAAAAAAAAAAATTGCAAATCATGTTGAAAATAGGGGTGGGTTATTTTGGTATATTACAGTGCTTCAATTTTCGTTTCTTGTCCTTTTAAGAACTGTGTCATTGAAACGAGTGTTGCCCTTTCGCAGGGGAGTACGAGACGCTTATCGGAACGAGGATTCCGTATCGTCGGCTGGGCTACAGCACTTTGGAAGAGTTCCTTCGCGACCTCCGGAGTGTGGTCAGGCTGGCAAGGTGCGTAGCTGTTTTGTAGATAACAGCCATTGTGTAATTTAGTGTAGACGCCGCACTGGCATTTTGATCCACACAAATACAGTGTCTAGATGGGAAGTGGTGGCAAATGTGGCACTATCTCCGTAAGGCCTTCGAAGTGGATGCAGCTGTGTGGCACTGGCGTAGTTCCCCCCAGCAGTGGCGCTAGCAAGATGAGGTGTCGACTATAGTTGCTTGCGGCCCTATCTCGTGATGTTATAATGACAGCACACCATTTTATCAGCTCTGTGTTCGGCAGACTGATGAATGAAAGAGAATTTCAGATGCTTAAAAGGTGTCATGCGGTGGTGATGTGCTTTTTGGTTTTCAACACGACAGGTGTGGCAAGCTTGAAACACTACACAGCTTTGCCACTACAAAAAAAAAAAAAAAGAATATCTACATATAAGTAAATGTTTAGTCAGCTCACTTCCCCTCCGAATGTAGCTCTGGGTAATGTCCGGAAAGTTTCAATAAAAAAATGGCCCATTCCTAGTAGCAGATGCTATTCATGTCCCTGCATTCAGACATTCTTTTGGCTGCAATCCTCTTCTGAAGCATATAAGCTCAGTTATGAAAATGGATCCCCATGCCTAGCTTTACATTCCATTGTACATTGAGAGTTTGGTGATGGATAGTTAATTATTGAGGCAAGAAAAACAAGGTTGCTGTTTTACTTCAGTTTAATTCTGCCCAATCAATAAAACCTCCTGATCCCCCCAAATTATTTTAGTGTCATGTTCTTTACTGGTGGGCTGCATTGCAAGTTGGAGACATATTCAAGCTATGCCTCGTTTCCTTAGTTGCTCACTGTTCATATATGCGAAATTTGCTGAACACTTGTGTTCTTAACTTCTTTGTATTCTACTGATCTGTAGTCGCAACTCTCGATAAAAATACTTACTTCCGTGTTTTGCCACAGTAAGAAAAGCAATGATCAATTCCAGTACATGCTTTGACAGACACTCGCCGACCAATCTTTCAGACTTTGCAGGGACCGAAAAAAACATCCGAATAATAGAACAGTTCGAAAAATTAGCAGATTAAAAAACATGCCTTTATTACATGTAAGTGGGCTTACAAAAACAATAAATAGTGCCTTGCTTCAGGTTACACCTGCGCCCCTTGTTTTAGATAACGCCTCAGTTTGCGTTCGGCAACTTTCTGTTAGCTTGAGAATCGTTGCCCTCTTTTCTAGCGTTATGGTCGAGTACTTTCTGCACTTCTTAGCGACACATTGCGGCAGTGGAGGAACAAATGGGGCAATGACGTCAAAGCCAGCGTAGTCCGAAAACACGATTCACTGAGACGAGATCGAGATGAGAGGTGCTAGTCCAGGGGTGGCCAAGCTGCGGCTCGCGAGCCGCATGCGGCTCTCCGCGTGTTAAAGTGCGGCTTGCCGCTCCCTCCTTTATCCCTCCTCTCCCCCCCCCCCCCCCCCCCCCCCCCCCCCCCGCTTCCTTTCTTCCGGAGCACTTCCCCTAAAAGAGAAATGAAACTCGTTTTAAATCGAAAGACAGGTTGTGGTTTGGTAGTGTTGTGCTACTGCTGCCTTACGCACAATTGGACTGGTTTTTACTCAGACCGAAATTAGTTCGTGTTTTGTTTATTGCTCTAAACAAAAATCCCCCCCCCCCCCCCCCCCCCCCCCCCCCCAAGCGGCTCTTAAAAAGTTTGTGATTTTGTTTGCGGCTCTTAGGCCGGGTCAGCCTGGCCACCCCTGCGCTAGTCCATGACTGCAATGGCGAATGAACAAAGCAAATGGAAACAAGTTTGATAATAATGATAACGCGCAGCTGGTAAAAAAAAAAACAAAAAAAAAAAAAACATACACCGTTATCTAGCAGTATTTAAGTAGTGCTGCCAAACCAAGCCAATCCAAGTGCAGCCAACATAGAATCCAAAATGGCTGCTTGTCGGTGGTGTTTCCCGCTGATCGCTTGCAGCGATTCTGTTTGAAAAGTCAATCTTTCGGACTTTAAGCTGTCCAAAACATTGGTCGTGAATATGCACTATTTCTATCGAAAAGGCCATGGTTCCTCCTTTAGTTTTGAAATATCGAACAAGTCCAAATTATCGGCGTCCAAAAAATCGGTCGGCGACCGTAATTGTACCACGACGGTGCAGAATAAAAAACGTGACTTAAATAGCCTCGATTTGGCTATAACAATTTAAATCACACAGAGTTTGCTATAATAATTTAAATTAAACACTTTTACCCCAAAATGGCACTAAAAACATTTTTCATGTAATATTTGTCTGTCAGTATTTGTTTTCCATGAGCATTTCTTTTATATTTGAAGCAAATAATGGTCAAGCAGAAAGGATTTATATCAGACAGCCAATAAAAAGACACGTCTACACCCATATTCACCAGGCGCGAGTAGCGCCTGCTTAACCGCTGACTAGTGACGTCGTCGACTAAAATGATGACGTGGCGAGCGATAGTCGCTGCTAAGTGAGTGTTTGGTATTCACCGGCCGTGTTTAAGGCCTAGTTGCTCCGCGCAACTAAGAGTCGACTAACAAATCTTAGTCATGGGGCAGGGCTAGTTTAGCGGGTGACTTGCGGCTCAGTGTCGTGGTGGACTCGTATCACCGCTGACGACCAGCGCTAACAGAGCACTTACTGTCTCGTAATGCTGGGAAACACATCTAGGAAGAATCGGAGGTGCAAATATTATGTACATAGCCATGTTCAGCGGTCAGAGATACCACTGAAGAAATCTCAGCAGGACGTTGGTCGACGAGAAAACGCGCATTTACGGGCGCTTCAGTGTTTGTCTATATCGCTGGCAATGCGGCTTCCGTGTTTCTCCCTTGCATTGTTTTTGAATTTTTCTTTGTAAAACTCTGTCTGGGACAATTAGCCTCTCATTGTAACTTTATTTTTTTCCTGATACGCATTTAAATATTAGTTTTTATACGATAAAATACCCAGTTACGCAGTGACGTTTAAGTATGCGTATGCGTGAACTATCTTTTTACGTCACTTCCGCTTGTTAGTTCTGACTAGATAGTCACCCGCTCGCTTCGTGCTCGTGAACACCGCAGTACTAGTCGATAATTAATTGCCGATTTTTTCTCTTAGTTTGCAACTACTTAGACGCGATACTAACTTTTAAACAGTGTTAGTTAGTCACGACTGGTGAATACGGCCGCTAGGGATTAAGAGTCACTAATTTCTAGCCTAAGTGATTTAACTCGTGTGAGTTTGATTTAAATCAAATAAATTTCGTTTAAACCAAACAAATCTGATTTATTACTCTTTTTTATGCGGATTTTTTTTCCCACCTTGATTACAAAAGAACTAGAGCTAAGTGTCAATTAAACATTTTTACCCGAATAATCGCCACCCTTTAATTAATTGATTAATCAATCTCATTCATCTCCCTGCATAATAATTTAAAAAGTCAATTTTTTTTTTTCTTTTGTTGACAATGTGATAAACGACTCGGTATACAATTTTGATTATGAGTCGTCCTCGATGTGCAGTTGAGGCAGGTACTCACACCCGCAGATTATTACTTCAGCTGCATGATGCAAAGAGGTTCGTTGATATCCTCTGGCAAAAACGACCTCCTTTGAACGTTCCCAATAGTCTCTGCTGCGTTATACGGACACTCGCACGGCGTAGAAATGACCGAGATAAGTGTAACCTCCTGCACTTGTCTGGAGTTATAAATCTTGCCCCTACAGCTTACCTTAGGTTAAAGTTTGACCTAAAGTTTGCCCTTCATACCGGTGTTCTAATTCATGTCTGCGTGGTGAAACTTTAATTTTAACTTTTTTGGGGTTTGTAAAAGTTTGACCGATTAACCAGTTAAAAATTTAATTGCAATTAAAACATGTACTGACTAATCACTAGGTTAATCAATCAATTGCCCAGCCCTACAAGCAACAATTATTTAAACTTAGAAGAAATGAATGCTGCTAAGAACACGACCAAATAAATGAGGGGCAAAAGTTCCGATGATTTCACTTTTCAACGGCTCAAGAAAATGGCTCCATTCTACTTGAAGGTGACATTGAGCTAGGAAGCTCTGCCTCACTTTGCGCAATGACACAAAGGCAAAACAAGATAAACTAGCCTAAATGAAGCAAGTGAGAAAAATAGTGTGTCAGGCAAACACAGTGATACAAAAACAAAATACAATAAAGGAGATCCCATGGAAGCATTTAGGGAAACAATACAATTAGTTACACAGCACATAAGAGCGTGGCACAATTACAAAAGTAGATATTGCTGATAGTACTGAAAGTAACAGGTTCTTCTAATGACAGAACCGGGTGAAAAGGCCATGTGGATCAACTGAGCTTCAGGTATATTTTTCCGTTTTACGCTTCTGTACTCTGGCACGATTGAGTGACTTAGCAAAGGGATGCAGCCTAGTGGTAACATAAAATACTATAAATTGAGCTGTTAGTGCTTTGGAGTGATCTGCACATATCCAATGTTTTGGACAAGCGGCGTCCTCCAAGAGCACCCAGTGGCTGCTAACGCGAGACGAAGCAACTGATGCAGCAGTTTTCTCGTCCAGTCGTCGACCGCAGCGCAACATGCGGCGTCCACTTTTTTTTGGAACAGTGCCTCCTGTTGGTGCTGGCCTTGCTTTTGCCACTACAATCCCCTTCTAGGACACTAACACAAACATTTGTGTGAATTTATTTTTAACACCCATTTTTGACTTTGTTTTGTAGAACAACTGGATGTTTGGTTTAAATAAATGGCGGGACGTTTTCTTTTCTGTTGCCTCTATCATAACACTGTGCTATGTCGACAATTTAAAGGACACATGCAAAGGAAAACAAATTTTTTTTTTTTTTTAAAACAGCCTGGATGGAAGAAGGTTGTTATAAAATAAATTTACTATGAAAAAAAAAAAGAAAAAATTTTTCTAGAGCTATATTACGGCACAAAACAAATTTGTAGTTCGCTCCCGCGTGGCCGATGTAGTCGCATGGTACTTGTGTATTTCGGAAGCTTGCTGTGGGCTCTAAAAGTTATTTATTAGACTTTATTTTAAGTGCAACAAAAGCACAAAGATTAATTAGTAACTTTTAGAGCCCATAGGAAGTTTCCGAAAGAGCGCAAGCACCACGTGATAAAACTGTGCGCCGGTCAGAAATTGACGGCGGATGCATGCCGGGGTTGTTCCCTTTCGACGGCGACGTAGAAAAACTCATCAGCCGGCGGCCTGCCATGCTCAGCGTGTGTTGGCGGCGTGGAGGTTCTGGGGATTTCCGTGGTGGTGCTGAATGGCTCCGGCGAAACTTACGGTGTCGACGGTGCACAGGTCTGCCACATGACCAGTGGCGGCTCCCGCGGGAGCCAACTAGATTCGTTTCGCGCCATAAATATAGTTCTGCAAAATTTTTTCGTTCGTTGTAAATTTGTTTTATGACTCTCTTTTCTCATCCAGGCTGTTTTAAAATTTTTATTTTCTTTGCATATTTTTTTTAGGCCTTTTGACTGCTGTAAACAAATTCGAGAAAATCTGCACGTGCCGATTTTTTCGAATTTGTTAGGTGGAGTTTGACTCAAAGGGTGTATTTTAATGGTCAGTTCTATTTCACAAGATCTCACGGATTTTACCAGATCTTGCGAACCTTACGAGATCCCATGGCATATCTTCACAATTCCATCTCTGGAAATATGAAAGCGGTTGGAATGCATGCCGATCAGAACTCTTTATGCTCTGCTTTTTCCAATGGCATGCTGCCTGCTCATGCTGAGTAGCACAATCCGTTGGAGGGCTTTTCCACTGATTTGGACACGCACATGTCATTATGCACTGGGCGTAAACTGTTTTGTGCTGCGTTGTCAAGGCTAGCGTAGCTTTTGCCGTGTTCGAATGCCATCAGTCACTTGTACTCACAAATGAAAGGGGAACGCACGTGCTCTTGCAGCAGTGCAGCGCGGTAGGAATGTAGAAGCTGCGCTGGCCTTGACTACCTAGTGCAAAGTAGCTGACGCCACATACGGCGTTGTCCAAGCAGAAAGTGCTGAGTCATGGTGCTGCCTGTATTCCGCAGGGGCCAAGATGGCGAGACCATGGTGCACGCCGTGTTGACGGAGGCCACGGCCCACGTGGCGGAGATGGTGAAGGGCCAGAAGTCGAGCAAGCCAAAGCCTATGGCCGTACGTCCTGTTTTATGACCGCGGCATAATAGATGTGTTTTGAGGTATACATTTGCATTTGGAAAATACTACTGGCTGATACGTGGGTCAATTTGACAGAAAGTACAACATCTGGTGCAGCAGGATTCCAATTCCTAACTCGGATATGCTTTTTTTAGGCAGTAAAAGTGTTAAAGGTAAGCACTGGTGAGAGTGTCTTCGATAGCCGTGGTGTCAAATATAAACTCGATTTAGTTTGGGCTTTGTAATGGCAGTAAGCAGATTCGGAGCATGCTCTTCTTGGGCATTTTTTAGATATTGTAATATTTCGTTGCATCGCTAGTGGAGACTTGAGTCTTTGAAATTGCCCGAATACAAATTGAAGAGCACGTGTAGGTGGCCTCTGAATGGGCGAGGTTTCGAGTGTCTCATGTTGTGCCTGCTTAAGCTTTCTAACAAAGTTCTCACGTCGCCAACATCTTACTTTTAATATATAACCAATAATTTAATATGCAGGGGCAGCTTATTTAAATAAGTCGAAGAAACTGTTCAGTCTTGGAACACGAGTGCACTTATCTATCCCTAAACAAGGTCTCGGAACTATGGATGTTTAGCATGTGCAGCTGTTAAAGGGGTAGTGAAACGAAATTTTAGCGCCGATCTTGTTGCATAAATATGGGCTAGGGACAGGCACCACCTCGGAAATATAAATATTGCGCTGTAAAACACAGGAGAACTAATTTTAAACATAATTAAACGATTTCAAATTCTCATCTGGTGGATGGGGGGAAGTTCTCGTGACATCACTTGTGCCAAAATAGCAGCGCCGTTCTGCGGCAATACGGCGTGCCGGCAGAATTCGCCTAGGCCTGAACGCGTTTGCAAAGCCTTGGCGGAGAAAACCAAAGCGTAGTTGGCCACAGTGAGCTCGTTCTCGTTGCGGCTCCTTGCACGACACGGCCCGAGCATGCTTCTGGCACGGCCGGTATTAGTTGCTGCGAGTCGCGAGCTGCAAGCCGACGTTAAAAAGGATATGTTTGAACTACGAGGGTGTCAGCAAGAGCCACGCAAATGCCAAATACCTGTTCACACTCGGAGCGGACACGCGCGTTTGATCGAAGTGCTGGATTCACTCTGTTAGACCGCGCTTCGGTAAGCGCTTCTGGACCGATCTTTTACGATTGCAACTCGATACTGACATGACACTCGGCAAAGAAAGGCTAGACCGACATCGCGTAGCTCGACACTGACGTAGCCTCGAGTCAGAATAAAAATGGCATACTAATAACAGAGTGTACATACCGAGTTGCCAAGGTAATCCGTATGGCGTTTATTTGAGCTCTATATCACGCAAAACAAGGAGATAGAATCAATGAGAGTCCCTTTTCGACGACAGCGTTCGTCACCGCTGTCTCGGAAAACAAGGAGATCGAGATGACAAGGGGGAAATATTGACCTCCGAAATTTAGTTCAGGGATCAAACTACTCATCCGGTAAGGGTCCACAAGGGTCGCGCGGGCATATTCCATTCAGCAGGCCAGCCGGTCATGGACAGACGGTCTTGGCCAAGGACCGCCGGAGCAACGGTGCGCCGAGTCGATGTTGCTGCTAGGCCTACTATATTCTGCCGAGCTCGCTCGGTCGGCAGAATCGTGGCTGTTGTAGCTCTTCTCGTGTGTTTGTGGATCCTGCGTACTTGATCGTCGTGGTCTGTTTTAAGTACTCCTTCCTTTTTTCTTGCTGGTTGAAGTCGGGACGCACGTGAAGAGCACGAAGAAAAATAAATGTCCGTTGGTGGCCGATACCAAGTAACTGAGCGACGCTGTCGGCCTTGTTGATTTGATCGTAAAAAGTGCGTAAGACAGCTTCGGAGCTGTCGTAGGATTCTGTCGTAACCTGCGCAAAGGTTACGACAATTTCGTTTCGAGAGCACGGGTTTTCTCTCAAATTTGTCGTACGCACTTTTTTCGTCGTGAATTCGCTTTGAGAATCCGGCCTCAGAGCTGGTTTAGTCAGTGCTGCCGACTTGCCGTGGTCCCGTGGTGCAGCGTGCGTGCAGCCCTTGCACATCTCAAACGGCCACGTTGTCACAGGTCGTAAACCGTCGATGCGCCACCAAGTGGCAACGCTCGTAACCACAACATTCACGCCGTAGCCTTTCCCGACCGGCACAAGTGACGTCACGAATGCGCCCACTATCCCAAGACGCATCGCGCTCTCCGATGGCCGATTTTTGAGCGCGCGCCCAATCGGGCCCATCAGGGTGAAAAATATAGCCATCCGTTCAAAATACAAACGCGCGATTATGATTTATGAATATCATTGATCATATTGAACCTGTTTCTGACCATAATAGGTGTATTTCAAGTTTCGCTTCAGTATCCCTTTAAACAATGCAAGCAGCAGTAGAAAAAGTCACGTGCCATCTGCTGGGGCATTCCGGCAGCACCACACCACTGCTTCGTAATTCCATTTTTTTCGGCCACTGCTTGTCCGCCTTGTTTAACGGTTGCGTGCACTGCACTTTATTACACATACGCAGAAACTGTCTGGACTGCCTGTTCTTTTTGCTCGCTGGTTTGTACCAAAGCTTGGAGAGCGTTGGCACCTCATGTGCTGGCAGTGGCGCAGCCACACTGCTTCTCCATCTTTCGTTAGTTCGAGCTGGATCTGCGAGAGGGGCGTTGAATGCCCATCCACACGTACAGCACGGTGCTAACCTGGCACTATGGACACATCACTGTCCTTTCGCTACATCAGTGCTGTATCGGCCCCCACTGCATGTTGTCACCCAACCCCTTTCCTGTTTACACGTACGACGCCGCGCCAATGCTAGCGCCTACGAAGCACCGACTTTCCAAAGACGTCGGCACCGCACTACACGTGTGAAACGGCCTTAATTAAGTCCGAGAGGTATCGTCCCCTCTTTGGTCTCCCGCAGCGGCCCGCCTACCGCCGCCCCATGCACTACAGCCAGCACAACTACCGTCCCAACTCCGTGCTGACCAAGTTCTCCTCCCTGGGCGGAGGGAAGCCCTTCAGGGGTGGCAGCTCTCCCTCGTCGTACACTTCCCCGGCCGCGGCCAGGCACAAGCCGGGCTACGAGATCTACCAAACTCCCTCGCGGCGGTCCCTGTTGGCAACGCCCCGCGAGAGAACACCGGGCAGCGGCCACGGTGCCGCCCCGGAATGGGGCAACAAGTACCAGGGGCACGCCGACGGTTTCAAGAAAGTGAGTGCCACACTCGTCTTCTTGCGCACATCCGCGACTTGATGCCAAAAGAGGGTCTCCTGGTTGCCATCCTCGGAGTACGAGCTGACGTTTCGCTCGGAGACTCGAGGGCCGTTCACGCACTTGCGTTTGCTTAGGATCAAGCTCTTGTGATTTCTTGCGACGGGAGAACAACACTGGTGCTATTTATGAGGTGTCCCTGCAGCTGCATTTCATTAAAGCTAAGATTTTGCGCAATTTGCGATATCAAGCATGCATAATATCTTCATAACATTGTCGAAAGTTTTTCGTCCCAGGAAAGAAAGAATGATGAGAAAAAAAAAGAAATAAGAGATGTACGGAAACTGGAAGGGTGTTCCGGTCCACCCAATAGAGGGTGCCAGAGCATTCTCGGGGGGGTTTCGAGGCACACGGTTTCGAGCAGTCGCAAGTGTGCAAACCGGTCTATCGCTTTTTTTGTTTTTTTATTGAAAAGAGCTGTCAGGGTTGCCTTTTCAGATTCTTCCCTCTACAGTCGGATACAAGTTTAGAACGTGCCAGAAGGTTCTCACATCCCTTATTACCGCTAGCAGCTGTTCCCTCATGCTGAGCAAAAGATCCGTCATCGAGGCTATCGCGTTGTAACTCGTCGTGGCTACTGCCCTTCCCGGTTAGTTCGTGGAGCAATTAGATGCCATGGCTGGTACCCAATGGTATTTGCTTGGTGCGTTCTTTAATCGTATCCGACTTTAAAAGGTTTTAAACGTGGCTTCCCGACTGGTGCCTGGTCTGTGCAAGCACATGCAGCATGTCCAAGAAGGTAGCTTTGACAGACTTGCAATTCCACGTGCTTGCTCGCGACGGCCCGACGACGACCAGATGCCCACACTGCAGTTGTCTATAGCTTTGACCGGCTTCAGGTCTCGTCGTTTGACGTGACATTAAGTGTGACGTATGTGTGGAGCATGGAGACTAATTATCATTTGCATCAGTTTTCTTTGTTGCAACCACAATGACTAAATTAGTGGGACTACAGTGCTTAGCGTGGTGCGTGGCTTTACAGCTCAAGAAGTAGATGGGGCTGTTACGATTCCGCTCTCTGCTTATTGTAGACAGAGGAATTTAGGCACGGACTTTTTAACGCAATATGTGTTTTAAGGCTGGTTTCCAAACCCAGATTGTCACAAAAAGTTGTTATGAAAGCAGGATAACATGGCCAAGAGTCTTCACAAAAATCGCTTTATCCTTCAGCGGGAATCAAACCACGAACCTCGCTCCATGTTGCAATGTGTGGCCACATTTTTAATTAAAGAAAAAGGCTAGGCACGATTGTAATATCTAGTTTTCTCGATGCTTAGGGCGCATAGGTTGAGTTTGCACTGTAAAAAGACAATTAGAAAATTTACTTTGGTGCCCATTAATATAAAGGGCATCAACCGTCTACATGACCCTCATCTTCCGTGACTGTGAAATAATTCCGTAGCCCCCAGTGGTGCGTAGCGCTCATTGTCGCCTTCACGCTTGCAGAAGTACACCGGAAACTATGTGAAACCACCTTCGTCGTCGTACCAGACGCCTCCCCGCTTCCAAAAGGCTCGCAACGGCAGCTGGGGTAGCGAGGAAGACACAAGTCGGTCGAGCAGACACCAAAACGGAGACGTCGGCCCGACCTCGGGGGCCGGCTGGGGCTCGGGGGCGCCTCGGGAAAGCCGGACCCCCACGGGGCCCAAGCCGGCCGGCAAGTGGGGCGAACTGGACGGCAGTTGGGTCGGTGCGGACAAGCCACAGCGCGACGTGGGCTGGGGAGAACGGGGAGGTGGCGATGGAGACGTCAAGGAACAGGCGTGGGGGGAGGCTCCGAAGACGGCAACTCCCTCCGGTGACGGCGGTGAGAAGCGATTGGAGGGTGAGTTGATGGAACTTCTTTTTTTAGTTTTGCTGTTCTGGTCTACGGCCACGAGGTGCCCGTAATCCGACGGAGGCTTGTTGCTGATGAGGTGCCGTGTAGCCGGGATTTCTGCTGCACGTCAAAAGATCTCTGGGTGGTTGAAATGAATCCTCAGTTTTCCTCTGGGGAGTGCCAGAGTTGCTTCATTGGGGTTTGGCACTTAAAACGCTCGAATTTTATTTGGACTACAGCTACAGCTATTCGCGACTCCAGCGAACTATAGGGGGCGCGCTGGTCTGGCAAATTGGCGGACGAAAAGAGGTCGTTTTCGTCGTTCAGCACACGGACCACCATAAATTTCTTGCACTGCAGCTTAAAATTGGTGTTACATAATAAAGCAAAGCGATTTTTCGACTGTACAAACCTTTTACTATACCCGTTTTCACCTCAAGAAAAAACAAGTTTTGCGCATTGTTCATACGCGGTGCTAAGTAGTTCCTACGAGATTTGGTTGTCGGAGGAAAAAGTGTTGTTTTTGGCGTTTGGAATCTGGTGCGTCTTGATAAGATAACATATATCTAATCTAAAATTCACCGACATGTGCCTTAATTATCCACATGAAGTGGGATATTAGTAATGCTCAGCGAAGAGCCAGACTTGTTTTACTTCGGTTCTTGAGGTGAAAACAGGTATAGTTAGTGCGTAGGAATGACACGGCGGAAGCATAAAAATAATTACTGGAAACAATGTTTCTTTCTATGCTGCCTACGAGAACCACACAGCGATAGCAGACGACAGAGTCGAAAAAACTACCTCCTCTCTTGAGATGCTCGGCGTTTCCACTACTCGGCGTTGATTTCGCTGGAGTCGCCAATAGGCTGCCAGGCCCACTCATCGACAGGACATCACATAGTGCGCGGCTCGTATGCATGTATTGAAGTGACAAACCACGCGTGCCTAAACGATGCCACGTATGTCGGACAACGTGGCCTTTAGCTGGCTCGTAATAGAAGCTGGAGGCTTGTAAAATTGACTTGCATTCATTATAAGCTGAAACAAAGTACCGCATATAACGTATGTCTCGGGAGTCGTGAAAATCCGCAGTATAAGCGGTAGCGCGCTATAACCAAAACATCAATTTTTCAGGCCAAAATACATGCCACGAGACAACTTACCTTTGTAAAAGAATTTATTTTATGTTGGATGAAAAATAAAGCTTAGTTTGAGGACAGTCTTTATTTCACCAGACTAGTAAAGTTCTGTCTCAAGTGTGTCACACATTTTGAAAGAAATGAGCGGCTTTTGCCTGGCGCAGCCTTTTAACGGCGTCGCGGGTTGCGGACGGACATTGCGAACGTTCAGTATTCCTAACCCTAATCACTTTTCTCCGGAGATGAAAACGCGTGAAAATTCATAACCTTCATACGGTACGCGTCAGTAATACCTTGAACTTGAGCACACGCATGAAATCCGCCAAATAAGAAATCCGGGCGATGTTCGAGGACACAAATGCTTAGAAAGCACCACTGTAGTCGAAGTAAACAAACACTGCGACACGGGCGTTTCTGCTGTCTTGAAAGCGCCGCCACGACATCGCCGCACGAGTAGGTGGATCTTCCCTTCTAGTACGTGCTGGGTTATCATAGCGACACACAACGAAAATTCACAGTCAAAGATAGCGCTTTTACGCAGAACGATGAGATGAATGCCGTCTACAACGACGATCACAACCGACGCCATGTTTGCGGATAGCAGCAGCCGGCCCGCGATCGGCATGCAACGCGCGCGAACACTTGTCCTCGACCTGCGATTGGTCTGTCGTTGTGGTTGTTTGTTTCTTTGTTTCCAACGCAGCGAAGAGACGCATGCACGTGAACGGCTCGTGCGTGCGTCCCTCCGTCGCTACGGCAACTGCAGCCTCTCTCACCGCTTCTCCTTGGAGTGCCCCTTGCGGCTCGTGCCGTCAGCGTTATCTACTGTCGCGCAGGGAAGCGTGCTCGCTGCTCCGGTCGTCGGCGCGCTGTGCCAAAAACCGCACTATAACCGGTATTTCCCTTCGCGCGCCTGCATTTAAGCGGTATGTAATTACATGAAGTTCTATGGGAGGCGAACCGGTGGTTTAAAAAAACCGCGTTATACCTGGTCCTGCACTATAAGCGGTTACGTTGTAAGTGGTCTATACTGTATATTTATTTATTTATTATACCCTCAGGGCCGAAGCATTACAGAGGGGGTGGGCAACGGAAGTACAAAAAACGCTGAAAATGGTTAGTCCGGCACAGATCATGAATAGTAACTTGTTAAAGCTTCTTTAAAGAGGACAAAATCGTAAATGGACGCAATGGTTGAGGGAAGGCCGTTCCAATCACGAGATGTTTTTGGGATGAAAGATTTGAAAAAAGAATTTGAAATGGAAGTGGGTATACCAACTTTGCAGCAGTGATCGAGGCGAGAGGATACGTAGATGGGAGCACTGATTAGTTGTTCTTTCAAGAGTGAATTGGCATAGTAAATTTTATGGAATAAACAGAGACGGGAGATAGTGCGACGAGTGGAAAGAGGGGGCAGTGAGAGACTATCTTTCATGGATGTGAAAAATATGGTTTATTCTACTGACTTAGGTAATGTCTACCATACAACCACAGTTGGCACGCATGAGTATCCCCATTTTTTGGAGTTAATAATCACCTCTTTTCCCCATTTAGGCACGTTCCTAATGCTTGTTAAAAAGTAAACCCCCTGCTTCTTGCAGCCAGGATTTTTTTTGGGGAGTGCTGAGGTGGCTGGGATGTCCATGGCTGGGGGTGTGGAGAGGGAAAGGGCGGCTCAAAATGCTTGTGTATAATATGGGGTCGGCTGGAGTTAAGGGGGGGGGGGGGGGGGAACTGAAGCCCAATAAGCAACCCCCCCCCCCCCCCCCCCCCCCGGCTATGCCCCTGTCCTCTTGTCTTCCTCAATCTGAAAATCGGGGGGGGGTGTAATTGTTTGAAGGGACATAAGGAATGTGTCTGCATGAATATGAAAGTACAAAATACTTGCTTGTTCCGGTTGACACAATCTTTTTACCTTTGTTCAGGTTCAGACTGCACAAACAAAGCGCCGACAACACCCACAAGCGACTCCACTTTCAAGAGGACCCCTGTTGCCATCGCAACACCCTTGTCGGACAACGAAGTTCTCAAAACTCCGGTGAAGGCCCTCGAACGGAAGCCTCCGGCGCTCGAACCGGACCAGAAGCGGTACGACCCGTTCCGTGAGCCCATCCAGTTCACCGAGCGGTTCGACCCCTTCCGGCAGCCGATCCCATTCAAGCCGGTCCCCGAACAGACTCCTACTCCCAAGGATGACGACAAAGAGAGCGAGACTGTCCCCACGCAAGTCCGGCCCCCGTCCCGCTCTCCGGTTCCCTCGAAGAGGGCCTCCCTGCCGAACTGCACTTCGCCTGAACGTGCGTCGCCGGAAAACGCTCCGTCGAAACCCACTCCGTCAAAAAGTGTCACTAGGAAACACGTTTCGTTGGGCCACATTTCGTTGGAACCCAGTTCGTTAGAACCCAGTTCGTTGGAACGCCATTCGTTTGAACGTGCTACATCGGAGCGTGCTGCGTCGGAGCCCGATTTGTGGGAACCGACCTCGCCTTCACCGAGCTTGCCGCCGCAAACGCCGTTCTGTTCTCTTGTGGGTGCCTATGCGAAGCGGGAGGGAGTTGAGGCGGTGTACAGTGCATTGCTGGACAAGTCAAAGAAGCGCGGACCCGGAACCTGGCTGGCCAAGCTCAAGCTTGGGGGGCGGACGTTCAACTCGTACCCCAATGAGAAACCGACGGCCGACGAGGCGAAGGAGGAGGCCGCTCGAAAGGCAGTGGAAGCCTTGAATTTGCTCCAAGAAGGTGAGAGGAGATGATTCCATACTAAAATAATCGCTTGGTTCGTCAGGTTTGAATTCCTGGAATCGAGATGTAAACCTCTTTTGAAACATACTGAGGTTTTATGCCTAAACACACGAGGACAAAGGTGTGGCCTCTCACTTTGTGTCCCGGTGTTTTTTTGCGTAAAACCTCAGTATGCATTGGAACCAAGTAGCCCAACTTGCAATATTTACTTTTTTTAAATGTTTTATCGGCTACTGTGGAGAGAGAAGACAATGAGCTTTGTGGCGTTTATAAGGGAGGTGTTGCTCGCTGTTGCACCGTTTTTGCTGCGCTTTGTAAAGTTGCGAGAGTCTAGACAAACTCAGTCCATCTGTATCTGAAACTAAGCTCGTTCGATTTATCTGCACCTGCTGCAGCGGTGCAGAAAAGTGTAAGGCAATGTACTTCCGGCATCTGTATCGAGATACAACCGGAAGTACACCGCCCTACACTTTTCTGCGCCGGTGCGGGAGGTGCAGGTAAATCGAACGAAGATAGTGATCCGACGGCGGGCATTGGCACCTGCGGAAGTTGCTGTTGTTTCGGTGCCACTGTGAAGGCAATGCGTGGTCTAATAACAAACGTCTTGTTCGTGTAAACATGGCTGTTTGTGCAATGCACAAAGCTTTCGGAGTGAAAAGGATGGTCCCTTGCTACAATAAGTCCGTATGGATTGGTTTTAGTTCTTAAAGCTTCATCTAGCTCTTGGAGTAGCGCTTGTGGTGGTTTTTTCTGGGCGTCCACAGAGTCTTGGGTTGGCTTTCGGAGCTGTTGGAATTGAACAGCGAGACCAAACTTCACACAAGCTTTCTACAATCAGGCCTCAGAACAATGACTTGGCATTGTGGTCCTGTGGTATCTGAAATGTTTCCTTCTCGAATCACCGCGAGCGTGTTTCTACATTTACGTGTTTTTTTGGATCGACTCGCTCGACAAGCTTGACAGTATTTCTCCCGCGGCTACTTTGCGGTACGCCAATGGGCTTCTTGCAAGTCTTCGCTGCCATTATTCGTTGCACTCTTTCAGGTCACGAGCCCAGCCTTCCCGTTACGCCCGCCTCAACCGACGACGAAATCATGCTCCTGGTTGAGAGGATTGCAACCGTGAGTGCAACAACACCACTGTCACGTGATTGACATTTGCGAAATCCCTTAGGTCTCCATTCGTTTGTTGCCAGTAAATCTGGGTGCAAACGTCACGTCCGGTAGAGGGAAGGTGTTCTTTCTGGAACCAGCAGGAGCAAGGTTATATTTTGGGGAAGGGGCAGCCCGATTGGTCAAGCGTGACAACACATTGCTGGAAATTTGCCGGGATGGGATCGCACAAGAGAGGGAAGCATTTTTTTTTGTTTCCTACCGTGAACTTTCGTGTTGTTTTTCCTTCGGTACGCCCAGTGTGCAAGACTAAAGCTACTGGACGTTTCCCGAGCACTGTCGAGACCAGTTGTAACGAAGTCAACGGGAATCGAAAATCACTTTGCTATATCCGCTATTTCGTTATAACTGACTTCGGTTATAACGAAGTGCAAAAGGGAATGGGAAATTGAGATCACTTCGCGGTAGCTGCTAATTTGTTATAACTGACTTCATTATAACCGGTCTTGACAGTATCAGAACTCCCAAGCCTTGTTTCAGAACTGGCTGCCTAGGTGACTCTGAGTCAAAATGCTGGCCTACATCGAGTTGGTGAATTCGAATTCCAGCCCGCGGTTTGATGGAGGCTTATTGTGGAGAGGGTGCCGTGTAACAGACATTTCGGATGCACCTCAAGAGATCCCCAGGTGGTTGAAATGAATGCTCAGTCCTTTGCTGGGCTGTGCCGGATGCACTTTGTTGGTTTGGCACGTGAAATCCCAAAATTTGATTTGATTCGGAACGGGAACTGTGCTGCCATAATCGAGAGGCTCTGAATATGGCCTTCTGCTATCGAATCATGCCGAGAAGAGTTGACAGAGCCTGTCCGCCGGCAGGCAAACAGGCCTGCATGTTCTTTCGGCGACTATAATATTGGCTACTTATTACAGTCGAACCTCGATATAACGAACTTCAATGTAACGAAATCCTCGATTTAACAAAGTATTTTATTTTTCATAATTTTTTGCCCATAGACCCCATGTATTTTTAGTCTCTATATAACGAAGTCTATTTTGCTGCTATTTCGATATAACGAAGCGCCATTGCAATAGAAGGCAATAAATAAATAGACTCTAAAAAACAACTTCGCAAAAAAATTGTGGTTAAAAAAAAAATTATGCGCAAACGCGAGCGCTTGATAGGTTACTTCACGGGGACAGGCCTTCCAACGTCCCTAGGCCACCTAGGCTGCCCGAGGGTGCGGCGCCGGTAGCGCCGGCGAGGCATGCGGCAAAGCGGATTCCGCGAGGCTGGACAGAAAATGCCGAGCAAAAAGTTAACATGGCATAACAGCATCACCACTGACATTCACTGATCATCATAGTCCACTGTACCGCGGGTAGCGCGGGAGCCAACTTCAGCGGGGAAGCGACGTGATGGCGCGACCGCACGGGCAGTGCCATCTAGGAGAAGACCGAGAAGACCGATTATCGCTGGATTATCGTCTTGCGAGCGTGATGCAAAGCAAAGGCGCAAGCACACTGTGGGTGCTGTGGGCCTGTGGGCGCAAGGGGGCAAGTAAACTGTGCGGGCAAGAGTGCTGTGTAGGTTGGAAACATTGGCACCGCCTAAACTAAACAGCTTTATTTTTGAACTGGGCGGTTCACTCACGTGCTTGCTGCCATAGGGAAACGTAAAGTTCTTTCTTTGGATGAGAAAGCAAACGTTTTGGACGCCATCCTGAAGAAAGTGCCGAGATCACGAGCACTCGGGAAGTGCTCGACGCAATGGACGTACTGAGGGGGTACACGGCGTCGCATGGGCAGCAAGATGCCGTGCAAGCGCTCTGGGCGCTCGAACGCCGTATGACCAGTATGACGCCGCTGCTACTGTCGGACAAGGCGCAAGCAAAACTCGCGGACTACTTTGCCCCTAAATAAATGTCATTTTCGGTGAGTTTTCATACCCGTAAAATGTTTCGGAATTTGTTTTTTTGCATGCTAAAGCCAAATTTCGATTTAGCGAAATTTCGATGTAACGAAGTAAATTGCGAATTTTACCGACTTTGTTACATCGAGGTTTAACTGTATAGGAAGAATCTAGTGCATGGGATCTCAAACTGGGTTCCTTGAAGCACGCTCGTAGGTTCCCCTGGGCACGAGGTTCCCAAATTCACGTGGCCCTCCCCACCCCCAAGTAGTTCCTCTCTATGATTTGAGAAGTTCCAAGCCACCCACTGACGCGTAACTATGTGGCAGAAATTGGATAGCATGTGCATTCCCGTCTGCAAGGATCTAGGCTTCTGCACAGCTTGATTGCCTCAATGCCGAGAAACCAGAAGGGGTTTGTGGTCGTCATTCGGGAGGTAGCGTTCTTCTAGTTTTTGAGATCTTCTAGCCTAGCAAAAGCCAACATACCTGTCCAGTTGCGACTCGCTATAATTCACAAAGTGTCCGGAAGGCTCTATGGCCTCAATTACGAGTTCCGGCGGATGCCTAGGAACGTTCTGTGGTTTTAGTAGAAACAGCTTTCGTCGATTTGTGTTGCGTTTGTGATTAGCATTCCCTGCTACACTCTTTTCACCCCTGAGCTGAAGGGTGGGTGGTAGTCGCGCGCTAGCCGGACCAATTAACCTTCCTCCTTTCATCACCAGACACCGCTTCCTGCGCATGAGTACGGGCGCGAGCGCAATTACGGGGTGGAAGACGGGCGTACGACTGGTCCACCAAGCACGTTGCTGCCACTACACTCCACTTGCCGTCAAATACCGGGGGAGTGCCCACCGTATTTTCACTGAAAACTAGATTAATCTAGACATGGGCGCTCGTCCGGCCAAGTAGGGCGCTTAACGTATAATTTGAGGAATTCTCAAGTTTGGAACACGTTACTGGTGGGCCCTCAAACAAAGTGGGCACTTCCGCGGTATTTTACGGTAGAGGTGAACTGAGCGTGGTGGGGCAGCTTCGAAATAGTTTACTCTGGCTTACTTTCTTAAAATTTTCAGCTTGTGGCCGAGAGGCCGCAGGGCATCCTGAGCGACTACCTGCCCAAGGCGTACGAGGACCTGTTTGCGGAACGTCTGCCTGACGGATGGTTGAACCACGTCCGCAAGGCCCGGCTCGTGAACGTCACAGGGTACGTCTGGATCCCAATGTCGGTGCCGCTCTGGCGCCTCTGAATCAGAGTGCCGGCCCTTGACAAAGTTCTCTTGTGGCGAAGGCTCCACCATGTTGTGGCCTGCACCAAGGTGCAGGCATCGTCTTTTTGGGGGTGCCGGCCGCTGGTCAAGCAGCCAAGCCACCACTAAGCTAGCTAGTGAGCCGGCGGTGATAGCTCGGTGTTGGACCTTGAGCTAGAGTAAACATAGGGTCCCCGTGTTTCCCGATACCTGCACCGAGCGTATTACTTCAAGATCGGGTTGAACCCGATTTTTCCCCGAATTCGGCAATTGAATTATACCATTTTCCAGGCTACTCCGCTCCAAGACAGGCTGCACATGCAGAAAGTTATGTGAGCAACAAAGATTATGAAAAATAAAAAATAGCCCAAGTAAGGTCTTATAGTATCATGTTCTAACGCTGTGAATATTTGAAAGGATAAAACATTGAGGACGAGGACAGAAACAGAACTTCTTTCTTTGAGCAGCAACATTAAATGGCACAAAATATAAAATGCCCCCCAAAAGGTTCCAACATTCTCGAAGAAGGAAAAGGAATTTACTATAAATATAAAAGTTTAAAAAGCGCTGGTGTCACGACGGGGTATCAGTAACCATTTAAAGGCTTAAAAAGCAGTAGCGTCACGACGAGGTACCTATAATCTAGTCAGCTCTAGTGTTAGGAATTCGACCTTTGTCTTTGTCAGTGATAATGAAGGTAAAGAGATGTTGTTGACAGTCCCCTGGCAAATGATTCAACGATTTCCCCAAATCTGTTGTGGCCACCCAGTTTTCTCATATCGGAGAAATGAGCACGGTCGTCGCACATGCGGCTGTGAACGACGATTAGGGGAAAAGACTCATTTGAAGCCTTTGATGCTTCCAAGTTTTGCTCTCCGAGTTGATGGTTAATGCATCTCCCAGTTTGTCTGATGTACTGACTGCTGCAGCCTAGTGCAGGGGTGGAACGGCTGCGCCATTTGCGCCATTTTGCGCCAGGCGCATTTGTCTGCGCCATCCTGCGCCATGTTGCGGAAACCGCGCCAGAGCCAATACCTCGCGCCATTATGCGCCAAATAGCAAAACGTGCGCAAAAAAAAAAAATCATTTTGTCTTGGTTTCGGTTTTTATCGTCTCGATTGGCAACAATGAGCGCGTTTAGCTTTGTCGGCCTTGCAATCCTTTGTTCTGTTTATTCTTTTTGTGTATCCTGAGTTGGAAGCGCGCGAAAAAACTCTGGGGTTGGATTCCAAGCGCTACGCAACCTGCGACTGGATTGTTATTCTTCAACCATAAGCGGTTAAGCAAGTCGGCCGAGGTGAGGTCCAGTCGTTAGGCGTCAGATTGCCTGAGGATGGGGCCCAGGATCCGGACGTCAGCCAGTTGAAAACAAATAAGCAAAAGATTCCTTTTAGTACATCATCGTTAGAAGTTGGAACCGCGTTCTCGCAAGATAAATTGTGATTTGATAGAACTGAAACGTGTAATAAACCTGTACGTATAAGTTTCATTCACATGTATTCTCTAGTTGTTAACATACAGCTGAGGAGGCAGACAGCACCACGGGCTTTTTGGCTGCCTCAGGGGCTGTATGGAAGTAAAGTCAATAAACTCCTTTGTCCGATCCGAAACCTTGCCGGCCAACAGCTTTCACGCGAGCGGTAGATCTGCTCGCCGTTTGTTAACCTCTGCTTATCGCTTCCAGTACAAAAACTCCGTTAATCGTAGTCTGCTGCTTCGATATTGAGTTGTTGCAGAACAGGATAAACTTGAAGTTTGTTGCCCTATTCCTCCGTGCAACTGCACGTCCGTTGCTTACACACGTCACATGGTTCGCACATATAATTACTATGTCGAGCACATTTGGATTGTACGATAAGCAGTGCTAGTTTCTATTTTGAGCAGTTGAAAGCCACTCAGAAAATATCAAGAGCACTATCTTCAGAAACATATGGTACTTGCTTTTTTATTCTGATTATGGCTTACAAAGTTTCAAGTTTTCGCATCTATTACACTGTTATCCCATCTACCTAGGTCCCAACCAGTCATGTTCATCTATGCTGCTAAGCACAATCGAAATTGCTCCCGTGCTTGTCTAAGACACAAGCTGAAGTGCAATGAAAACTGATCTGAGCTGCTCATATAGCCTGCTCCAGAATGTAGTTTTAGCTGCTCCCAACCTGCTCCAAAACAGCTGTTTCAGCTGCTCCCGTGGCTGCTCCCAAGTACATTTCATGAGTTCCACCCCTGCTAGTGGAATTGAGTCAACCTTCCTTTCTTTGCACTAACTTTATGACATGTTTTACATTGCACCCTCTGGGACTGTCGCTTCCGTCAACCTTGTTACACATCTGCAGGGGTGTGACATCTGCGCCGATTGTGCCAATTTGATACAAACCCAATTTTCTGCGCCTAGTTGCGCCTAAAACGCGAAATCGGTCGAAATTGCGCCACACTGCGCCAAAGTAACCAAAAAAAAAAAAAGTTTGCGGCGACGCTAGATTTAGCGAAAACCAGAGCTTGGTTGGCAACATTCAATCTTGTCGTAATAAAGCACACGGCACGGGTACAGGGTGGTGCAAGCAACCACCGGATTCGAAGATTTCAGCTGTAGTAGCCTTCTATACCTATGATATGTGGTCTTTTCCCGATTTTCCTACTGCTTTCCGCTGTCATTTGTGACTGCATGCTAATGGTGCGCTGTCACGTGGTCTCGCTGTTTTGCCGCGGGAGGTATGATGCACCGCCTATCAAGATGAGCAAACCTTAGTATTTCTTTCGTTTTGAGAGTAAACCTTTTCTTAAAAGTGCTATTGAGCGCCTCCATTGTGTAATTGTTCATACGTGTCCGTAATGTCGTCAAATTGGACATCGCCGTGAGTATCACACACATGCTTCCAGTGCGTGAGCAATCGAATGAATCGGTCACACACGTATCTAGCGTGCATGTGGTGCTCATAGGTTTTCTACCAATTCACTGTTTACCTTGTGACTCACTTTTGTGGAGAGTTTTGTTTTCTATCTGCACGTGCTTTCTACAAGCATCCGATCGACGTCTGGTTGTAGTAAACCGTGCTTCCCTGTTCATGCTCTTGAATCACCGCTTTAAAAAGTTTTGCACTACAATTGCGCTTTGGCACCAGTTCGTATAAGCTTGAGGTATCTGATGCCCACCTAAATTTGCAGCAAGCCTGTGTTTCCTGTCCTCATCTATGTGCATAAAACTCGCGTTTGCCTTTTGCATTTTTTTTTATTTTTATTTATTTTTATCTTGGTGCGTATCGGCGCTGATGACTTGGAACCAGGGTCGACAAAAATAACGATTAAAAAAAGAAAAATCTGATTTATGTGATTTATATGAAATTTTTTATGATTTAAATTTCTGATAAGCTGCTCTAACATTTTCTGCTCCTAATCTGCTCAAAACTGTAGACGTTTGTGCTGCAAAGTTGCTCCAAAATGCATAAACTGCTGCTCCAAAACAAAAATTTTCTGCTCCTAAGCTGCTCCAAAATCCTGATTTTTCTGCTCCAAAAATTGCTCCAAAACCTGTTTCACCTGTCACACTCCTGCATCTGTTTAAGGCGCATACGACGGGAAAAAAACCATACTCGTGTTGAACTTGGATGCGACTGGTCTTAAATGGTGCATGGAATAATGCATGTAGGAACAACCTTTTTTTTTTTTTGGCAACAGCTTGCGGAAGTTGTCGCCTAAGAATGAATCTCTTTAGGGTTGAATGAAGTATGTCCACAGGAAAGCCTGCTTTTTCCAACCTCTGATGCTGCAACTTGAGGCTACTTTCGGAAAAATGCGTACACGACTCGGAGAATAAGGACTTCAAAAGTCCCCATTCTTCCTCGAGAGAATGAGGACTTTTCGTTCTCTTCCACAACTTTTGCAGTTCGAGACCCGCATTCATTACGCGAGGAAAAAAAGTCAAAATATTGATGTCCGTTGTGGGGGTTGCGTTCATTATGGGAGTGCGTTCATTATGCAAATAAATACGGTAAATATGGAACCTTAAAACTAAGGACCCTGGATATACTCTACCCTGGCGATGGCTTTACTGCAATATTGGCAAATTTCTAACATTTTTTTGCAACCTTTGTCGAACTTGGTTCGCAATTTTTGAACATGGATTCATGACCGACTTGTTAGAAATGGTCCAGCTCGGACCTTTGCAAGAATCAAGGCCTGAAACTTTAAACTTTGATAAGAAAAATGTTTGACTTTTTCTAACTCGAGTCTCAAAGACATTCAAGACCCTCGAACACAAACTTTTTGACACCGGTAAAGTTCCGAACTCTGTGTGAATTCGAACATTGGCAGCATTTGAAAGTTGTAAATGTTGCCCACTCCAACCTCGGGGAGATTCGCAACATCTCCTACGTTTTTCATTGGCAGCATATTGACTGGTTTTGTGCTGGCAAGTGTCGAAGCGTAATACTTCTGGGCTCGTGCCTGTGCGTGCAAGAAAATGTTTTAGCATACACAAATGAGAGATATCTATCTCATTTCTCCTTGCATGCAAAGAGGTATAGGGAGGGACTGGAAAGTGCAATTCGTAGTGTTTTAATCTTCGCTCTAAGCCTAGGGCCATGTCAGGATGGTTTCTTTTTTCGTATGCAGGCCACAACAGAGGTGCATCCTCTACCCATACAGTCCACTGGAGATGCCTGAAGAGGTAATTTGGCAAGCTTTTCTATTCTTTCGAGCGTCGCAAGTCCAGTGAGGTTCGGGAAGAATATCTTGAGGGGGCTTCTACCAGACTCCTCAGAGATATGTCAATCATGCTTTAGTTGCCGACAAGGTGACAGCAGCGGGACATCTCTTTTGAACGCCTTCAGCTTGCACTTGTTGCCTCCCGCCACGGTTCGTATGCCCGTGCTCACTCGAGGCTCTCGAGAAGCTGAAGCGTCTGCAAAGGTAGGAAGCTCGCACTGGGGACGGGACAACAGGAACTCTTTCATGCCGTTCTGGTCCTGTCTCTGACCGTGCACCTTTCCACCGCTCATCACTTGGGACAAAATGGCAGCTGGTCGCACGGCGTCCGACGTTTTGCAAAAGAGAGCTACTGCGCAAACTCAGAACGCGTTCTGCAGCCCGGTACGCAGAGTCGGTGGCACACGGGAGGCGACTAGTGGAACGGCGTATAATAACTGGTGATGGGCCAAACTTTTGCCGAATCGACAATTCGCCGCCAAAGTTTTGTTGAACTTTTCTAAAGATTCGGTAAAAATGTATTGCTGTCGAACTTGAAAGTTGATTTTTTTTTTTTGGGGGGGGGGGCAAAAGATTTTAGGTGTTTCTTTTTAATGCATATTGACAGTTATTACTAATTAAGGTTACATTCTACAAGATAATTCTATTATCTTACAATTTTACAGTGACTTTTTGCATAAGTGGTGTGACGACGAGGTTGGGTAGTACCGGGCGCAGTCGATACTCGAGTTTCGGTTTTGAGGTTTCATCAGCGCAAGCCTGCAAGGGTGCACATTTTTAAAATAAAGGCGGTGACACTGTGTTCTTATTCTCTCTGTGAGTCGCTGTTTCGTGCGTGAAAATGAATGCAACGGCTGCTGAGCATTTACCAGAAGAGATAAATATTGTCAATACACGTGTCTCTCGATTTGAGTCACGTGACGCCAGCTTTTAATTATAATGTGCATCCCATATTCGTAACGTTTCATTTTTACTTTCTAAAACGTCAGTTTTACAGCGAAACTGTTATGTGATAGGATCTGGGAAAAAATGCGTCTGCAGATGTTAAACAGAAAACTCCCCTTTAATCGTAAGTATGAATAAAAGAAAGAAAGAAAAAAAAAAAAGGAGGGCAACCAGCGTGAGTCAGCCTTCCTTAGCATTATTAGATAGTGTGGTCCTGATCCCTTGTTATCATCCCTAAGCATCGTCCTCAAGGTTGTCCTAGAAGTCGTCCTTGAGGTCGTCCTAGAAGTCCTAGGCATTGTCCTAGAAGTCGTCTTCGGGGTCATCCTAGAAGCTGTCCTAGATGTCGTCTTCGAGGTCGTCCTTGAGGTCGTCCTAGACGTCGTCCTCGAGCTTGTCCTAGACGACGTCCTCGAGGTCATCTTTGAGGTCGTCCTAGACGTCGTCCTCTAGGTGTCGTCATCAAGGTCATCCTAAATGTCCTCTAGGCACTGTCCTAGATATCGTAAATATAACAGCTTCGCTGGTCCTCCAGCTTCACGTGAAATGGAAGGGCTCTACAATTTTTGATGTTAGGACACACGCGGATGTTTAGAAGGATGGGAAGAATTAGTAATGTTGGATATGCAACCAACATCGAGTATGATAGTTCTGTGTTTAGCTTTATGCGGTTAGATGAAAACCGCAAAATAACGCTAATTAAAAAGCAATGTTATTTTGTTTTGGCACAGAATACTTGCGAGCCGAAAGCAGGAGTGCTCTAATTGCAAGGAGTGCTTTAAAGTACCTGTCAGTGAATGTTGCAATTGCCTCGTTGCGTCTTTGGAAAGATGAAATGAAAATCATTATCTAGAATGTACCGCATCATTTGTCACTTGTGCAGTGGACTGCGTCAATTCCTGGTCAATCTTCTGTTGTCGAGGCAGAAAATATTGAAGAGAATTACTCACACAAAGGCTGAAAAACACAGTTAATATGTCGCCTACTCTGCACCTTGCCGTAACCTCTGGTACTACACTGCACAATGGTGACCCCATGGCGTACATTTGCAATCCATGGTCCCGTCGCGTTCTCGTGCGTGCGCAGACATTGGCCGAATTTTTTCCGAATCTTTGCCAAACTATTTTAAGAGTTTGGCATGTGCTGAACTTTGCCATATCTGAAGTTTGGCGGGTTCAGTCCATCACTAATAATAACTGCTCCTTTTGCGTCTTTCTTCTAAGATTTGTTCGAGGGAAGTTTGCTGATGTGGGTCGCCGAAAGACTATAAAAATCGGGAAGTTTAAAGTAATTGTTTTTGTGTGTGTGTGTTTCTTCTTTTTTTTTTTTTAGAGAGTTGATTGAGTGAGAAGGAAATGACTGACTGATTTCGTAGATGGCACATTTCACATGTGAGGCCCTTCTTTTCTAGCCCCCCTACGTGCCGGTCCTTGAGACGGACAGCTCGGCCAGCAGCTCTTCGGCCGAGACCACGGGTGCGCCGGAGTTTGTGGACGTGTACATTACGTGCGTCACGAGCACCGACAACGTCTGCTTCCGGTTTGGGGAGTACGAGGTGGGTGGGCCTTTTTCGAACAAGGGCCGTGTCGCTCGATTCACATCCAGATACATTGTGAGACTGAATTTCTATCTCGAGGGGTTCGGTCTCTTTAAGGTCTGAACCCTTTGAGGTTCCAGACCTCTGCAGCTGGCTGCAGTAGCCACAGCCGCGCAATGTTTAGTTAGTGGCTTATTGGTAGGGTTACCATATTCCCCGAGGTAGAAAACTGGACATCCCAGCGGGGGGGGGGGGGGGGGTGCTTTTAAAGATTGAGATTGGGAGAAAAACTTTAATGAAGTAACTGCTCTCATTTTAAAATGTTACCATATTGCACCAAGCCCTAGGGCCTAGGGAACACTCCCAATCATGGTTCAGTTGCATGCACTCGTTTCCAAATGAGTGCTTCCTTCGTTGGTGTGGACGTACTTTGCCTACGACTGAATCTTCTTATGCGGGACTTTATCCTGCAAGACTCGGCTGTAAAAGTCTGCGCACATATATATAAAAAAAAAAAAAAGAATTGTGTCCCGAAAACGGGACATGATTCTTTATTAGGACAAAAAGACGGGACGGCAGAAGCGGACCTCAAAAACGGGACTGTCCCTGCCAAAACGGGACGTCTGGTCACCCTACTTATTGGATTGGGATTTGAGGTAGTGCATTGAAATGCGAAGACATAATTTTAGAGCGCAGTTCTTGGGAGCCCATTTTTGGGTTTAGTGGCGTTGGCGTAACCGCCCGTGTTGCATTATGGGACGTTTTCCCTCTGAAGTTGGTGGAAAAAATTTTCCGTTCAATTTTTCTGCTAACTTTAGCGGGAAATTTTGCCTGCTAAATTTAGCATGAACACTGACGTCACATGACCTCAACACCAATTCAATTTCCCTGCTATATTTAGCGGGGAAAAAGACATCACGACTTAGTGTCATGTCACCCATGAACTAATTGAGTGGCAGGAGGAGAGGAGGAGGAGGAGGAGATGAGGGGAGGACGAGGAGGAGGGCCATACCCTCCTTTCCGAACCTTCCTTTCCTCTTCCTCAAGAGCTGCACTCTAGTTTTGCATTACAGAGATTTGTAAACGTCTAATTTTTTTTGTTCTGTTTTTGAGGGAGCGCTTACACATAAAAAACAGAACACAGACAGCACATGCTGTCTGTGTTCTGTCTTTTATGTGTAACTCTTTCGTAAATAATTATAATTTTTTCTTCAAATATCCGTCGATATTTGATTAGGTCTTATTAGCTGAATCAAAATACATTGTTCCTGTACGACGTTGTCCAGCATTGATAAGAAAACAGCACACTGCATATCGCCGCACGTAGGTTGATTCCAAATACAAATCAAACCCCTCACAATTTAACCAATAAGAAAACCTAACAAAAAGAACATATTTTTGAGTTACCCTAACTTGAGTTGCCTGTTTCTTGAAAAATAAAGATTGGCTTATACGTGAATAATGCCGCGCATAGAAAAAACCTTCTTTTTAAATATTTTACTTTATAAGCTCGTAGTACATGTTGTGCTTTCCACTTTTACCTGCCTCCTCCTTTCCAATATCCTCTCCACTTTCTACCTTGCCCCAGCTTGGCTCCCCTCGCAGCTTAGGAGAGGGGAGCGCTGAGAGGCTTCCATGCAGAAAACAGAGGTTGGACGTTGGCCTTTAAGATGCCCCTTTCTGTAAAGCAAAAAGGTTGACCTTTACGCGGCAGTAAACGGTATTATACCGAAAAACGTATTGTGTGGAACAGTACCATCTAGTTTCCACTGTACACTCAGATTCCCTGTTGCACGTTGTGCGTACGAACATTTCGGGTCCGTTGCAGAGAGACTACGAGCAGCTGCTGGAGGACATGCGGCTGTTCTACGAAGGACCCGACGGGAGGGCGCCCGCCCCAGACGTCGCGGAGGGAGAGCTGTACGCCACCTGCGTGGGCGACATCTGGCTCAGGGTTCAGACGCAGGGTCCTCCCGAGGACGGCCAGGTCGGTCGCAGAACACGACGTTCAAGCCCGTGCGGTTCCCAATTCTCCCAGCAACGACCTTGCTGGGACAATTGGAGGGATCGTGAAATGGGTTCCTTGCCTTGGCTACTGTGCCACTTAGTTGCCATTTCGTTGCCACTTCGAGGCCACTCATGACGCATGGGCGGAAAAGGACATCAAACACACTGGTCCAAGATGTGTTGTGGGCACCTTGGCTAACCAGTGCTTATGGTTGTGTACATGCGACGGTCGTTATTGGCAGGGTTTGGCAACCGATCGTCGAGTGTCTTGTGTGGGGTTCTCGAGGCACGCGATGTTGCAGTATCGAGGGTCATCGCGCGACATATACAAAGAGGAATCTTGTGAGGTAGCGAAGGAAATCTACTCCCTGTGTCTGTTTAATCAATCGCAGAGACTTGCTAATGTCGTCTCATAGCAATTTTTGAGCCATCGAAACACGGAAGCATGTTCTGCCACGGCCTCGTCGCACGTGAACGGAGATGAGCAAAAAGGTAGAAACATGGAGTGTTCTTGTGTTCGGTGCCATCGCGATCAAATGGAGTTATTTGGCGGGTCAAACTGAGCCACGCTGGACACGGGTGGGTTTTTGAATGCTGAGATAAACAAACCTTCGCTCTGGAGTGAGGTGGAGTAAATTAGGGGACACTGCCTGGGGCACATTTACGCACAAAAGTCGAAAGGGTGGGTGGCGCATCGTCACGTGGCACAATGCCGACTGGTTGATGGCTCTTCCGCGGCGTTTCGATGCGCCCGCTTCAATGGCGCGGCCTCCCCGTATTTATATTTCGGTTAAATCGGTCTTCACTATAAAGGTGCTCTACTGCATATCAAAGATCTGGACATAGTAAGGTACAGTTAAAGTATGGGGGAGGGGCTTCAACTGCTGATGATAGGCATTCCGGGTACTGATATACTGCAGATACTGGTGTACTGGAGTTTTTTTTTTAAAAAGCATTACCTTGCCCATGGTAGGTTCTATTGTACTACTAAATAAAAATAAAAGCAGACTCACTATAATCTGTGACAAATTAAGAATGCAGTACTGCATTAACTTGGTCGTTGACTACGGTCATATTTATGTCGCCTGCTTTCGTTGCACCGGTCCACTGAAATGTTTGTGTGGTGGCCTTTGGTCAAGGGCAGAAAGAGAAAGCCCTGCTCTTCTGAAGCTAATTTGACGTGGCGCCTTGTGCAGGTGGAGTGCTATTTTGTGGATCAAGGGGGCACCAGCACGGTTCCGGTGCAAAATCTCAAGTTCTTGGATGAACGCTTTGCGCTGTTTCCACTCCAGGTGAGGCTGTGCTGCCCGTGTACCATTAGCTTTTAATGACACCAGACTTTTTTTTTTTTTTGGTATTGATTTGTTTCAGGGTAAGCTTATCTGTATCTCATAAATTAAGCCTTGCTACTGTTCTTGGTTTTTCTTTTAATGAATTGCTTTCTTTTGTTTGCTTTTTCTTGTTTGAGTGCTTTTGTTTTAACTTGAGATGCGCAATATGGTGTACAGTATGGTTGATTTAGTTGTCTGGAAGCCATTGCTATTATTAGTACTAATAAAGACGAGGTGTCTTTGATAAGTGAGGCTTAGGATATACCCAGCTAACGAAACGAGGTTGCTTGTATGACGGCACTCTTTGGGTTCATTTGATAAATATTATGTCAATGCTTGTGGTTTTCTCGAGGCAGCCCCAAAATTTCTTGAATATTGTACTTGCCCTAATTTCATCAAACTAAGGGCACATAAATATATATTTCAGATGGGAGAAAGAAAGTTCTAGAAGATTTTCGGCCTTCAGTGTCCTAACAGTGCTTGAACAGCTGAGGCCGCCCAAGGAGTTGCGTTACAGCATCCTTGCTATAACCAGTTCCAAAGTTTTGCAGAATGTGTTGAATTTTCATATTTAATTACAAAAGGAGTGGCATTTACATCCTGGCTCAGGAATTTGATACTTTCTCTGCACATCTGTTGAATCAGTATTTCTTCTTTGTACAAATGGGGCTGTTACGAGCGAGTTAGATGGGCTGTACAGTTAAACCTCGATGTAACGAAGTCGGTAAAATTCGCAATTTACTTCGTTACATTGAAATTTCGCTAAATCAAAATTTGGCTTTAGCATGCAAAAAAAAAAAAAAAAAAATTGAAACGTTTTTGGGTACGAAAACTTACCGAAAATGATATTTATTTAGGGGCAAAGTAGTCCGTGAGTTTTGCTTGTGCCTTATTCGACAATAGCAGCGGCATGGCGGCGTCATACGGCCGATACGGCGTTCGAGCGCCCAGAGCGCTTGCACGGCATCTTGCTGCCCATGCGACGGCGTGTACCTCCTCAGTACGTCCATTGCGTCGAGCACTTCCCGAGTGCTCGTGATCTCGGCAGTTTCTTCAGGATGGCGTCCAAAACGTTTGCTTTCACATCCAAAGAAAAAACTTTACGTTTCCCTATGGCAGCAAGCACGTGAGTGAACCACTCGGTTGAAAAATAAAGCTGTTTAAGCGGTGCCAATGTTTCCAACCTACACAGCACTCTTGCCCGCTCAGTTTACCATAGAGATCATACATACTAACTCTAGAGGAAAAGGTCCGCCATTTTCCCATACATTCTGGCTGCCGCAAGCGGCGGATCATGCAGGCAGACCCTCGGGGTCCCAAACACGGTTACATCATCAGAGCAGTTCCGTGAACTTCAACAATCCACAAACTTACCGGTGGAAAGATATTCGCGTTCCTTTCGAAGCTTTCTTTTTGCATAGCGCGCAGATCTACGGCCTCGCGTTAACGCTAAACTAAACCATATACCCGGCTTCGCCGGTGGGGCGCGGGTGGGCGCGGTTGAGGAATATGAAACTGCGCAACCACCAGATTTCCAAGATTTTGACAGAAGGGAAGTTAATGCAGCTTAATGACTTTATTGCTTTTTATAAGCGTTAGAATAGCTCAGAATTTAGTTTACAACGTTAAATTATCACTGTTTATATTGCTGAGAGTTTTCACTCTTCGCGTTTACCATGGCAACGTTGCTTTCTTTCTCTCGTGTTCTGTCGCTCTCTTTTGCGATCGTTCACTTGGGACCCCAGGTGTCGGCGCACGGGATTTGCCACTCCTCCTTACCCACCTTTACCCCCCTACAGTTTACTTGCCCCCTTGCGCCCACAGTGTGTTTGCGCCTTTGCTTTACATCACGCTCGCAAGAGGATAATCGGTCTTCTCGGTCTTCTCCTAGATGGCACTGCCCGTGCGGTCGCACGGGAAGTGCCATAGATTTAATAAAGTCATTGGGTTTTAGAGACAGCGAAGGGAGAGTGGATTTCAAGACTGTAGAGATTACCAAGCAAAGATTAAGTGAATGGTGGCAGAAATCGAGAGAAAACTAGGTATTTTCTTATTCACTGATGGCAAGGGGGTTTCATAGCCTCACTTTCTTTGCACTGCGGGGTGAATATAGATTTCACATTTAAATATTCTAAGTTTAAATGGTAAAACAAAATGGCTAGGTGGCGTAAGCTACCGCCCGATCCAAAGGGCTCAGCCGTATTCATCCATCCATCCATCTGCGGTCGCGCCATCCCGTCGCTCCCCCGCTGTAGTTGGCTCCCGCACTACCCGCGGTACAGTGGACTATGATGATCAGTGAATGTCAGTGGTGATGCTGTTATGCCGTGCTAACTTTTTGCTCGGCATTTTCTGGCCAGCCCCGCGGAATCCGCTTTGCCGCATGCCTCGCCGGCGCTACCGGCGCCGCATCCTCGGGCAGCCTAGGAACGTTGGAAGGCCTGTCCCCGTGAAGTAACCTATCAAGCGCTCGCATTTGCGCATAATTTTATTTTTAACCACAATTTTTTTGCGAAGTTGTTTTTTAGAGTTGATTTATTTATTGCCTTCTATGGCAATGGCGCTTCGTTATATTGAAATAGCAGCAAAATAGACTTCGTTATATAGAGACTAAAAATACATGGGGTCTATGCGCAAGAAATTATGAAAAATAAAAATACTTCGTTAAATCTAGGATTTCGTTACATTGAAGTTCGTTATATCGAGGTTCGACTGTATTACCTTTTACTGGGTTCTGAAACGGTTTGCTGTGGCTGCTTCTTTACCTTTGTTTATTTGCAAGGCATCAATTACTCTTGTGGAGACTATTTCGTGCATGGATGTCGATTCAGTGTTAAGCTCGGAAAACGATTGCAATGACACCGCTCTCATCAAACTCTATCGTTCTGCTAGTTTCGTTTATTGGCGATTGGTAAGCACGACGTAAAGTTGGGACGTCTTTTTTCCGGAACTTGTTTGAACAATAATAATTCGTCAGCTGTGAGGCCATTAACAAACGTCGTTATGGGTAGCCGATTTATCACGGAGGGTTTATTGCAAGTGTGTCACGGTTAATGTGGTACGAGTTGAACACAGTCCTTTTGCACGGAGTTTACAGACAGAATAACGCTCTCAGATATAAAACGAGTCGCTCGGCTTGTCAGTATTTGGGTCGGCTAACGGCCACTGGATCTTGGTTCCTGCGGTACATCATCACCACAAACTAATCTGGTTGGACTCCACTGACAACGATTTTTGGTGGATTTGCCAATATGGTAATGCGCCACCCAGGCCTTTCAGTGCCAGCTGGATGGGCTGGTGGAGTATGCGTCGTGCGAGAATGCGGCGGAAATCCTGGTGGAGCTGCTACTGGGCAAGAGCCTGGTGGCTGAGATCATCCGCAGGTAAGTCAAACAGGAGGGGCAACCGCCGGAGCTAGCAAATTTTAAGAAGGGAGGGGGGGGGGGTTCTCTAACGTTTTTTTGGAGAACGCCACTTCCTCCTTGAAATTAAAACATTTTTTTAAAAGTCACGTTTTCAACGAGTATTTTTATCAGCTTTCAAATGGCCTGATGGATGCTGTTGGAGAGTTTTCACTCCTGTAACTAGAGTATTTTTTTCCTGAATAAAAATTATTTACAACATGCTGGCATCCTTTTCACTTTTCAGATGTGTTTTTATCTTGGTTCAACGTTTTTGGCATTAAATCTCTGTTTAGGAAGACTATCACTTGATAATAAATTGAATTGTGGCGCTAGCTTTTGAAGTTTCTGTACTGAAATTTTGTAAGGAATGTGGCTGGGAGCTTTGTTTCTGCATTTTCATAGACTTTTGTTGTGAAAAGCTGCAGTGTCTTCAACCCACTGCATCCAAGCAAACATTTTTTTTCACATTTCTTTTTTTTTTTTTTTTTTTACTATAAATGGTATACTTTTTTAAATCCTTTTTATAGCCGCATGCTACGGGTGTTATGCTGTATTGTTCACCAAAATAAACTCGAAACTTTAGCAGAGAAGCCTTGCAACGCTATCCACAAGTCGAACTTCAGCTAACTTTGTGAAAGGTTCAAAAGGTTTGCCAAACCAGTCGACCCCCGAGGTTTGACAAAAGTTTGCGGCATCTTTAGTATCTATAGTGTGTGCAAAAAAAAAAAAAAAAAAAAGACAAGGTGAAAACCTTGGTGTGCATGCACAAATATTTAATAACTAAATAAAATGGTGGTGTCAGGGTGGACCCGGTGCCAGTGGTGCTGTTCGACACCTGGGGGCCCGAGGACGTGGACCTGAACATGGAGATCTTCCTGCGCCTGATGGCCCCGCGCCTGCCGCCAGGGGGGCAGGTGGCCAAGGCCTTCCTGAGCCACGTGCGGGCTGACGGCACCCTCTGCCTCCAGATGTCCGGCGTGGGCCTCGGGGTACTCAACAGCTGCATGGCCGCCGTCAACCAGTACTGCGAGGTGGGGTCCCCCTGCTGTCCGCTCGTTTCATCGCGTGTCGATAAGGAAAAACTGCGCCGAAATAAAACTGCACTGACCAAGGGAAGAGGGACAAGACAAGGCGCCAGTTCACCCTTTAACTCTGTGACGGAGGCGCTGCGCCAAATTGCACCACGAGCGAAAGTCTGCTACATCTTGCACCAAAATGCAATTTTTACCAAGAATTGTGCCACACCTGCACTGAGATAGGTTTTAGCGAAGCAAGAAATAAAGATATTTTATTGTTCGTTGATTTTAATATTCGGACAAGTAGAAGGAAAGGAAAACTGTACAAATATTAATTTCACAAAGTCTCTACTTACCGTTTGGTTTGTTTCATCTTGGGTCAGAGCGCAGTTGAAGGCTCGAACACATTCAACTGTGCATGTGCTACTAAAAGTGCAAGTCACTGGGCATTTGCTGCACTTAATTGGTTTAGCCGACGAAAGCTGCGCCGAGAAAAACTTGTGTATACAGTATAGACCACTTACAACGTAACCGCTTATAGTGCAGGACCGGGTATAACGCGGCTTTTTTAAACCACCGGTTCGCTTCCCATAGAACTCCATGTAATTACATACCGCTTAAAATGCAGGCGCGCGAAGGGAAATACCGGTTATAGTGCGGTTTCTGCAACAGCCCGCCGACCGGCGCAGCGAGCACGCTTCCCTGTGTGGCACTAGATAACCCAGATAACGGTGCTAGCCGTAAGCGGCACTTGCGGTGGGGCAAGGAAATTGCTCGAAGGAGCGGGAGAAGCGAAGAGAGAAGCTTTAGTTGCCATAGCGACGGAGGGACGCACGCACGTGTCGTTCACGTGCGTGCGTCCCTCCGCTGCGTTTTAGGAAACAACCGCAACGACAGACCAATCGCAGGTCGAGGAGAAGTGTTCGCACGCGTTGCATGCCGGTCGTGGGGCAGCTTCTTCTATCCGCAAACATGGCGTCGGTTGTGATCGTCGACGTAGACGGTTGGTGGAAGCTCATCGTTCCGCGTAAAAGCGCTATCCTTGACTGTGGATTTTCGTCGTGTGTCGCTATGATAACCCAGCACGTACCAGAAGGGAAGATCCACCTACTCATACGGCGATGTCGTGGCGGCACTCTGAAGACGGCAGAAACGCCCGTGTCGTCAGGCTTGTTTACTTCGACTACAGTGGTGCTTTCTAAGCATTTGTGTTTTCAAACATCGCCCGGATTTCTTATTTGGAGCATTTCATGCCTGTGCTCAAGTTGAAGGTATTACTGGCGCATACCGTATAAAGGATGCGAATTTGCACGCGTTTCCATCGCTGGAGAAAAGGCATTAGGGTTAGCAATCCTGAACGCTCACAACGTCCGTCCGCAACTTGTGACGCCATTAAAAAGCTGCGCCAGGCAAAAGTCACTCATTTCTTTTAAAATGTGTGACAATTGAGAGAGAAGTGTACTAGTCTGGTGAAATAGACTTTCCTCAAACTAAGCTTTATTTTTCATCTAATATAAAATAAATTGTTTTACAAAGGTAAGTTGTCTCATGGCATGTATTTTGGCCTGAAAAATTGAGGTTTTGGTTATAGCGCGGTACCGCTTATAGTGAGGATTTTCGCGACTCCCGCGACATACGTTATATGCGGTCTACACTCTATTTGAATAAGTATGTTAGTCGAGGTTGTTGCTGTGCATCTGTTGATTGAAAGAGCAGCAAACTTTGACTTCGCTCTGGTTCCAATACCGCTAAGAAAGTGGTATCACTCTTAATGCAGAAATGCATGTGTTTTTTTTTTTTTTCCAGTTTATAATATTAATCTCGAGTTTGAAATGTTCATAAAACTTGGGGGACACATTTAATTCTAGATGTGCTAGCGGATTTGGGGGTTTTCGCAGGCATTTTATAGAAATTATAGTGGCAGGCTAAATAAACTACAGAGTGTGGAAGGGGAGAGAGGCTTTATCCCAACTGAAGGGTTGATCTGTGAATAATTTCATTAATTTCTTTTGTACCTACTCTGACGAGAGCCTTATTCTTAAGACGGCGGCTCTGTGTTCCTTCTGTGCCCTATGCCCCAGTATCAAAGAGGAACCCTCAGTCGTTATCAACGATGAACTCTTTTGGCGATGCAATCGCTTTTTAATTTTTGAGTGATTTGCTAGCGGATGTTAGCCTCTGCTCCAAAAGCGTTGGTGGTTGGTCCAAACCAATATTTTACCTGCTGCAGAACCTTCTACAAAAGGTCAAATGCCACTTTCATCGCTGGCAACTTTCTGCCGTTGCACATGGAAAGATTGTCCAGCCTTGCGTTTTTAAAGTTTATCTTTTCACCCCAGTGGGCAGTCTCTTGGAATTTTCGATGATAATATTAATTATAACGCAATTTATTCTCATTTGAGGCAAACGGTGGGAACTGAGAAAAAAAACCCACACTAGACGGCTTGATGAGTTCTTGGCATCTATACATTCTGCAGCAGCAGTGCGACAGGAAAGTTCTTGCGTAAACTAATCGCTGAATGCTAGTTAATTTTTGTAAGAAGATTGACAGCGCAGGTGAGCTGGTGAATATTAGGCAACATAATAAAACCTGAGGCAGGGAAACAAAAAAGGGCATTTACCGAGACGGTGTCTCAGGTTTTATTATGTTGCTTTATTCTTTTGTTTGCAAATACCGCCAGTGAGGCGGCTAACACCAGGAGCCGTGTGCAGGTGACGATGGGTACCACATTGAGGAAGGAGAGGAAATTTGCAAATAAATCTTGATCATTGGCATGTCTTTGTTGAACCCTGTAGAGAAGACTGTTGCACAGGACTTTTCCTGTGTGTTGGGGATAGTTTTATTAATGTTAGGTTAGTTAATACAACTCTCCCAGCACTTGCGTGGTTACTAAATAGATAAACACTGGTTAAACCCTAAAAAAAAAAAAAAATTTCTTTTAGAAGTTTGGGGTATAGAGATAGGCCAGTCGCAAGCAAAATCTGAGCTGGTACACAGTACAAACCAGTTCTGCTGATAAGAGCTGCGATTAAATGCAACAAAGAGAGACAATAAGGCATTCTTTTTCTTTCTCTCTAGCTGCCTGGCACGTTCAGAATGCCCGGTCAGCCGAGTTACAGAGATTCTGAAGGTTTCTTGGGGACCTCCCTTTTCTTTTTTTGCAGAGCTCCACAGAGCTGGTCGACAAGCTCGTGGAGTCCAAGCTCTATGCCTGCCGTTTCAGCAGCGACGGAAGATACTACCGGGCCGTTGTCAGTTCCGCAGACCCGCTTCCGTCTGGACAGGTGAGCCCTTGCCATCCAGAACCAGTCCAAAGCTCCATCAACTCCTTGAGTGTTGTTTCTCTCGCTTAAATACGCCACAATTACTTCAATGTGAAAGCATTAACTATCTCATGGAGCGGAGTCGGCGGCATCTGTAACCACAAAAAAATGCGAAAGAAATGCCCATTCTCCCATTGGCTGAGTAAAACGGTTCCTAGATAGCCATTGGCGGCCGTTTCATGAGAGCGTGCACTCGGTCGCCTGTCGTAACCTCGGCAGTAGCGAAGTGTGGTCATTCACACCAGTACACTGCAGACGAACTAAGGGAGCGGAAGAACGATATTCATGCTTTCGCATTCACAACTTATAAGAAGTGCTTAGGTGTCCTCGGAATTTTTCCAAAGTCTGCATTTTACTGGACCCATTCAGTGTAATATACCCTTGTCAGATGGGCAGACTAAAGGCTTCCGGAACAAACTCCTTCGGTGAACAAGTGCCCGCCAATAGGCACTAGATTATGAGCCGATTCACGGATTCTTAAAAGTTTGTTCTGAATGCATTTGAAGTGCTCCTCTGGCAGAGGTTTTAGATCCGTCATAACGGAAGGTTGAGGCATGTAAAATTAAATTGCGTGCAGCAAATGTTCCAGTAACTTCTCTCTCGAATGTGCATCGAAGAGGTTTGGGACTTCAGCATTTCTGTGGGGTGCTAACTTTGTCTGCAAGCGTGAGAAGTTCTGACAAACCACAAGTTATATGCATGTGCCCTGCATCCATGTAAGAAAGAAAAAAAAAAAAAGAAACAAGGAATCATTATTGGAGCAATAGTGTTGTTGCTCCATTGGGGCATGTAGCCTGTATTCCAGTGCGGCAGACCACCCGAGCATTTCAGCTTCAGTATGACTTATACTCTGGGTGGCAGCTTTCTGTGCCATTTCACAAGTGAAAAGTGAGCGCACATAGTTCGGATCGGTGCACATCCATTACCTCGACTTCATCACCCGCCATTCGTGTCTGTTATTTCCTATTGTCCCCTGGAATTTGAAAGCTGAAGTCGTTTTCAAGCTTCCCCACTTGTATTGTCTCCAGTGCCGCATATTGCTCTCGATAGGCAGCACGAGGTAGTGATCTGGAACAGTTGTGTCAAGTGGATGACAACGTCATCATAAACGTGGGACGTGTGTTGATTGCAGTTCCATGTGCGGTATGTGGACTTCGGCAACGAGGAGGCAGTGTTCCTTTCGGAGTTCAGGGATCTGGATGCGCTGGGTGACTTCGTCGTTCGTCTGCCTCATCAGGTGCGCCATGCTCCACCTGCTTTCCTTCCACGTTAGGAATGTGTGCTCTGCTCCGGTATGCAATTTGAGCGTTGCATTTCCCTTGTGTAGATATGGGCCTTGTCGTAGCGCTACCACAAGGCCTGTGTAAAACATTTTAGTGCTCAGTGGGAGGTCCCTAAAGGGGAAAGTTGGATTTTCATATGTGACCCTGCTAATTTCATAATTGGTGTTACTTTACTGAATAGTAAACTTTCTATAGTAAACTCGGGTATTTAGGAAAAGAGCCTTCACCGCGTTAGCATCTTCACTCTGCCTGTACCTCCAAAGACTGTGCAAATATTGCAAGTGAATTTTGCTCCACTTTATACACATCTTTGCTATATGCTATGGAAAGGTTCAGTTACATAACAGCACCCGTGTGTGGAAAGGCTCAGCTACGTAACAGCATCCCTGTATTTCAAATGGATAAAAGCCTTATATGGCTTCTTGTGTGTTATGTTTTGTACAATGCGCACATTTTGTGTGGCGTTGAAGTCCAACGAGCAGCCAGATAAGAGAAAAATTCCATCTGATTCCTCCTTTCCATTTGAGAAAGAAGGAATTCTAGTTTTCTATTGGATTAGCCAACACCATCTAGACAAAAGACCATGGTGCCGAGTTTTCTTTGTCGTGTAAAGAGGTGAGCACGGCGGAGTGCAGATTGGATGCTGACGCAGTAGTCGTGTCAAATTTGTGCCCCACGCTGCCCGCTTAGGGGTCTCAAGAAATCCAACAATACGGCCTTCTTTCTAAGTGATGTTGGAGTAGCTCGAAGCACCTCGGAGGCCTGGTTCTCAAGAGAGAAGGAAGTGCGAGAGGCATAGAAGGATTTAGGGGATGGCAGAAGACGGCTCTGTAGGTTGGCTTTAAAGGGATACTGCAACGAAATTTTGGCGCACATTTTTTGGTCTATATGTTCTAAGGAGCAGCATCACATCGAACGTACGAATATCTTGTTCAAAAAGTAACGAAAAGGAATTTTAAAACGAATTAAACGATTAGCAAAGAGCACCTGGTGGATGTCGCTAACGCCTCACTTGTAATGCTTGTCTAGGAACCTTGACAGCTAGTGACGGGGGTTGTCTCGCCTCCGGCCACGACGAGAGAAGAGGGGCAGGAGGAACTCCCCTTTTCCCGAGAATGCCTTTTGTGTGTCGCAGAAGTCGCTATTGTCCCACTACAAGATTACAGAAGATTAACCCGTCACTCAAAATTCTTACAAAAGCAGCCACTTCGGTGGCTGGAACGACTAGGCCATCCCCTCGACGTCAGCCTCGCCGTAGCTTTGCTCGTCCTGAGACGCCCTACGTCACGATTGCGTTGGATGTCACGTGGTCTCCGCTGGGCCTTCTCCGAGCGCTTGCCAGAGTGGGCCGTTTATAATGAAAAATACAGCCACCAGGCTCAAAATACAAACGTGCGATTGTCATTTACGGATATTGTGGATCGTATTCAACCTATTTTTGAACACGACGGGAATATTTCAAATTTCGTTGAAGTATCCCTTTAAACGAGATCACTGTACCTAATGTGGAGATCTCTAGGTTGGCCTAGCTTTGCATCTGGGGGTTTTGCGGCTTTCGCGCGATGCAGGTGGTGGAGTGCCGTTTGAAGGGCCTGGAAAAGGTGGACTGGAGCGAGGAGCTGATCAAGAGGCTGGTTGACTTGGCAGATGACAGCACAGAGCTGCTCCTCCGGGTGAGCGCCTCCATCTTCGTGCGTTTTCCGTCGGGCTTCTTCTCGCTGGTGTCGAAGTTCATTTATCGGGCACCTTCGCACTCTTTTTGAATTCACTGATCTCGTTTTTGTTTACTGGAAGGAACATACTTCGCGTGAAATTATAGCTATTTATGTTTTGCTTCGCAAACTGCATTGCATGCTAATGGCATGTAGTGCAGTGTGCATACCACTAGCATAATTTGCTGGGCTAGATGCGATGCATCTAGCTCCAGAGCTTTACGAGATTCACTATATTTCCGAAGGATGTACCAAAAAATGCAGCGAGCAGTTGCAAAGGTCTGACCGTTTGTCCCCGCTTGTTTGTTCAGGTGACGGAGCCACCCACGGACGCCACGCCAGCGCTGGTCATCATGTTCAAGAGGCTAGGACCAAGCCGGGAGCTCTTGTCCATCAACGAAGCACTGCTGAAGCCTGCAGTTGAGGTTGGTTGCCTCAAATCACGCGTGTGGATGCAAGTTAATTTTAACACAGAGGGATTTATCAGCCGATTTTCATGGGAGTTCTGTAATGGTTGGCTGTGAAGGTCTGCTCTTGTGACTGGCTATAAAGGGGTCTTCACATGGGGCACAGCAAACAATGATCTGGTGACCTGAACATTGGTTGACAAAAAAACAATCCAAAACTACCACAAAAAAAAAAAAAAAAAAAATTGTGCATCATGTGTGCAATGCGCAAAGTAAGTTACAAGCACCACAACCAGCGGAGCAGCTGCGCCTAAAGGATGTTTGTTGTCTTACTTTATTCTACGCGATACCGCTTGGGGGGTCCCTGCTGCTGTTTCTCTCTCTCTCTCTCTCTCACCCTCAACCTTGTCTTACACTCTTCCTCTTTTTCTTTTGTTCTTTTTATCAAAAGTTTTTTTTTTTTTGGGTTCTTGCTTTTTAGTTTGGCTGTCTCGTTTTGTGAGTGTTGCTTGTTAATAATTTTGTTTCGCTCGTTTTGTTCTCCCCACGGTGCCGTGCACCGTGTGAGTGTCAAGTCGATTGGTGCAGTACATAGTTGGAATGGTTCCATGTGCACAATGCCCCATCGGTGCAATGAAAATTTGGTACCTCGCTTATCTGAAAACTCCGCTAATTTTTTTTTCTAGTTTTTAAAACTATGAGTTACGAGGGTCTACTGTAATAGATTTTTTCGTAGGAGTTACTTCTTAGCAGAAGTTTAGCCATCTTTTAACTGTGAAGAATTACGTGGGTCACTCAGACACTTTTATTTGTTTATGCAGTTGAGGAATATTGTTCTCCTACACCTTAGTAAATCCTTAATTCCATCTCAGAACCTTGCGCCTTAGGAAACTGCAGTTGTCGGCACCACAGGGAGCATCCAATAAAATACTGTGTGAGGGATGCCTTTTTGTAAATTGCCGGGGACGGCACTGCCAGCCTCTCGGGGCAGGTCCACTCGTCTTGTAAGGTGCTTCACGCAAGGACGCTTCGTCCCTGGCATTTCGTACCAGGGGCATTTTGATTCACTCCCCGCCTGGCTTGGAATGAACTGTTTCTTAGAAAAGTCTGAACTGCAGCGTCCCGGTATGACGTATTATAGCGAGTTTGTTTCACACGTATTGGCACCGTTAGAGTTCTCTCCCAGAATGCATTGCACTCGTGGAGTGTCACACGGAGAACTGGCCTCGAACGAACTTGCCCAAATGCATTGAGTGCAGAAGACTGATGCTGTCGCCATCTATGTTGTAGAAAGAGTACAGACTTCAAACCGAAACTAGCGCCTTTCTGTTCGACGTGATGGGTGGGAGTGCGAGAATGCAGTCGCTACCAACGTTTATCTATAAACGTTGGACGCTGCAATTTGTAGTTTTTATTTGCGATGACTTCAAGCAACTCAGCTGTCATAGAGATATTTACAGACGGCTTAAATTTCCGCAACCAACTGACTACAAAGCAGCTGGGGTTTACCCTGGGGAAAACTGATGATGCTGTCCGCGTAGAAGATTGATCCGTTCGAGCATGGTATTATGCGTGAAGCACTGAAAGGGTCGGCTTAAAACTAGTCTGTTGGAATATCCAGCAAAATGTTTCATGGAACTTTCGATTTGGATTGTTGTTACAAGTGGATCGGATTTTAGCCCTGGTGAGGGCGTCGAGAACGAGAGCTTTCTTAAACAAAATATGACGGGGCAAAATAGCTGACGTAGGTAAATGTTAAACATAATGATGATGTGGCCCAAGCCTAGGGTAAAGTCACTATGTTTAGCTTTTTCGGATGCTTATTGGGCAGTCACAGGTTTCTACTGAGGGAGCTTTGTTGTTGACAAATGTTAAATTTTTCACCCGCACACAGATTGTGATAAACATCTCGGGGGCCGCTGGGGCGTTTGTTCTGAGCATTTCTTTACACACTGGTATAGACCTTTTCCGCTTACTCTCGCCCCCGACCGCCAGGTAGGAATATCCGCTATGGGCGACGAAAAAATATCAGAATGTTTCAAACTGCAAATAGTAAAAAAATAGAGGGAAGGCAAAACGAGAATGTGTGACGGTTACGTTTATGTCCTAAATGTCTTCTATTGGCGTGGCTACGGCAAAACAGTGTATTCGCCCATACAGGAAGTGACGACAATTCAAGATGGCGGCGCCCTTGCGAGAAAGGTCTATATTTCAGCGTCTGTATGGCAACAGAGTGACTACGAGCTTCATGAAATAGCAGACACTCACAATTCAAGCTCGCGTTTGATTTCGTTACCTTTGGGACACGATTTCTATCAGAAAATCTACTTTTGTCCTTTCAATTCTGCTGTATGAATGACACATCGTAGCAGGCAAACAGTCGTCGTCTGCTCGTCTGCTTCCGCTCCTCGCCGGAGCGAGGCATGACTGGATTGCATTTTGGGGCACGCTCGATTTTCTCGGTGCAGCGAGTGCATGCATGCGTGGGGTGCAGGCGCTAAAACGAACATGGAGAGTGCAACCACTCGTGGAGTGCCAGCCGAAACGAACACACTCCACGCTGCGAGTGGGCACACGTGGGCACCAGTGTGTGAAACATGCTATTAGTGTAGAACCGTCGTCCAAAAATGAGCCTCTCTCGTCATGCTGGAGTTTCCAAAAGGGTATATGTGCATGAAGTAACTTGCCATGGTTGCAAGTTACTAGAAATTGCTTCTAAGGAGCAGTTGCAGTAACCAAGAAATATAAGTGCTTGATGTTCACAAACGGCCACCGATTTTCAGTGTTCTGTAATTTTACAATCCTGGTCGTAACCTCATTTTGCGTTTGTTTCCTTCAGGAAAGCTGAGGAGACCTTGCCTGACCGGTTGGTCCTGAGGCACAGCACCGAAGGGAAAACTCTGGGCTGCCTACTGCGACATGAATATCGGAACGAGCGCTCTTTGCGTGGTGACTGTTTTATTCTCATTTAGGTACCATATCTTACATTTGTTAGGTGTATTTTTTTTTTGTTCCTTTGGTCGTCATTGTTTTTGTGTGCATTGATAACTGTACTTTGGTACATGGGGAGGGGGAACAAGTTTCGGTTGTCTCGACGATTGTGTTGCAATTTGGCGAGTGTACATAGGCGTTGTCGGCACTCATGGTGGCATGCGCCATTTGTTTCTAGTCGCAAGTTTGGCAAGCAGCTTGCACGAAATGAACGAAACGAGCAGTGATGCCATGAATTGCAGTATAGGGGAAGGAAAGTGTGATTTCTGGATTAGTATTTCAGATTTCGAGCTTTTGAAGATGTAAGGGTCACATTTTTATTAGCTTTTGCACTTTTACGACACCCCTTGTGATAACATGAAATGTTTTTTTTGTGTGTGTGCGTGTATTATATTTGTTGTCTCAGTTCATGCCATTTTTGTTTCCTAGCGCCCAGACTGGTACCTTTTATTGACATCCTGACATATTTCGTGTGGAAATTGCGCGACCTGTACACAATTTGTGTATGTGCCATTTGAAACTTGACATTCTGTTATCTGAAGCTTGTGCAAAGTTTATATGCAATTAGCGGTATGTTATGTTTAATAAAGTAGTAGGTCGCACTGGTTCCGTGTCTTTTATGATCAAGGAATTGCTGATGCCATGGGCATTTGAATTTTCTGTGTCAAAATAAGTTTTCGTTAACTCGTGTTGAAAAACGGCAAGGTATCTTTGAAGACTGAGTTTTAAGCTTGTGGGTCTATTCTGTGTGCACAGTCTAAAAGCAAATGTGTTCCAACGCTGCTGGCTTGTGCTCGCAGCTTTCACTTGAGTTGTACGCTGAAGGTGCGTTCACACCGGCGATGTGCAGCAGTCTCGCTATAACTTTCATCGCAAAAGCAGCCATCATGGGGAAAAATAACATGTTTCAGCAGTCGCTAGCTGACCCGACTTTGCGATGTGATCTAGTCGTGGAGCGGCTGAGCCAATCAGCGGCGTTAGGAGCTCGAGTTTTTTCGAAGCGACTCGCTCATCGAGGACACGCCAGTGTTACCATCCGATTTTTTTGCGATGCGATCCAGTCTCGTCGAGCGAGTGCTTTACATGACCGGTGTGAAGATGCCTTCAAGGAATACTTCTACGAAATTTCGCTGCTTATTTCTTGGTCTGTTTGTGTTCAAAAGAGCCGTATCACATCAGACACACCAATCTCTTGTTGAAAAGACGGGAATATTAAAACAAATTAAACAATTAACAAAGCCCACCTGATGGATGCCGCTAACGCCTCGTTTGTAATGTCCATCTAGGAACCTTGACAGGTGATGATGGTAACTGTCTCACCTAAGCCATCACGAGAGATGAGGGGAGGGAGGAACGCGCCTCTCCCAGAAACTTTGATGTGTCCCAGACGTCGCTATTGTCCCTCTACAAGGTTACTGAACATTAACCCGTCATTCAAAATTTGTACAAAAGCAGATTTGGGGATAGTTGCAGTGGTCCGATCGCTTCCGTGCTTCGGCCGCTTCGGTGGCTGGAACGACTAGGACATCCTGTCGATGTCGGCCTCGCCACAGCTTTTCTCGTCCCAAGACAATTTTCGTCACGATTGCACCGGATTTTACATGCTCTCTACAGGCTGCTCTCTGAGCGCTTGCCAGAGTAGGCCGTTTATAACAAAAAATACAGCCATGAGGCTCTAGATACCAACGGGGTAGCGTTGGTAAAAGAAAACCGAAATTATTCATGGCGTGGCCAATTTGCACATTAAAAAGTGATAAAAGATAGCGACACCGTTGTCGCAGAACAACAGATGGCGCTACCGAACCTTGCTGAATATGGTTGAACGATGGATACTACTCAGCCACTCGCGAGCGATGGGCTCCCACGTGAACGAGCGGGACTGGTCGGCCACTGGGAACCGATCGCTCGCTGAACGTGTTCAAGTATTTTAGGGGCCGCGGGCCTAAAAAGTTTGCGCTGCTCTGCCTTAGATGACCCACGACTTTGAATATATTTATTACCCTCCTTACTTGGCACACAGAGCTTGGACACCACGTGACCATGGAAGCGAATATAAATGCCCTGTTGTGTACCTGGCAAAATATTTGTGGTCATTCATTATTTCTTAATTTTCACCGTATACTAAATATTAGTGATAGACCGAATCTGCCGAACTTCAGATTCAGCAAAGTTCGGCATATGCCAAACTTTTGAAGAAAAGTTTGGCAAAGATTCGGCAAACGTCTGCGCATGCGCGAGAACGCGACGGGCCATGAATTGCAAATGGATGCCGTGCGGTCGTTTAGTTACAGTGTAGAACAACCAGCGGTTACGGCGAGGTGTGGGAGTAGGCAACACTGTAAATGTGTTTGTGAGCCTTTGCGAGTGCGGTTCTCTTCAATATTTTCTGCCTCAAGAACAGAAGATCGACCAGTAATTTACGCAGTCCACTGCGCAAGTGACAGATGATGCGGTACATTCTGGATGACGCAATTTTCATTTCACCTTTTTAGTGATGCAACGAGGTAGTTGAAGCATTTACTCTCCATTACTTTAAAGCGCTCCTTGCGATTATAACAATCCTGTTTTCGGCTCACAGGACGTTTGTGCCGAAACAAAATAATACTGCTTTTTAATCATTATTTTGCGGTTATCATGTATCTACATAAAACTAAACAGATGTTGCATATCCGACATTCCTAACTCTTCCACCTTCCTAAACGCCAATGTGTGTCCTAACACCAAAACCGGCATTTTAAAGGTTAAAAACGAGACGTTGCGAATATGGGAAGCACATTTTAATGCGAAGCTGACGTCAAGTGACTCAAATAAAAAAAACATGCATATTGACGATAATATTGTCATCTTTTCTGGTGAAGGCTCAGTAACCGTTGCATTCATTTTCGCGCACGAAACGGTGACTCCGAGAGAAAGTAAAAACGCAGTGTTATTGCCTTTGTATTTACACCACACACACTTGCAGGCTTGCGCTGATGAGGCCTCCAAACCGAAACTCTCGTAGCTTGATTCGTGACTGCGCTCGCTGCTACCCAACGTTGCAACTGCCCAACCTCGTCACACCACTAAACACACAAAAACAACACAGATACAATTATCTTGTAGAATACCACCTTATTTAGTAATAACTGCCAATATGCATTACATCAACGCAAGTCTGGTAACAAGGCATTTTTGCCGAATCTTTGCGGAATTTTTAGAAAAGTTTGGCAAAAGTTCGGCTTTGCCGAATCCTAAGATTCGGCGCCGAACTTTCGATTCGGCAAAAGTTTGGCCCATCACTACTAAATAGACACCTGTGATTATGTCTACAAAATATTGCTGAGCGCAGGGTTGAGCAAGCAACACTCGGTCACAAAGATTTGCGTTTATTCCGACCTGAAACGATTTGCGTTTATTCCAGAGTCGGAATAAATACATTTTATCATTTTGTCCCGGTTTCTTGATCTTGAAAGTGCCTGTTCAATCTCACCTCGAACGCTCGATGCTCGAACCTTCTGGGCCGAATTTTCGCGATGCCCATGCACACTAGACAAGGAGCGACCCGTGACCTTGTCGAGTCAGTCACATGAGCGGCAAAAATGGGCGGCGCGCTGATTCCCATATAACAACGGCCCAGGATATGCTGTGACGTGGATTTATAACGAGCCATCACGTCCCAGCGTGCGCGCAAGTTGCCATGGGAACTGCTGCGCGGCGCCCGTTTCCCTAGTTTCGTGTCCGTCACCAAATAAATGTGGACACAAAACTCTGGACAGCTACCGCCATCTATGAGAGACGGCGGCGACCTTTCCAGCCTTTCCACTTTGGTTTTCACCAGAGTGGAAAGGCTAAATTTCTCTAAGCGTCGTCCTAGACGTTGTCCTCGAGGTCGTCTTTGAGGTCATCCTGGACGTTCGTGAGGTCGTCCTAGGCGTATCGTCCTTGAGGTCGTCACTGAGGCCGTCTTTAGTGTCGTCCTCGAGGTCGTCCAAGAGGTCATCCTTGAGGTCGTCCGACCATAGTACGGCTTCGCTGGTCTTCCTTCTTCACCAGAGTGGAAAGGCTACAAGTTTTCGTCGCTCATGTGTTCCCTGTTTCACTTCGACAAATCGCCACACGCTTTTTTGCTGTCTCGACGCTCGTCTTTTATTTTGTTTGGCACAAGTTTGCCGAATAAACCTTTCTTTTTAGTTCACTGTTCATGCTCTCGTCGCCTTCCTTCGTGACAATATTTAATAAAAATATTAATATTTTTTCGAGAAAACGAATTTTTAAATTTACGCGTAAACCTCCGACTCTCTTGCTGCCGCCCTACTGGCAACAGTGAGCAGGGTCCCTACGCCAAGGCGTAGTGCGTTGTAGCGCGTCGTGATAGCGTCTGTTTGGGGCATACGATGGAGGATTGGTGATTGGCTTTGGGGGACGGAAGTGGGTCCGAGTAGGTGCGAGCAGTTCGACGCGAACGCTGGCTCCTAGCGTTCGCGTCGTGCTTAAAAGCAGTTCACAACTTGCTAGCAAACAAAAACCTTCCATGCCAGTCTGATTCGAAGCGGCATGTGGGTCCACACGTTGGCGGATCGCAAATGCAGCCTCCACGGAAGGTCCCCTCGGAGCCGACGCCGGCGGATCGAATGCGAACGGTGAATCGTCTAAAACCTCGCACTGAAAATCTTTAAAAAAAATTCTAGTCATTGCTCGATGAAGTCAAGCTTGACGAATCGTAGTCCACTATTTCCCACGGATGACCGCGACGGCCCTCTGACTGCCTTTGATGCTGGGAAAAAAAAAGTTCAAGCTTCCCACGTGCTCGTGTTTATGCAGCATCTCACGTCACAACAACATGGCAGACTACCGTAAGATCCCGTAAGGACGCCCACCCAAAATGGAGAGATAAATGGTCAAAAACATGGGGTGGGCTATCTTTGGGGATGCCACAGCAAAACTTTATCAAAAGTTAATTATATTAAGCGCCGGGGCATCCGCTACAAACCACGTGACGCGGGGACTGATACCGCAGATCGCGGACACGCTAAATTAGCGTTTCACGGTGCGATAAACGCGGGAATTCGCTACAAACTCCCGCGTCACGGGAAAGCATACCCCAAGTGGCCGACGCAGCAGATTCGCGTTTCACGGTGCGAAGTTCTCGGTGCGAGTTCTCGGTGGGTTTCCGCGTTTCACGCGGAAACCCGCCGAGAACTCGCATCTCACGGGAACGGATACCGCAGGTCGCGGACGCAGCAGGTTCAAATTTCATGGTGCAACAAAGACGTGGGAACCCGCTACAAACTTGCCTGTCACGGAAACCGATATCGCGCGCGCAGATTGCGGACAAAAACACGGGAATTCACTATGAACTCGGAAACGGATACCGCAAATCGCGAACGCAGCAGATGAGCATTTCACGATGCAATAATATACACGCGGGAACAACTAGCGTGTTACGCGAGCCGATGTCGCGCGCAGATCGCGAGCAAAAACGCGGGAACCCGCTATGGAACTCGCTTCTTGGACACACCGCGGTACCGCCGATCGCGCCGTTGATGCGTGATTCCCGTCGGACATGTCGCTTGACGTCCAACGGGGATCGGGGGGTGGGCGATATTTCGGAATTTCTATGTTACAG